TTGAAGCTTCAGCTTACCCCATGCCGACTCGGGCTGAGTGCCTTGGGCCGAACCTTGGTTGGAATCGGGAGCCAAGTTCTTGTCGAGCCAGCTGATAAAGTTGCCCATTTTGGCGTCGTGCTCGCAGCCCTTGCCGCGCGCGTCAGCTGGTGCTCAATGCTGAAAAAGCCGATATTGAAGATGTATCGTCGTCGTGATGGGCGTGAATAAAGAAGAAGGAAAGAAAATTGTGAAGACGAATTGAATGCCAAGTGCAAGCTAACAAGGGAGAGTGGGCAAGGCAAGGATTTTGAGATTCAAACAAGATTGCCAAGTGGAGAGAGAAAGGCGGGAAAAACAACGCCAATGAAAAGTACTAAGTTTAGCAGATTGATCAACAATCGATCTTTCGATAGCGACGCAAGAGGAACAGGGAAGGCGAGTTCCGAAGTCCTCAGCGGCAGTGGGTGCCGGACAACGAGATGGAGGTTAAACGCGTATCTGCCAAAGACACGAGCTGAGTTGTGCTCCCCTTTACTATGCCTTTTTTCTCCCTCTGACCACCGCCTGAGCTAGCCAACTAGTTAGTGCATCTCTTTCTCATCTTCTAATCCCGTCCAAGCTTCGCCTGATGAGTTGGCCACGCCACTAATAAGTCACTGTCTCAGCCAGCCAGACAAGGACCCGGCTGCGGCGCCAACTTGCCGATCTAGCAATGTGTGGGCCGACAAAGAGGACAAAAAAAAAAAAAAAAAAAAAAAACTAAACTAAANCTTGCCGATCTAGCAATGTGTGGGCCGACAAAGAAAACAAAAAAAAAAAAAAAAAAAAAAAACTAAACTAAACTATACGTACATAGTTGTTTGTCTCTATGCTCAGAGGGACTGGATCCTAATCTTGCTATTGGAGCTTGCGCGAGTGTGGCTTGGCGGGTAACAAACCGGGTGGCCGTGCCAGACGACCGAATGACGGGCGTGCAACTACGGGAAAGTTGGAGGCGAGAACGAAGCTGAGAAGAGAGACACGAGACGAGAGGACAAGAAGCTATGGTCTCAATCCCAGCGGCAATTTCCCAATTCTTTCGTCTGTCTCTCTCTCTATCTCTTGTTCTCCTTAGTTTCAGTATAATCTCATTTCCCCCTCTGGGAGGGGCCACCGTTCGATAACTCGTGGCTCGTGGGTTCAACACTCCCTGCCCGGCTGGCCTTAGCCTGCATTGGCGCTGCGGTTTGATCCCTGCTCAGCTGTGCTTTTGTGGGTCATTTGACGGCAGAGAGCGCGACAAGGGCACTTCAATCTCGTCATACCCTTGGCAGAGGTGAAAAACTTGGTTCTGGCATCGGCTTTGCGGCAGCTCGTAATTCGCTCTGAAGAGGCCTGGCAGTGAGCACGCCGAGGCTCTGGCGCCACGCGCGAGTCTGGCCCGCCCTATTAGCAAAAGACACCCAACGAGCCGCTCGTCTTATTGTCTGGAATAAACTTTCAGAGCGACCGTTTAGTGTCGGGTCGTTGCGAATTCGCCATCGCGTCAGGCCAGATTCCCCCACAAGGCCAAGGGAAAGGCTTCGTTCACGGCGTCCAGACAGAGCCTTGTGCCCCACGAGTACCCAGTTTGTCGGAAATGTGGCATTCCTTTTTTTTTTTTTTTTTGTTTTTATGATTTCTTTCTTCTCACATGGTATCCGTCAAGCAGCGATGCGGCGACCTGCATCTCACCGCGAGCATATCAGCTGTGGATGGCAGAGTACGGCCGAGCGAATTCGGTCGCCTAGCCAGAGGTTGCAGCCGTAGTTTGCGACTGTCCTCCAATTGTCTCACATGGAATATGCCGTTGGAAGGCATCAACTCTGCCTGTTCAGTGGGTGCTACTGCTAGTAGAGCCACTAGCAATAGTGAATCGTCCAAAATGGAGATTGACAATGGAGATTGATTGTGACCGACAGAAGCCTTTTCCTCCCACATTCCGCATTTCACACGTGCTGCCGGGCGGTCAGTTATCAGTTATCGCAGTCTCTCTGTTCCTCAGCACGCACATCCGCAATGATCGCGATCTCTCGATCCTGGACGACCGGCTGCAAATCGAGTCGTCGTCAGGCCTGTGTGAAGGCGGGTAGTGCCACACCAATGAGTTTGCAGTTCTGCGTCATCGGTTGCACGGATTCAAAGTGACTGGTCGGACAAATGTCGGCTCCCGCCAGGGTCCAACGCCATGGCGACACCTGGCCCAGCTGAAGATGCACCTTCATCGGCGTTCTGGACTCTGGAATACAGGGGAACACCACCAAAGCGTGGCACATGCACGCCCGCCCCCCCCAAACCTGCATCAAGAGCCAGCTGAGGCATAAAATTGATTAGTTCGCCATTCTTTGCCATCTCTCAAGGACTGAGGTAGTATTTGCGCGCAAAGGAACAAAACTTGCTGGATGCCGTCTAATCGCAGATTCATCCATGCATAGGTACATGTACATGCCTCGCCAAGCTTACCGTTCGTAATACCTCGGCTGCATGCGCTTTTCCCCAGCATTGAAACGACATCACATCACTCAATCGATAGATGGCATACATATTGATGACGGTAGCCTGCATGTAGGCGTCATTCTTGGTCGATCCCCCAGCTATGGCCCAGTTTTACTTCCGTACCTATCATAGCCTCCTCCGGTTTGTCGATCTTGAGGGGGTTAGATCCAACTGCTAGTAACGTCATCCGTCAGCGCATAGTCTACCGGCCGAGTTGACAGCTACGGAGCTAGATCTAGGCAAGAAAGGCTATCTTAGCTATGTAATCTGTATAATCACGCCTTCAGTATGTAATACCGCTCAGTTTCGGGTTCTACTAGTGGACGACAGACGGCCCGAGATGCCCTCCTTGCGCTTCATGAAGAAATAGGTGGGAGGGGTAGATTGTTAAGCCGTCCCTACACATACTACTAATGCATTAGCTACCCTTGGAGCTACATAACAAATACCATGTATACTTGTACTGTAGATACAGAGATAGCGGAGCCTTTGCTTATAAGATATGTGCCTAAACAAGTAAATGGTTTGTGCTCAGCCACAACCAAGAATCTTGGTAAATTTGCTCACCATTGGCTGTCTTCACATGTATCCATGGCATCCAACTGGCCTCTGCATATTAACTGGCAGTAACTTTTTGGAAACGTTAGACGGAGTCTGTGGCGAAGGTGAGCTATGTTTATTCTGAGAATCCTTGCATGCGCGGTATTGGGGCAGATTGTAATTGCTGTATCAAAAATATTCCAATCTCAATTATGAAAATTCCTCAAACCATGCATTTGTTAGTGGTAAGATCTGTCTTCTCATCCGCCCTGCGTTCAATCGTTTGGAGGTACAACGGAGCTCCAGGTCATCAAGTCTCCCCACTCTTCAGGGGTAGCTCTTCGCACCGCTCACGTCTAAATGACGAATAGCAGATGCGGTATATATTCCTAATGATAATGGCGAGAGAGACGATTTTCAGCTTACCGCATGATAAATAGAGAAACTTGATTGTAATTGGAGATGGTATCCTGCGTCAAGCTGGACTTTAGAGTCTCGTTGATAGCACACCCGATGATCAATGCTCAGGAGTTGTGTAGCTCGATTTCAGCAAAGTGGAAGACGACAAATGCTTTAGTTGAGTCGAGGGAATAAACGGTTTGCTGTATGAACTATTTACATTGTTGTCAAAGCTGAGTATTCTAGACGATGCCGCATATTGAAACGAACGCAGTGGGATTCATACAAGACTTGCCGTATCTACCGTATCTACAATTACACAGGCCGAATGATAAAGAGCAAAGTAAAGTTCGAGTATGAATCTAACGTTATTAGTTTTTGCTTCACATCCCAAACAGTCTGCACTACATTAGACCGCTCAGCCCGTCACGATTAGTAAAAATAGGTCTTCGATGTTAGTGCTACTGCTCTCTAGATACCAGCACCAGATTATAAATTCTCAGTCACCCCGTCGGAAAGGCAAGCTGACATAGTTCCATGAAGTTAAGGATTGAGTGCCCAGATACGGCTCTTCCAAGATGAATATTCTCTCAAAGCCAAGGTAAGTGATGTTGCCCGCCTGCTTTACAGTAACCATGAAACTGGTCATAGGTATTTGCTAATAACAAGGTTCATCAAAGGTCAGGTACAATGATTTGTAGCAGCTAAAATTTAATGCCAGTGTATCGTGGCTATTACTCAGCCAAACGTCAAAATTAGCAGGTGAGGCATATTTAGAGTTTCAACATTTGGACGTATTGTGAATTTTGCGGCAGCAACTTAGAAGCAGCGGCCTCGTACTTTACTACAAGCTTACATGTACTTTGCAATCCACTGCTCTCTGCAATGACAATGTATAAATGCATCACCTGAATTTCTCATCTCCTCGATCTTTATTCTAGTGTTATCGTAATCTATAAACGTTTATGGAAATTAATCGTACTGTATAGGGCTTTGCTTGACTCAATTGTCGTCCCACAGCAGTTTAGTATTTAGTGCGGAACTTTGCCTCGAAAAACACCAAATATTTTAGTGGCAGCTTTAATTACCATTCTTAGCTTGTCACATATTCAATGTTCAATCTCTCCACTTATGTGGCGACCGAGATATCGAAAAATTTCTCACCAGGCACCGGCAAGATATTTCAAGAAGCAATCGGCGGTACTTTTAGGGAAGATCAATTGTGAGCTGGCGATATACTCCTCTCTCGCTTACCAGGATACGGGAAAAACATGCTGGCATCTTCAATTTTCATTTGACCCCAAGTTCTTGTCTTGCGTTGAAGTGGATCAAGACGTCGATCGGTTTCTTCTTTTATTTGCACAGGCCCGAAGCTATCGTGCCGAAACGCGGATTGTGGATTAACATGTGGATTAAAGACGTCGCAATCTGCTCCGGTTTAGCCGTAGATAGCACCTAGTCTGCAGGTTCACAATATATCCTTTATATATGATGAAGCCCGTATGATCTCATAGTTTATGTGTTCGCCGAGGAATTGATCGTCCTTTCGCTCGTTTTATTTACTTTCCAAATCTGCGCTCATTACCAAACGTCCGACCTCTTTCTCTCTTTATTGCGAAGTTGACATCTCCTACTGCTAACGGAAATATAAATGACGGTCGATATTGCCTCATAATAGCCAGTTACAAGTGGTTGATAGCATCGGCTAATGAAACCAAATCTGGCAACTCTACCATTGCTGACGATAACGCACGCCTCTCAGAGTCATGGACCAATCGTCTGGTCCAGCCCATGGCTCATCCAATGATGACGCCGGCAACCCAACTTCGCCAATTAGACAAGATACAAACGAAGCAGTATCTTCATCTAGACGAGGTGTTTCCGAGAATCAAGAAGACCAAGATTACGGAAGCCTTCGCCGACGGAGCAGAGCTTCGAGGAGATCCACCCTTCGGAGCACGGCCCCCATAACAACGGCTGGTCAGGGAACTCAATTCAACCTTGCCGGTCCCAGCGACTCTCAACAATTGCGCAGCGCGCATGAGCCCTTTGTTCATCCAGGCTATGGAGATCTTAATCCGTCATACGAACAGCCAAACAATGCCAAGCCAATATGGAGTTTGGCAAAGCCATTGCCGCGCGTTGTTCGTCCGGGAATGGTCCCAACCAAGAATGAATTGCTGGAGAACTGTGTCAACGCAGAGCTGCCGGCTGAAAACTCCCAAAAGCTGGGACTGGATATTGACCCGAATGAGCTTGAAAAGGGTCGCATCGATAAGTCGGCAGATGTGCGCAAGATGGCAGCGCAAGTCACCGATGCCCGGGTGCAGAGAGAAAATAACTTTATCAAAACCATCCTAGCATCGGATGCTGAGTCGACGACTGGAGAAATTCCTCAGCTTGTGAAGACAAGATCAAGCCAAAGACGACCTACTATTACGCGCCCGTCGGTCCAGAGTCCTCTGTATACTGTGGAAGAGGGCGAGTCTGAGCATGCAAGTACCGCATCGAAGAAAAGACTAAGCCGTGAGTCTCAGCGGCTAGACGAGGGCGAGGGAGAAATTGATTTAGGACCAGACGAACTCATTGAGGGCAACAGGTCTCTCGAAACACTTCGCCTCGATCAAGAGGCATATCCGGAGGATCTTCACCCATTAGTCCAGAATTTAGTGGAAGACGAAATTCACAACAACCATACTGTCTGGTCTGTTGTCCGCACCCATCATCGCGAAGCGTTGGCCGAATCTCTTGCGGTCTTCATTCAACTGACCGTCGGATTTTGCGCCGACATTGCCGTTACCGTGGCCAATGCCGGTAACCCTAATACTACAGCCTGGGCCTGGGGCTTTGCTACCATGATAGGGATCTACATCTCTGGTGGCGTTTCTGGAGCTCATCTGAACCCTACAATCACTATTATGTTATGGTTCTACCGTGGATTTCCTAAGCGCAAGATGCCCGAGTATTTTCTTGCACAGTTTATTGGGGCCTTTTGTGCGTGTTTTGCTGCATATGGTGTCTATTACGTGTCTATCCAGCATTATCTCTCGACTAGCACAGGCACAGATCAAGACATTATGAATTGCTTCGTCACAAACCAGCGCAGCGCATACATTAATGTCCCTACAGCTCTGTTCAATGAGTTTGTAGGCACAATGTGTCTGACTGTCGTTGTGCTAGCACTCGGCGACGACCAAAATGCACCCCCTGGTGCGGGCATGAACTCTCTTATTATTGGCCTAGTTATTACGTGTCTCACTATCAGTTTCGCCAACCAGACCGGCGCTGCTCTTAACCCGAGCCGTGACTTTGGGCCACGATTGGCGCTCTTGGCGCTTGGCTATGGTTCTGAGCTATTCACAAATCCTTATTGGTTCTATGGCCCTTTCGCAGGTACGCTCATGGGTTCATTTACCGGGGCGTTCCTTTACGATTTCTTTATATTTACTGGTGGTGAATCCCCAGTCAATTATCCTCTAGACCGGACACAGCGTGCCTTGCGTAAGAGTCGAATGAAGTGGCGGCGTCGGCTACACTTGACTCCTAAAGAGGGCGAGGATAAGATTGTTTAGGCAGGTAGTTAAATGTGAAGAATCTTAGAGCAGTTTAAAATAATATTTGTGTTATATAAATATAACCGTTGTCACTATGTTCAGAGAGATATATATTGATATATACACATTTTATTTCTTTGTACTATCTATAAACTTTTGAGAACCCTAGGTTTCTCTATTTCTCATCTCTCGTATATACAATAGATTTGTTGGTAGATACATATGATTAGGACAGTGGCGCACCAACAGAAACGGTCAGAGTATCAGGGGAGCCCGAAGACAGCACACCTGAAGCATTCTCGTTGCCGTCTGGGTTGACGTCGTCGTAGGGGAAAGCGTATCCTCTTCCGTCAACCTCGTACTGGTGAACGAGGCGGCTGTAGTGGTTGGTGGGGCTCACGGTATAGTACTGAGATGCACTCACACCAGGCTGGATGTTGCCGCCAGCAATGAGGAGGGTGGATCGCACAAAGGCAGCACAGAGACGGGGGACAACAGCCACGTGGATGGCATTGTCACCGCCCTGGATAGCGAATGGTCCGCTGTTGCAGCCCCAGATATCAGCAGCTGAAGGCTTGGCGTAGCCACGGTTATCGCCACTGCAGTTAAGAGTGCCGCCAGAAACCTGGCAGTTGACGTTGCCAGAGCTCTGAGTGTTGATGGTGAGGGGGTTGTTTGTGTACTGGTTCCAGACCTGGTCGACATAGCCGTTCCAGTAGTTCTGGAACCCGGCTGAGTTGATGGCCGTGTAGTCGCCGGGAGACAGTGCGCGGATGGGAGTTCCCGCAGAGTTGGCAACACAGAGAGAAGCCCATGGGTAGCCGTCTGCATTGCCCTGCTGGACGAGACCGTTGCAAATCTGGCTGACTGCGCCGGAATCGAGGCCCTTGGTGATCTGAGTACCGCTTCCATCTTTAGTGGACAGGCTCATGCTGAGGATCATGCCGACAAAGTCAACATAGCTGATATTTGCGAATACAGCCAATGCGTTTGTATAGGTTAGCTCAACGAAGCCCCAGTTGATACCCGAGCTTGGATCTGATAGGTTGGTCGGCGAAGGTTGTACCAAGCCATCACCATTGGGAATCTTGACCATGAAGAACTGGAGATTTCCCTCAGAGAAATAGATTCGGGCAGAAGAAAGAACGATAGGCAGAGTAACTGTAATGGAGTTGCCTTGAGAAGGTAGAGGAATGGCAATGTTGCTGTTAATGGGAACAGGGACACTGGAGCCTCCCGAGCTGGGATAAATTAAACTGCCATCGGCGGCAATGAACACGACTCGGTTGTCAGAGTCCAAACCGGAGATGTAGGCGTTCACTTGGTTGCCGCTGAAATTGTTGATGAGCTTGATCGGCAAGTTTCCAGCGAGAGCACGGGAGTGAATAGCGTTCTTGTTCACAATCGTCGTGTTTGGGCTGTGAAAAGTTCCGTTGAGAGTATTGTCCGCGGTGATAACAATATCCTCAGCGGTACCGGGGTCGGCGACGCTGAACGGCGACTTGGCTCTGTAGACAAGAGAGGGAGCGGCTGATACTGCACCCAGAAGGGCAGTAAGTACTGTGAGATATCGCATTGTGTGAAGATTTTGTACCCAGGAGCGAAATCAAATCAAATGAGAAAGGAATGTGGGAGTCCGACAACCTCTACCGTCTTGAATTCAAGACTTGGATTTGGATTGTCTGATGAATATTTCCATACGTAGAGAGTTTCCTTTATATACCTATTTACTCCTATTGCCAAGTTGAAGCTTTCGAATCTTCATCGTCTAGTCTCAGAATGTCAAGTGTTTAGCATCGGACCGAACATCTAATCTACTGAGAGGGAAACTGGTTTGCTATCCACTTCCATGTCTGGGCATGAAAATATCACTTTACAATTATAGAATAGTACCGGGCTTCCTTCGGACACTCCATGAAATGAATGACTTATGGAATAAGGAGCCGCATCTTTCAGCTGCCGAATTCAAGCATGATAGTCCTTGGCAACAATGGTGTCTAATTATCTAGGATACCATCTAAAGCGAAGTTTATGCAGGAGAGCAGTTAAGCGTTTCGTAGACTGGGGCTAAATCTGGTTTGTGATGGTCTTATGTTGCATCTAGCTGCTATATCCACTTACCAGTACCTAGAACGGCTGCGGCCGCAACTCCGGGGCCTCCCGGGGTGCAAGTCCTTTGACTGTATGCAAAGCACATAGAGAGATGGCAGTTTAGAAACCGAGAAGAACTTGTTGGAATCTTAAAGTGCCAGACTTCGTTCCCACCACGGCTATAATAGTAAGGTAGCTGTGAGATCCGTCGACGTCACTTCCTTCGATATCTTGGCATTGCCAATCCTAGTAAGCATAGCCACGAGCACATACTTGTAAGACTTCTACAGTTGTCACTAGTGCTAGTATCATCTGATATTGGCATCCTTCCCTACAAACCCCTGAGCTAGCTTTGATGTTTTGGGCATAGGATTACCCTTCTGGGCCGTAGGTAGGGTTGGTTCTTCACACCATCACGATATCTAGCGCTTCCGAATATTCGGGCTAATAACACACAAGCTGCTGCACCCCACACTCTGCTAAAATCCGATTTCGTGCATAAAGATGGCACACTGGGCGTTGCAACGTGACAAAGCAGGGAGAGGGAAGAAAGAGATGCTCGGTGCATCTCAAGGCGATGGTAGGGAGCGCCGAAACGCTAGTATTCATGACTGCCGAGGCGCGTATAGGAACGAATCAGAAGGAAAGCTTTGTTTAAACATGTGATTCAATAGTAGGGCCGCTAGATGGTAGCTATCCTAACTAGCCGAAGCGGCTATCACTTATCTTTCATAAAATCTCAGTTTATAAGGCTCGTTGAACTTGGGTTGTGAGGCCGTTTAGCCGATGCAACCAAAGTTTTAAGCTAATACTACTTTTCATTGGAATTTAGATACTCTTCATCATTTTCTTCGATACCGAGTTCCTGTAGCCTTTTGAAGCGTTCTTATTCTCTTTATATGCTGCGTTTGAATAGGTACTGCACTTGAATGGAAGGATTTTGATTGCTAATCATCCTCCTTTAGTTTCAAGGGGGATCTGAACAGTAGCAACGCCCCTGCGGAAGTTGCCCGCAACTACATATAGGTAGAATTGAATTTAACCACTTAACCTGCCGGGGTGATAATAGTTAAAGGGAATCTTCGGCTCAATATAAAATAGCGCATACTAGTACTAGGACCGCATTGTACACAAAGAGAATAATTTTGGTTAGAAGCAAGAACATGGAAGTGTTTGGAAACAGTTTGCGCTTGAAAATTTATGTAACCCTGAAATGCGGTTGCCTAAACTAGCAGGAATCCTTTCGGTAGACGAGTCAGCATCGCAATCCCTCGCGGCGCTCAGATATTAGATAGAGCTTGGTCTGTTTAGTAGAACGTTATTACATATAGGCATTCTATTCTTTACGGCTACCCGATGGACGCCATATAGAAATGTTGGATTAAGCATTTGCTTGCAAGGGGCGTGATTAGTATTCAAAGCTTTGTTCATCGTCTGATCGAGTGCTTATTCTCTCGGAGTGGAGAGGAGAGGAGACCGAGACAAACTAAAATACACCCTAATTTGACTAGGACAGGAGCTTAGACTCTAAACATGTTCGGTGCATTTTTTATTGGCTGATATGTTCCTCGGTGGAGATTTTGACCTCGAATGGCTAGTAATCCTGGTAGTTCTCGCAAACAGCAGCTTCGTTAAAAATGACCAGGGTGCGCTTCGCCTCATACTTGGAGCCTTTTTACTGCTTGAGATCTGATCTAAATGCTGCCTAAGTCTACATAGTGACGCGTCCAGACTACTCAAGCTCCTAACGGTAGTTGAGGTAGCATGGCCCCCTTACATGCCCCTTAATAGAGCTTGCATTCGATGTCACGTAAAAGCATGAGCTGCCATAAAAATCCATTAGTACTAGTAGTAGTACCTAGAATTAGCGGCAGCACTTAAGCGGCCCTATCGGGCTGTCGAATTCTCATCGATTGAACAGGCATGAGGTAAGGGTAACGTTCAAGCAGGATTTATGTATATATCCGCTGTGGGATCACAACGGCATTGTAGCCTATATTAGCAAACTCGGCACTTGGATTGTGGGTAATGCAAAGATGATGAACCTTGTGCATGTATACCTATCTATATAAGTATGCGACCTACAGCCCCAAATGATGAAAGCTCAATAGAACCCAACAATCATTATAAGAAGCCAACTGCATCCACTGAAGAGCAATATACATCTAAGACCTCCTCGATTGTAATTGTCGCCTTATTTTAAACACCGAATATCAGCTTTACAAAGGGGTAGGATCAATCTCGCCAAGAGTGAGGTTGGCAATAACGTCCCAGTGTTCCACGATGCAGCTTCCATTCATTCGATAAGCATCCATGATCTTAACTGGCGGCGTGGAAAATTCATAGTGATGCACAAAACCAGTATTGTTAATGAAAGTTTGGTGAACAATGGTGTTGTTGACGCGTGGAATCTTAGAAAGCGCAGTGATAGCAGCATCTCGACCCTGTCCAATGGATGGGTTATGCTGAATGTAATCGACCCAAACGTAATTGTTGAATGCCTCTTGAATGTTTTTCTGAACATTGAATTCATTCACGAAGGCATAAAAGATCTCTCGTTGCTCCAGTGGAGTGGCTGGCCGAGGAGGGCAAGCAGGAACCATTGTTTGAACCGAACCTGAGCCCGAAACAGAGGGAAGAGTGGCGGTGAGAGCACCGATATAAAGCAGAAATTTCATGATGTAATGATTGCTTTAGGAACTTGAAGATGAATGGAGGGTCGAAGCAGTAAATTTGTGGAGCCTTTACTCGCGATGAAAGGAGAGTATATGAGATTGCATGATATATTATTGGGAGGCATACGGAAGCTATTTATCTCCCAAAGGTAAAAGAATCATGAAGTCGAAAAAGGATATCTGTCTTACATCGGAGCTTTCAAAGCCGTTGATTTAAAGAATTACGAATGCTGACAACAACAGCGATATTTCAATACAACATGCTCTTTCCAGTTGAAAGTGTCATGACAATGGCAAACTACTCACTGAGGCTTCTCGGCAAAGTGGATCTTTGTCCTAAATTGGTTGTTCGGTCGGGTGCTTCTGCCGTGTGTACGCGGCCTACCCCTGCACATGTCAGAGCATTAGCTAAACCAATTACTAGTGGCAGGCTTCAATCCGGCGCCGAGTGCCGACATTACGAGCTCAACATTCGTCAGTTTAAACGACATCGTCTACATACCCTATACGGAGTATTGAATAGATTCTATAAAGTCTTCTTTATAGAGCAATTGATACTGCGTCTCAAACTATAGCTACTACAAAAGACCATAAGGACCAGACAAAATGTGTCCCGTGCAAGAATCTGAGAGTTCTATTTAGTTGTTCTTTATCGAAATTTTGCCGTGACATGGCCCCTTAACTATATTGTTTTTAACAATGGCTTCACGCAAACCTGGAAATGCCGATAGGAGCAAGGATCGTGTCTGAAGACTATAAGAGTATCTTAAATTCAACACTTTGTTTAGCATATATTACCAAGTACAAACTAAGAGGTCGAAATTCTCATGTCCGAATGACAGATAACGAAGAAAGGCAGCATCATTTCTTGTTACAGAAATTGCGTCTCCTTTCCTAGACAAGCGTGGTGACCATTTCTTCTACATAAAGAGCATAACGACCTATATTTATACAGCATATTTTTATTCCTAGCAGGCTATTTGCAGCTTTTTAGTAGCGTATATGTTAAGACTCTGCATCTTACAAACTGTTTTCGCCCTATATATGCATGGTTCTAGGTGTTAGCAGCGGTAGTAAGCCTCTGGCTTGAAACGAACCACAAATCATAACCTGGAGCTTGATTGTTTATCCTCCCTATTGCTGTAATTCCCATCTTGAATTGTTACTTTGTTAGGTAGGAAAATTTAGCGCGGATAAGGATAGTAACCCTAAATGGCTGCGAATGCGCAAAGCAGAGCCTATTTCTGCCATGACATAAAGTTGGCTGTGATCTGGCTGGACAGGTTCTTCGGGCACCTCAACTGGGCAAAATCATGTACAAGCCTGCGCCATGAAGAGTATATTACTTCTTATTAGTTGCCATTTCTGGTGTTTAACATATTGAGAGAGACTCTTCTGATCTGTTGGTTAGTCTCACTGGTGGCAACACTTGCTCTCCCATCGGCTGTGTTGGATGCGCATAGTCGACGTAAGTAAGCGGACGACAGCCTCTTGTAATGTTTCCGGCAGATTTTGAAGAATAATAGACGGTGGCGATCTGATTTAGGCAGTCAAAGCACTTGTTGAAAATTATCTCAATTGCACAAACAACTGCACTGTGTATTTAATCATGGTACCATGTTAACGAGCGACTATCTATCTAAACTATTGAACGAGTGTATATGGTCAGTTATGCATCAAGAGAAGCTGCTACTCATTGCCACTTCTAATCATTGGCTAATGTATATTTCTGTTGATCTTGCGTATGATCGCTTGTCACGACCATAAGTCATTGGGTCGTAACACTCTTCCCTTGGATCCATCTCAAAATCAAAATCTAAAAAGAAATTTAGAATGGGAAAATATCTTCCAAGGACTTGAAATTTATTGATTTAGCAACCGGCATCGAAGGCCATGAACGTCTGTCCATTGGAGAGGGGAGGGAGCTGGGCAGCGGGAACGCTGAACAGCAGGCACTCCCTAGGACCATTGGCGGTCTGTTTGCCGAATTCGCACCTGTACATTATGTTAAAAATTACCTCTAATAGATGTCAGATTCTTAGAGACAACTTACGACTTGCATTCGTTGGTCTGCTGGCAAAGGTCTAAGCAGGCCTGCTGGGAAGGCACGGTGACCTCAATCCGGAAAGGAGAAGGGGGGTTCTTAGACGGGCCAGATGGAGCAGCACCGCAGAGATTGGCTCGTTTTCCCGGGGTGTTCTGGGTTGATGACGCGGCTCCAGCACCGTTGTTGCTCGAAGTGGCACCATTTCCTTTGGCAGAGCCGCTTCCGTCATTAGCACCACTTTCAGCTCTGTCTCCATTTGCCGGGCCCTGGGGATGGGCAGCCGTTGGAGGTTGCGTGGGAACGGTGTTGGCGGCGCAATCTTTATCGAAAACGTTCAGGTTTGTGCCCTGAGGAGGAACCTGACTGGCAGGCACAGCGAAGAGAATGCACTTTGGCGCGGTGGCACTAGGAGGCAGGCCAAAGGCAAAGCATTGGCAGGACTTGTCGGCCTCGCATTGCTGACGGCATTCACTGGCAGTCGTAGCTCCTGGAGAGGAGATGGGTGCCGGTGGGTTGGCTGCACTGGCAGTGGGAGCCACATCGCACATCTGACCTCGAGCGAGGACGGGGTTGGCGTTGGCAATGGCGGCGGCCAGGACAGAGACAATGATGGCGGACTTCATTTTGAATGATAAGGTTTGAATAACAAAAAAGCTATAAGGGAGTGTGAGTAGTGATTGTTGGAGTATGAATGTTGGAGTGAATGTTGTTCTGATTGAATTGTAAACCTGGGATATCGAAATCTTTATATGGTCGTTGATTCTAATTACAATAACCAGCACATTAGGTCATGATTGTATGTATTGAATTTGTAACTGCTGAGTACATCCAGCCGAGCCCAGGATCACAATGCCAAGCATGTAGTGTGTAAAACCTTTTCAAAATGCCGCATCTTCAAAACAGGGGCTCAATCGTCATCAGAATCGTCATCCAAATGGCTTAGACTATGGGATTGAGGCTCTTTTTTTGAAAATGAGGCACGATTCTCTTCAGAATAATCGCGGGATAGTCATCCAAATAGGTTAGAGTGTAGGAGACCGTGCTTCGTATCCAAAATATGGAGCAATGTGCTTTAGAATCGTCATCAGAATGGCTTAGACTCTGGAATTCAAAGCTCTGTCTGTTAGTGCTGATCCACTAACCAATGAAGCCTGCAGCCTGCAGTTCTCAGCTCTAATGTATAAACGGCAAGGGAACAATCCTGGGCGTTACGATTGCCGCGTCATTTAGCTACTGCGAACTGTCTGGGGAAGTGTTCGATGATCGGGGCTAGGGTCCTCCTGGGGCTAGATCTGTATCTACGAAAATATAACCCTGCCCATTGATTTCAACAAAAGTCACCAAATCGGATAAGTTCTATATAGAAGCAGAAATCTAAGCTATTATGCAGCCAGGGGATCTACGGAAGAGCTGAGGTTGGAAAGAGATTATCGGTACACGCCGGTAAAAATAAGAGCACCTTTTTAACAAGATACAGGTAGCAGAATGGTGTGTATAATCGCCACGTTGTGTGCCAATTCTTAATTTCTAGTCTATATTTACAGACAGTGACAGCTTGACAGCATCTGAATTGACGATATTAACTCCACTACAACCCCTTGCGCCCACATCCCGCCACATCCCGATTGCGCCCCTGTTTCAGTCTAACCTTTCGTTAGGCCTTTTTTTTTTGCGTAAGGCTGTATCCCGGCTGTTCATTTACCCTGTTTAGCTCCCTGGTATATTAATAAATTGGTTTCTTATAGCAGTTGTAGGGCATAAAATGTAGTTTAGTGTTTATGCGAGCTAATAGATCTAGGTGGAGTGGCAGATCTATAATCGCTAATCTTAATGCTCGATGAATAGCTGGCTACTGGATGGTTGATTGAGGGTTTAAGACCAAAGGGGTTTTAAGGCCAACTTCGGCTTGGTATATAAACCGCTTTCACAAATTTCATATTATAATGCCTTTTTGAATGCCAATGCTAAATTGCTGGTGATCAATCCAATTTTCTAAATAAACATCCAATGCTGCAGTGAAAATGGCCGCATCTAGTTAGACTGGATAAACAAAATACCATTTCCTCCACAGCTCAGATCCGCTACAACGACAGAAACTTTGTCAGAAGATTTAACTACGGTATGAAACAAATATATAAAAAAGACTCATATATAACTCATATATAACCCTGTAATTTGCGGCATAAAAATTGCCCCAAAAGGGAAGTATATTGAATTCGCAGACTGGGTCATTCGCGACTTGAACACCTATAAGTTAAGCCGTGTGAGGAAGATCAGAGGCCCAAGTCGAAACAAACGCATCGGGAGGAAGAAAGCAGAGCGTTCGAAATATTTCAACAAGAATGATTAGTCGGGATGCAGTGTATAGGAGCAAGACTATGAGAAACAAGAATACTCCACACCAGCTGGGTATAATGTTAGGGAACTTATGCTTGTCACCATCCTGAGCATTGCAAATGAAGACGGCGGCAAGGAGCGCAATAGAAGCATGCATTACCGAATAGGTACTTGCGCATCTCCATAGATATAACTCGAACGTTGAAGGAAAGGTGAAATTCCATGCTCCAATGTGAATTGCGCCAAACAGAATCATTGCTGCCAGCATTGCCGCTGCAGTTGGAATTGCAAATTTCTTACTGTCACTTGAGGCTCGGCCATCAGCGACGTTGATTGGTGCACCGAATGGCCTTTTATCCACAGGAAGCACCATATTGATAATCGTATCGTCGTCGTCGTCTTGTTTAAGCTCATTTGTCACCCATGTGTGGTAGTCTTGATGCTGCAAAGAAATGGTAGTCGATACGCCGATAGACTTTGGCTTATCCCAATACAGGCCGTATATAATCATTGCACAGGCTGCAAAGGCTAAAACGGCCAGCTCAAGCGGACAGATGGAGAGTTTCCTTATAGCACGAGTAAGGATTTGTATTGTGGACCATATAATTTGGGCAACTGAAATTGTCCTGATGAAGGGATCATCTTTAGCTCTATCCATGAGTTCTTCTTCAGTGATGTCGGGTAATCTGGCGACTTGATTCCTTTCTCGGAGTTTGATGAGATCCCTTCCAGAAAGGTGATGCAGATTGTATTCGCCTACGTTTTCTCCCCCTTCGTCTTTCTCTATAACAAACCCCCCCATATTTGCATAGTAAGTATGAGTTAGAGACCATCTGACGCGATCTTGGCTCGCAAGCCGCAGGAATATGGGGTGGTCTTCACGAGCTTGGAGACGGACGTTATAAGCCACGCCAATTATAATTTCGGGCGCAAGGATTGTCAGTATAAACGCATTTGTAGCCCTGAGAAAGTGTTTTAATTTCCAAGCGACATTTTCTTTCCATCCAGATGTCTGGTTAATGCCATTAAAATTATGTCTATAGCCATGGCGTTGCTCTGGAACATTGGGATGCTGAAGGGTCCAAGTACAAGCGAATATTGTGAACAGCGAGCTCCAAAGTATATCCAGCGTGCCCCGAAAGTTAGGAGAAGACACAAAGTTTACGCCGCTGGGAGGTTTAGAACATGTGGTTTCAAAGACTAAATAACCTCTAGCGACTGAAATGAGGCAGAAGAGAGAAATTTGAGATGAAATGCTTAGAATTTTCATTTTCAATTTATTTAAACCGGTGGTTGAGAAACTGCCGAGAGAATTCAGAGATGAGGTGTAACAATGTTACCCTATTTATACATACCTATGCACTGATGACTTATATATTGCATTCCAGCTATCGCCTAAAATAGGCTCGGTAATCCTTCGAATCATTATATGATTGGATATAAGTAATTCAACTTGTCTAAGGTAAGCGATCCATCGCGCCGGGCTGGAGCAAGGGATGCTGAACAAGGCTGAGGTGCAGTAGCCAATAATACATCGCAGCAGCTTGCTATTATAAGCATCAACATTGTCCCATACGCTTGATTTATACACGGAAGTGAAATAAATCTCCATATTAATGCATAGCACAGCAATCTTTAAAGCCCCTCTGCTGGTGATTAGATGCTTGGCAAGGAGGATTTGATTAACAGGGCGTCTATCCACCATTCTTAAAAGGATGTTAAATACTTTAATTTGGAAGCATAAGACTAAGCGAATAATCGCTGACTTTTACATGGGTCTTTATATCTTTATACTTGGAGATTCCAGACACCACTCAGCGGCCGCAACCACGACGACGAGGGGCCACGAGGCCCACGAAGCACCGATAAATTACTTTACAAGTATATCTAACATAGTAAATTATCCAATTGAGTTTATTAGCGCTACAATAGCGCAGCTCTAGTTTGCATACTGCGTATAGGAGGATTCAACTAGCAGGCATGGAGGCCATATTGACTGGGCCATAGGCAGCGTTGAGGGCGTGATATTAGCGCTTGACCCCAGCAACCTGCTGTATACGGAATAACATAGTTCGAACGTTCAATTAAGCATCTATTGATGACTGCTGTTGCAGGGCCCACAGTGGACGATATAACGGCACCGCGCATATGCCGCAGCTCTTCCTTGCAAGAAGACGGAAAATTCTACTGCAGCTTTTCCAGACCTGAACCTGTTAATTCCTTCGCTGCCACGAATATGACTGCTGCTGCCGCCGCCTCGGGCCTGGTGGCGCTGCGTTTGCACGATCCGCCTAGGCTGCAAGATCTCCCTGCGGCAATATGGGCCATTATTTTCTCCCTGCTCGACTCGGCGCAAACGGTGGCACGAATCGCATTGACGTGCAAGAAACTCAACGCCGTGGCTCAGGCGCAAGGCTGGCCTTGCTTTGTCCGGAGCCGATTTGCGAGCCTCAAGCTTCCAAAGGCACTCGGCGACAAAGAATGGGCTGAGCTGGCCAGCAAGTTGACTGCACAATCGCGCGCCTGGGACCGCCGCGCCTTTTCCATAACATCAGTGGTGCCTCCTGTTCAACCCGGAGGAGACAATGGACGCGCTTTTCGAAGTCGGGGACGGGGACGAGGGCGAGGGCGAGGACGAGGGCGCGGTGATGCTCAATCTAGGATGCAGACATTCCCGGCACACGTTGTCGTCGATGCGAGTTCCAAAGTTGATGGGCAAAAAGAAGAGGAGACGGTCGCCTGGGGCCTCGGCGAGGACATTGTCTTTCGATGGCGAAAGTCACACAACTCTGCTCTCCAAGGTGAAACTTGGATATCACTCCCTGGCGTCGAGGCTGGTTTTAAGAGCGGTGATGACGATGTGACGGCCATTTCGATTCTGCGAGACACTGCGCCCCAGCCTGGCCTCCTTGTTGGCCGAGCAAGCGGCTACTTGCAGCTCATTTCCACAGGACGCGGCGACGTGGGACGGCTCCTCGCTTGGTTCCATCCGATGCGTGGAGGCGTAGATCAACATGACATACAGCACTTTGATACCGACGAATCGCAAAATGCCATGGTCGTTGCTACAAAGGAAAACGTCTTATTCTACTCTTTAGTGCCCAATAGCTGGCCGGCTGCAGATATGGCCAATGGCACCCCAGACATCGTCGTTGAGCCTACAGAGGCTATCAGTGTTAAGAGGATGCCCAACTCTCAAGAGTTTAGATTCCTGCGTGAGGCAAAATACATGAGCAACGGGGATATTGCACTGTGTATGGCCAGCAGCGCACAGCCCCTGCGCTACTTGACGAGGACACCCTCGGGCACCGTGTTGGCCAATGCCGCCAAACTGCGTCCCTCGAAGCGTTGCGTTGAGTCGCATATCTTTAACGGCAACCTTCCGCAGACTGCTCGGAGTGTGCTGCCGGTTAATACTTCGTCAGCTGTTGGTGGCTCTGGCAACACTGTCTTGAGCTCTTACGATGATGGCACCGTTCGGCTGCAGGATCTTCGGAGCCATTCCCCCATTGACGCCATCTTCCAAGACCATTTTGAGATGACGGCCCCCCTCGGCCCGCTTCTGTCCTATGGAACGGATAGATTTATTGTTGGGAGCGCCCGCCTGCCTATTCTGAAACTATTTGACTTCCGATGGACGCGGCCTTACTCCTACACAGACGCTCTCGATTGCAGCAAAACCGAGCTCGGCCCAACACCAAAGACGCTCACTGGAATCCCAGCCCCGAGGTCTTCAGCTTATGCAAAATGCTGCCATCTATCGGGACACCAGTGCGCCCTTCACTCCCTGGCTCGGACCGACTTTTACAGGCCAAACTGCAACTTGTATCTCCCCGTTGTGTATCCCGCCGTGACGCCACTGTATTCGCTGGCCAAATCGTCTGACATGGCGTCGACCATCTACGCGGGCGTCACCGGCGAGCTCTTGAAAATAAGCCTCAGAGACGCTGCGGCCGATGAGCGGGAGGATTTCTGTATGGAGCGGATGGGGAGCAACAATCGCTGCGGTTATAGCTTTCGCAGGAGCCTTGCCAACTTGGTAGAAACGGGCGATGGAATTGCGCTGAGCGACATTTCCAAGAGCAAGAGGCTTCCTCTTCTGTTCAAGCAGAATCCTGAGCTGTTGTCTGCCGCTGCTACAGGAGAGCTCCGTCGGCTTGATCACGCTTTGTGCTAGAACGAGGCGGATGCCATGTGTAGCGAATTCGACGGCTCAGTATCATCATTTTATACGTGTTGTCTTGCTAAGTTAACGGAGTATTTAAACACAATACAAAATTTAGAGAGAGGGAAAAAAAAAATAGTCAAAACGTCATTCTACTGGCCAAGCCTCAAAGCTAAGACTAAGTAGACACGGTGTTTGAAGCTGTGGGCCGCTGAGATTGCGAGTAGAAATATACGGACCAGCACATGCCAGATCTCTATCTTGGTAGACGCATGTAGTATCTGCGCAAAAAATGCCTTCCTCACCACGAGTTGTCGGCCCTGCAACAGGCCATTCTCATACCCACACAATCATCGTCCTGCATGGCCGCGATAGCGATGCCCAAGAGTTTTCGTCCGAGTTTTTTGAGTGCGAGGCAACAGGGCCGGAAACAGATCGCACGCTGCCGGCGCTTTTTCCTAGCGTCCGCTGGGTATTCCCACAAGCAAGACCGCTCCATTCTGAGCGCTTCCATGTCGAAATGTCACAATGGTTCGACATGTGGAGTGTAGAAGACCAGCAAGAGCGCGCTGAGCTGCAAATAACGGGCTTGCGAGCAAGTGTCGATTGCATCGCGGAATTAATTCAGGAGGAGGAGCTGCTTGTGCCCCGGAAGAGGATATTTTTAACTGGCATCAGCCAAGGCTTTGCGACGTAAGGATGCGACTCCCTATACCATTATGTAAATCATTCTTAACGACATTTTGTCTTCAGTGTATTGGCTACATTCTTTGCTGATGGTGGAGGAGGTTTCGCTGGCCTCTGCGGATTCTCCAGTTGGCTCCCGCTCGCCGACCAAGCCGCACCAGAAGTCGAAGTTTTCGTGGGGAATTCTAGTCAACAACTTGCTGCAATGCAGCGATTTTACTTTGGTAGAAATGAGTTATCGCCACTACAAATGACCTCGACGCCTATTCTTCTTGAGCACTGCCATGATGATGAAGTTATTGACATCAAGAGTGGGACTCGCATGCGAGATTTTTTGAGTCAGCTCGATATGGAGGTTGACTGGCACGAATATCAATATGGAGGACATTGGTTCAATGAGCCACAGGGCGTTGATGATTTTGTTGGGTTTTTACGAAGATATATGTAGATAATGATTGCATAAGAGCTTTGACTTGTGCCAAGTTACAGCGGTAATTGATGCTGGATTCGAGTTGCAAGCAACGGGGCTCGTTGTATCTATAGACACCATCTAATTAATGGAGCGTTAATTTAGATATAGAAATAATATTATCATTTATATTAAACCGCAAGTATTGGACAACCATAATAAGCATTAACATCTACATCGTGTCTTCATACTTGGAAATTCCTAATATATTGCTAAGCCGCCATAGCTACAACAAAAACCTACAAGGCCAATGTAGCAACTGCTAACTTTATATTTAAGCCTATTTCTCAAAAATAAATTGTAGGGTATTAGAACCATGGTCTGGTTTGACTGTAAGAGGGTTGGCTAAAATGCAGTGTAGCAACGGGGCCATAGAGTAGCTATCTGAACATCCATCATATATATTACTACTACTGCTTCAATAGTATACTACTAGGGCTTTGAGGACTACTAGAAGATACCTATTGCGAAGGCTATTCATATCTTTTCTGAGACTGATAAGTTAATGGTACATTGTAAGAGCGGTAATACTAGCATCAGACGTAACGCAGAGAATTACTATGCCGCATCTATTCTCCAATGAGGAAAATCTTTGCAGAACTGCTTTAATCCAAGTCTAACCTTGCACTTTTGTACTATGCATTATATGTAGCTTGCTGTGAATTAAGGTATACAAATGTACAAATGCTATATTTGCCGTTAGTATTGTGATCTGTTCCTGCTATCAAATTGCACCATTACTCTTTACCAAGATCTATTACTGCCATTACACCCCATGTACTAGAAGATTTTCCTGTCAAGTATCACAGCTGCAGGAAGTTCCCAACGGCGGAGAGAAATGTCGTCTCTAAAGTACTGAATCCAGTCCTTTAAGCCCAAGGCCTAGCAGAATTGAACTAATATATGAGCAAAATCCTCCGTATGTTTACTACAAGACGTGATCACGACACGAATATTCACGGAGCCTCAAAGTTGCCCTTATAGTGTTTACACTTGGGTCTCAAAATGCAACATATGAAGAAAAATGTTGTCGCTCGGTCTGATCGACGATGTAACTATGGCAGTGCACCATGACTTGCAGGGCCACGCGCTGGCGTTTCTCCCAGAGATTGGCGAAAAGGAGCGGGCCGCAACGCAAAATGGCCTGTGCTTCATGTTGCTTCCAGACCAGAGGTGATCAGCGAAGCGACCTTTTGGATGAGGAGACGGCTGGCTTAGCCGGACAATCTGGCCCCCAATCTATGCAGTAGGCGGGGGTCATGGCAAGGGTTGGTAGGAGACTAGGCTGACAGAGGGAGCTGGATATAGGCAGGGATGACGGTCTTTTGAGATAGGCTTGGAACTAATGCAAAAATTACTTGAATCAGCAAGATGTCTTATACGAAGTATTCGAGTTCATGGAATTTTTGCAGGAGGAAGATGGAAGAAAGGGTGTACTTTGAACACCCCTAGGGGATGAATGAGTCTTATACTGCTTGTATAGTGGGAATGCTTCGGCCCGTATATACTCACCTCTCGTCACAAGCTGTTGCTTATATTTGGCTCAATGTAGGAACCACCACCAGCTCCACTTTGTCCAGTTTTCGGCCGCCAACTTTTGTCATAGCTCTTCAATCACCAAGATAGCCTTCCTTACTCTGATGAAATCACTCTCAAGTTGGGCCGACAGGGGAAGCCCCAACTTTAGCGAATGAAGACCGTTGAAGAGCGTCTAGGCAATATTCTTCACGTTACATATTGCCTAGTGGATTTTGCACATGTTGCTGCTTCGTATTATAGACTGCTTTGTCGTCTTCTATAGCGCTAAATTGGAGATCTTTGCCTTGGCCATGAATGATCAACCCATGATTAACCCTGTCCGGAGCCCAAAATCCATCATGGAAACTTAAAATCCACCACTGACCATTGCCCCCCTCATTTCCCCTTTCAAACGTTGCCGAGTGCCGGAGATAGTAATTAGTACAGCGGGCTGTGCTGGCGGAAAAGGATGCCTGACACGAAGTAGATAGTGATAAAGGCGGTTTATGTCGGCTATGCGGACTGTGTATATGAAGTGTTAGCTGGAGATGCTCATCACAGAGCAGATAAGGACAAGGATAAGGCAGGGATGGTTGGCATTGCTATGGATGAATGCATATGGCTGAAGGCAGAAATGATGAGATGGAGAATATAGCAGTATAGGTAGGGCCATAGAGGGGTTAGACAACGTGTAACTATTACATGTACTAAATTTATATGTCAACGTATTATTTATGCGCGATACAGCCCTAAATTGTGTTTTACCGAAATCATCAAGTAGTATTTCCTCAACCTCTACAAACTACTCCAGCTCATCCTGAGGCGTTGTCTATTCCCTCCTAAGCCATCTCTCGATTCATCAGGAACCGTGTCTATAACGCCGTCGGATAACAATGAATAATACTGTAAGACATAATTCAGATAGGTTTTGTTTCTTTTTTAAACCTTTTGAATGTGTTGCTTTATAATCCTTACGGATCTGTGTTCTATCTACATGAGCGGGGAAGCACCAAAAGTCCCTCTGATAAATAAACCCTGTATCTGCCTAATTCGTCTAATAGTGCTAGACGTTGATTCCAAGACTGCAAGCAGTTAGAGCAGTGACTAAAGATTACGATTTTTGGAAATCGGGGCGCCGCCCGCACTAATACGGGCGAGATTCTGCACCGGACTGGCTGCATCGTAGCCGTCGATAGCGCCGTATATCGTTCATCGTTCCTCGCCCGTGGTAGCGACAAAATAAGCTCCCCGTTTGTACTGTTTTCCGCACCAACTAGCTCCAAGTGGGCATTTTAATTATATTTTTTGATTCTTGTTGCGCCGGTCCTCTTCAATCCTCCTCCGAGTTGGTGTTGTACTCCTCGGGATGCTGCCTCAAATATTCGAGGTACGCAGGATCGACGGGTAGGTCTTGTTCGCCACCTTCACGCTTGAAGTACCAAACATCTTGTGTGGGGAATCCAACGCTATCCACCCATGATTTGAGACCATCAAAGTTGCGACACTGGAAATCTCCGCTAAACTCGGGCTGCGGCTGTATCATATTCTCATACCAGTGCCAGAGGATAAGGTCGACATCTGAGTGGCAAGTCGCTATTTGGGTGAGGAAGTGCAAGCAGTGATAGAGGTGTTCCCAGTCATGGCGGGATCTCTCCTTGCCTTTAAGGTAATGAGGACCTTCCAACCCCATCCTTAGGTGGTTGATGCAATGCAGCTGGTGTGTGACAGAGAGCATCGCAGGAAACGAATTGGGATCTCCTGGCATATGAGTTACCTTGGCCGGGTCTTGGCCAAGTTTCCGCACCTCATCTGCAGTGATAGTTATTGTAGATAGTTTCGAAAGCTCATGCCAGGCCTGTTCGGTTGCATTGTTCGGCCGTTGGCGAAGGACGTCGTCGCTGAAGAGTTGGTTTTCCTGGAAGACCTGCTCCAAGGAAAAGGTATACCGATCAAAGACAGGAGCTAGATATCAGTAAGCAAAAGTGCACTGGCTTACACATGAAAAGAATTGTTCGTGTAAAGAGCACGCCATAACTTACAATATCCTGATGCCTTTTCTAACAAAGAATTTGTGTTTATGGTATCCAGAAGCGACTGTTGTTGTGACGAACGCTGGGTAGAATAGAGTACAAGAACTGCTCCGACAAGTATGAGTAGCAGGATGGAGTTGATGGCGATGAGCATAATGCTGCACCAAACAAGTCTGGATTGACAAGTCCGTTCAATCGACATCGGCATGAGCGTTTCAGTTGACGATGCATCGTCTTCATCCTGCTTAGCCAGGGCGGCATAAGCCGTGGAACGCACAAACGACGGCATGACAGTTTACTGCCAGATAAACTTGATCTTTGGAGATTGAAAGAGAGAATAAAGTGAAGGTCATTCGCATCTAGACAAAACTTGGGGGAAGGGGAAAATTATCGGCGAAGTGACCACCGAATAAAATAGTAGCCTATTCGTGAGGATCTTATGATGGAACTATTGGCCTCGTCTTCGAGCTTCAAAAGTCCCGTAAGACATAACCCTGTACCGAGCATGCTCCATTCACGCCACTTGAAGTGGAGGCACGTCCTAAAGCCTTTGCTTATATACCAACGGCTATCTACATATGGGGGGGTCTTATCATATGGTATAGCTGATCCCAGGACGACACACGGTGTACTTTCGATCCGAGGGAGCAACACTTACTATGTGCTGTCGCACCATTGCGTCTGTAGCCATATATCTTTTTCAAGTAATATGTCAGATGGCATTAGTGATGCATTCGCCGTTTTTGCCTGTATGAAGGCCCACCATGGTGGAGACAGAATGTTTGCCGCCGTGGGCGAACATGCGGTCTTGGATATCCATTCACGCGGGGAAGTTATCAAATTGGACCCGGCTACACAGTCGACACTCCACTATTGATCACGACTTGACAACGATAATGTAAATGTGACGATCGCGATCTCTTACCCTGTCGATGAGCCATTTGAGAGACCCTTCCGTGAGCTCGGGTTAGACTAAATATTGCTTAGCTATACCTGCTAAAACCATGCCAGGTGTCAGCAAAACCCACACTACAGCTCCATCAAACCACTACAAGAGATACTATACATATACGAAATACAGAGATCCAGCAAACCAGTTTCATCAACGCAGAAGTTCCTTTTGGCATCTTGTTCGCTCCGGGCTATCTAGCCATAACAGGCAGCTACATTGCTTTCAACAACTATGGTACGGTAAACTAATCATTTACTAAATGACTGGTTTCAAACTTGTTCTCTATGTTGACCATGTCAACCGAGAGGGGTTAACAATATCTAGCCAAGGGCGTTTATCCTCCAATCCTATTCAAGAAAACTCTTCTATGAGGTATAGCTGCTTGATAAGGCACGTTTGAGGCGACTAAGGTTTGCAAAGGAATGGTCTGCTACCGTGTATTTATGTCAGTGATATTTATATATAAAGCACGGTAGTATCTCTACTTCCTTTCTATGCACATTAACAACATCTTACCACCTTCTATTCTAGTCAACTATATATATCATTCATCATGAAGTTCACGGCTATTGCCGCCCCCATTGCCTTTGCAGCCTTTGCTGCTGCGGCACCTGTTGGCACCAGTAAGTTATATACATCGATCAAGTACATTTCACAGCGGCTTTCCTTTGCTCATCTCCGCATACATCAAAATTCCATGTTGGTAGGAGTATAATGTATTTTCTTACTTACAAATATATAGGTGAAGTTCAGGCTCGCTCAGAAGCTATCGTTCCTCCTGCTTACCACCCTCTGATCGACAAGCGAGAGGAGGCTATTATTCCTCCTCCCTACCACCCTCTCATCGACAAGCGAGAGGAGGCTATTATTCCTCCTCCTTACCATCCCCTTATTGACAAGCGAGAGGAGGCTATTATCCCCCCTCCATACCACCCTCTCATCGACAAGCGAGAGGAGGCTATTATTCCTCCTCCTTACCACCCTCTGATCGATAAGAGAGAGGAGGCTATTATCCCCCCTCCTTATCACCCTCTCATCGACAAGCGAGAGGAAGCTATTGTTCCTCCTGCCTACCACCCTCTCATTGACAAGAGGAACTAAAAATCGAGACTATATGAAGTACGAAGACTATTGCATAATTTAATGACCCAAGCTATAGGATACCATATGTTATAGTAGGGAAAGGATAGTCACGGTCATATAGAAAGCCAAAATCTAAGATAAAATATTAAAAGGTTGATAGCAATGTCGGTTCAAATCGTGTTGTGCCCCGTATAACAATATTATGACCATATAGAAGGAGGCTTGTGTTCCTTGAGGCAGCCGATTTCGCTATTGAATCCGTGTATCGAAGTTGAGACCGAAGATGATTCCTCATTTTAGGAAGTTTTACACTTGTTCTAAGAGCCAAAGATGATGCGCTGTGCGGTAGAATCGGCAGCTTATTATTACGCCGTCAAAATGTTTTAGGATCTTGTAATTTTGGGTTTGCTGAGAACTTTTGTTAGCGTGTTTTCTCATCGTACATTCTTTATACTTGGATCCCTTCAAATATATGACTTAGTCCATTTAGCTTTAGAGCTTGTATAGCGTTGCATGTTGAACAACCAACATGCATAGGGGTGATCCTTGAGGATCTGGTACATATATCGGTCACATTTTGACTAAGCTGGTTGCTAGTCGAATAGGACTTTGTTGGCTCTCCATCGAAACCCTTCCTTCGCTTGTTGGATCGCCATCCTTGCTCAAGACGCTTTCGGCTATCTTCGATGTATGGCGGAAGCCCAAAAGATAATTCGCTGCCGCAATATGCCATAGCACTTTGTAAAAAAGCCGAGATTGGAGAAATGACGAGCATATAGGAATATACGGAACACACATATCAGCCGCGCTAAACTCTTTGCATTGGCGCTATTGCTTAGCTACAGCTTCGCAGGTGATTGAATCTCATATACAGCATTAAAAGCCAATAAGTGGAGCTCTTTGTGATCGTATAGCCCGCCATTTCCTATAGCTTATAATCTGAATAAGCCTTCTGGACTGACTGCGCTGTTAATAACACGGAAATCTAAGAGCAATCTTCTTGTCTCCAACCTCTCTCCTTTGCCGCCCGACTGCCCGTGTAATTTGTGACAGCTAGACAACAATTTCCTTTCCCACCTTCTTGCATATTCCACCTTTGCCCATAAGAGGTATGAAAGCGTAAGACCGTACCATGGGTCGATCTAGGGCATTGTGGCGTTATGAGATTTCTTGTAGCCATGGAAGTCAAAAGCGAGGTTAGCGATGGGGGACCTGGAAGGGAATAGGAAATACTGCGTGGCCACAGTGACCGTGGCCAGGAAACTAAGTTTCTTAACTACGATATTGTAAATCTAGAAAACTCAATAAATTAATAAAAGTGTAGCATAAATATTTTAGTATATTGTTTTCATTAACTATCACATTTGGACAACTAAATAGCGCAGGGAATTGGCGATAGATTTCTGGGGTTCGCCAACTCTTAAAATGAACTGTATCCTTCTGATGCGTAATGACTATTTTTATTATAGTATCGGATTCTGGTCTACTCATTTACTATAATATTTACGCAATTCATCACTATTATGGTACAAAGCTATGCATTATCTTAGCTATCGGTAAATGTATTGCCGATATTAAGAAAGCAGAGCTTTCACCATCTAGACGGCCACTAATCAATCACGTCAAATCTCTACACTAACAAATTGCAAGATATTGAGAGATGTACAGGGAGAATTCAAGATACACGTATTGCAGTTTGAGAGTTATGACATATGAGGTGAGATAAGAGACAAAAAAATCAGCTGAATCTTAGTAAGAGCAGGCATCAACTATATTTTTGATGTACTGACAGAGCGATCATCAAACTTCATGATGTGCACAGTTTCTTATATTTATATAGTAATTTCCAACTATCAAGCCTTTTTATAAACGCTACCAGTATGGTCCAGAATGGATTGGAAAAGAAAAAGAGATGAATACGCCAATGACATCCACAAGCCCTATCAATTGACCAAGGAGATTGAATGGGAAGAAATAACTGGTACAAAGTCCATCTGTTTTTCAGTACGTGGCGCCTTTAAATCTACATTCGGTCTACATTTCTCTCACCAGTGATAAATAGTAATGGCTAAAAATCATATGCATGAAGTTCCAGTGACGATAATCCGCAGTTTATCGTATCCACTTCCGTAACTTCTGCATCGAGGCTTAACTCGTGCACTTCGCCTGTCAAAGACTCCATATCCCTCACAGACAAAACATAACCAAAGTCAGAGGCATCGAGCGCCAGAAAATATTTCACCACACCATTATAATTGACCTTCCAACAAGAAAAGCAGGATGCAGAACCAGGGCTCTTAATTGTAGGAATGCCCATGAATGCAACAGCGTCCCTTTGAAGCTTCCAATCTAGGTTTGGCATAAACCCAATGTTCTTTCTCCAGCATCTAACTTCGCTCAAAGGGCGTAACGGGTCGTCATAAGCCTTTTTCGATGCGACTGTTATAGTGTGAGCAATAGCCTATATTGCAGTAAAGTAGCTGCTCACCAGTCACATATTTCGCTGACGCCGATAGTAGAAAAGTGGCGATGTGGAAGAAGCGAAGGAAAACCATTTTTGAAAGGGGTTGCCCCTTAAAGAGCCAGCCAGTTTGTACAAACCAGGCGGGAACGCGAATTGGTCAGTAAGTGATGGTTGAAGAGCTGCTGAGTAGGCTAAGGGTGAGAGAGCGGGTTAGCAGATGAGAAAGGGGGCAGCCAGAATAAGGGTTGTTGAAAATTCTGGATATTGTTATACAATCATTTTATTTAAACCCGGTTTTACTGTTTTTCCACTTCGTGTGTTGGCTCGGCGGTTCGCCTTTGTCTACGCAGAGGCCTCCATTACCGCATCAGTCTGCAGCTCGCCATCGCCGAGGATGCAAGATAATGAACGCTGCAGTGTGTATGCAAGTTTCCTGTGCAATGGCCCCCAATACTACAGTATTCTGCAGCTTGCCATCGCCAATGGTGAAAAATAGTAGACAATGCTGCCTATATACAAGATTTGGCCTCTGCAGACGTCTGTGCATGCCCCTTGATATAGCAGTATACTGCAGCTAGCCTTCTCCAAAGGCGTAGGTTGGCTGCAATTCGAGGCAAGTGAACAAACAAATCCTCGTCATAGTGTTAAAGGATCCGACGGTTGAGTCTGAGTAGTAGCAGATTGTATGCGGTGTCAACTGTCTGATAGAAGGATGTAAAGGTAAAGAGGTAATTTAGTATAAACCCCCCCCTTCAATGTACACGTCTCCCTGCTAGATTCCAAAGACCAATTCTCATAATTCTTTCTCAACTTGAGGGTTCTTTGTAATACATCTCTATAGAAGCTTTAATCCGCATATTTATTTTCACGCAATGAAGGCCGCGATCTGCTTATCTATCCTTGTCGCCGCCTCAGATGCTGCCGCCTCAGCTGCTTTTCAGAGGTCAAATCGTGCCACCAATGAAATCAGTGCTGACAGTATCTGCGGAGAACTCGGCGTCATGAGATTCAACGCCAGCGAGCTTCCCGATTATGTCTCTCCCAACAACGTCCGTATGTGTGCCCAGCACCCGCACGGCCGCAACCGCACTCTCGACCTCTCAGAGGGCCGTCACTTCCGCCTGCCTACACCAATAAGCAAAGTCCGGCTAGTAATGCAACAAATTCTAATGTCCGTCATCTAAACGAACGCAGCTGTTATTTTGAGGCGCCTTACGGCTGTAGCAGAGGCTGGTGTTGGAAGGCTTGTGATCAAGGATCAGGCAAATGGTGCTGGGCTGCAGCGAATAGCGGCTATGGCTCTTGGAAGAAATGTACAACTTATGCCGACTGTGGGACCGATAATTCTGCTTTTGGCTGTGGTCGCTTGTGTGGGGTGCAATGCGGATGCAGCTGTTAAAACATGATTAGAAGCGAGATTGTTACTGTCTTGGGATTTTGATTTAGGGCAATATATAAGGGTGAAATAAGAAATTGCTGTCGCGAGGTTTTAAGGAGAGTCTTCAATCTTTGTTGGATTGTCTTTAGACCGTTATTAGATAATTACTAAATGATTTACAACTTATAGCCGACATATTTTTTTTTTTTTTTTACTTCTCCATGGTTATTGTCCTCCGTAAATTACTACCATCATTCCGTTTCTTCTTTTTCTTGCGCGTCGTGATAGTAACTAATCAGAAGGCCTTGGTAATTTGAAAGCCAAGGTTAACCAAGATAACCATGATCTAGGCAGGTGACAATAATCTAGTCACCCGATGAGTGGAGATGGTTAGATGCCATCCAACCACAGTAATACTGACCTAAGTGTGGGGCGTAATGTCAATAGACACCAAATGAAAAGTATGTGCACTCAGGTAATACAGTAAATATGTTGGTTATGATGAGAAGAACTTACGTCTGTGCTACCGTAATTCTTACCGTTCGAGGCATAGCACAAAGAAAGCTTGTTGGCTCGGGCAATCACCATTTTAAAATGGTAGCACGGACACTTGACTAACACGTCACGCATACCTTGCAACCCGGATTCGTCCGTCAATGTATTAACTGTATGCGGTTGCCCGAATACATAGTAAGATTAAGTAGTTATCGTATTATAGAGCTCTCGTCTTTTTTAAAATATCTGCTTTATTTATCAAGCCTGCTGGAAATCCTTCTCATGACACGTGAAGGGGCTATATAGCTGATCTTTTCTCATAGACCAGCAAAACTGTCATTTTTTAGCTGCTCATTTACGAAACTCCTTGCAACACGTTACTTACAGCCATGACCTACTCCGTTTGCAATCTACTCTTCATAGTTGAAGCTGTAATTCGTTTTCTTTAATAAATATACTAATGTTACCACCAAGTTTGCTGCTTGCCATTTCTACGAAAAAAAAAAAAAAAAAAAAAAAAAAATAGTCCGCTACTTATATCTTCTTACTCTCTGAAAGAGCTTTGCATCTATATTTAAAGCTTGGCCATTCTTCCTCAGATTATTGAAGTGCTCTTGGACAGTCCAGGAATATTTGTGGCTACGGAATTACCAACACCAATCTACCTAAATGCGCAAGCGTGCCGCGAGTCTCCGCGATCAAATGGCACAGCCTTTATAATTGGTCTGATATACACTCTATTTGGATCAACTTTTAAGCAAAAATGTTCAACAATAAAAATGGAGATTTTTGGATAACTTCTAATTTTTATTCGTCATACTGCAAAAATACCCAACGGTGTATAATTACCATCCATATCCATAAACTCTAGAATTCACCTTTTTGTATGTCTCCTAAAACTTCAAAAACTCTCTCAATCATAGTGAAGTTTATTTATAGTGGATAGGAGCATTTTTAGTATGTGAACTGTGGAGCATATAACTTCAAAAATATTACTAGAAAGTGATACACGCATCTCTTTTTTACTTTCACAATATCTTCTCCTAGACGTTTTATTGATTGAATAAACATTTACTGTACGACAAGGTCCCAAGATACAAGATACAAAGCACATAATAGATAATGTAGATAATATCTCTCATGATATCTATTAAGCATGGCCTGAGCCTGAGCTGTTGAATCGTCCATCAATAACCTAGCCACACAACGTAAGAAACGGTGCTCCTTGTACTCCATCTCTACATAATGAAAAGATGGATTGTCAAGTGTTAGAGATGAACTGATCTATAAGTTTGGAGTACGTTCCAACTTTTCCATCCTGATACATCTTCATTGCAGTCGCCAATTGTTGCCTTCTCAAATTCCACAGCGCTTCAGAGAGATGATGGATATTTTCTCGATTGCTATTCTCCTCTTGCCTCACAGCTTCCACATACCCTTTCTGATCCTCAAATCGTTCTATTAGGTCAGCACTCTTGGGAGAACCGTCTCCATTGTAGTTCCATGGAGCATCGATAGCGGGCGGGACGATCGACAGGGTCAAAGGGAAGTCTCCAAATATCTCCCATGGTCCGGCGAAGGCCATTTCCCAGTCAATCACACCTAGAATATGGTATTTATCATCAACAATGATATTGTTGAGACCAAAATCTCCATGACAAAGAGGAAATGGCCCATGGTCGCGGGCAGACAATGTATCAGCTAGTTTGCCAATGGATTTAGCAAAGGATGAGACTGAAGGAATAATGTCAGCAGCGTATGGGCCGCATGCTTCCCGTAATTGCTCATCCGACATTCCAAATTTGGTCTTATCTGCCCATGCTTTGAAGAACTCTGTCGCTGTGTCAAAAGGGCCACCCAGCCCCGGAATTGGGCCTTGCTGGTACGTGCCATCCGCATTCACAGCGACAATTGTTCCAATCTTGGGTAGCAGTATCGTGGATAGTTGGACCTAAGAGAGAGGATTCAGTCAGTTTACCACCTGCATCCAGACCATAAACCATCTTCTTACATGGATCTTTGCTAAACCACGGAGAAAGGCTTTCTTGTACATTGGCGGCACACTCATGCCCAAGTCCATTCCCACATTGCCCTGCAAGCAATCCATTAACATGAATGGAGCTTTCACCTTGCAATCACTTCGCTCTTCAATTGCATGGATTTTGGGGATGGGTATATGCGTTCTCTGCCGTACGAGGCAAATTGTGGTAAATTTGCGAATTTCCGTTGTCTCTAAAACGTCTTCGCGGGAATCACCTTCTGCTAGAGAAGGCAGTCGTAGTCGTGCCACCCATTGGTTTCCATCTGAAAATTGTACTATTCGAACCATGTGATTGTAACCAAGGCCGATATCAGGAAGCAGTTTGCAACTTACTCCATTCCGTTTCTTAGCAGCGTATTCTAATAGCGCGTTCCAATTCACAGATGCTAGAAACAAGTCGGCCCGTGAACGAAGGGGACCGTGTTCAAGAGAAGAAAAATAAGTCCACTAATACCCAGAAAAACCTTTACTATTTTCTAGACTGTTGTTAGTGTGCGATGAAGGCCAAATTTGAAGTAAAACTTACTAGAAACACCACCAGAGCCTCTATTTTCATGGTCGTTGTTCGCCATGGCGCAAAATCATAGAAGGCACAGCGATGTCAAAGTTAGAAGGGAGATCAGAGAACTCAAGGGCATAAAGGCTTTCTTTATATGCTGGCTCAGCGTGGCAAATCGATATTTCGGTATGTGGTCAAATGTAGTTGGAATTTGCCACGCCTTTCTGATGCCTGAGCCTCAGAAGGCCAAGTCATTATATCTACTTTCTTATATAGATTTACAGTTGTGTGACCCGAGATACGCGAATCACCTGAGTGGTCTGTGCAACTACCCGAGGCGGATAACCTGTGCAGTTGTTGGCTGAAAAAGAAAAGCAAGTATGGGATTAAATTTAATATAAGAGGTTACAGATGACAAGCTCACTGTTAGATCCGCAATTTTGGAGGGCAATTTAGTTTAATTATCGACGTCACGTTACGCCATCTTCTTTGCTGCAGTACTACGAATCAAGATCTAATCTCCTCGAGATTAAGCCTAATGCTACCGTACTTTGAGGACATCAAAAGTAATGCCCACTGGCTGAGATCTCATATAGCTGGCTATAAAAGCTTCCGTTACCGTTTGGCTTCTCTTGCAAATATCCCACTTCACATCCAAAACTCTTCATGTCATGCCACACAGTGAGAAAATATGCAAGCGGGCGAAATCCATACGTTTTGTTTATATTCTCGCTGACATGTTTTTAACGACCAACGTGCTGGTTGACTATACGTTGGGAGCACGCTGACTTGAGTTCCAGAGTAATATACCATATTAGGGAAATGGCAGGGAAGTTAGCTACTTCACATGGCTCTCTAATCAACCTAATGTTGCAAAAGTTGAGAAATGCCTCACTCCTACGATGTGCCCTAGCAAACATGCTTTATTATCGACCGTGATTCAATGCTGTGTTAGCGCATACGACTATGAGGTTGTAGAATACTATACTTTGGCATGGCATGTACCGCGTGACCACAATTTACAGGGAATGATATACCTAGTCGGATGCTGCATCTTGCCGAGACATGTCGAATACGTGACTCAGAATATATAAGTATACCTTACTAATAGACACAATTGGATAGAATTTTGAACGGATATCATCTCGCTGTTTCTCAAATTTGAGAATCGAAGAGCAGAGTGGGGATAAAGTACCTCCACCAAGAAAAGTGTCTCTCGTTAAACTGTGAGCTTTTCGGGCACCTTATTGTGAGATTGTGATGCCCGACATAATTATAGCCTATGTGTGAGAAAGATCGATCGTTTGGGGATTCGGAACTAAAGACTTAGGTCTATTTCTCATGCAATATGTTTTAGTGGACATGTATTAATATTGGTCATCAAGAAATATTGTCTTTGTGTATATGAATATGAGGTAGCAGGATGTAAACTTGGCATGACATATAACATGATGTACTAATGTGCAGGCAATACGATCTGGTCGGATTTTGCACTTTGACAAGATATATCTCATATGAAACTCAGAAAAAATGAAAACAAGCTACTTATTGGCACTACGCATACAGGTTGTTGTCGCTTGCATTAAGATCGCAGTAAAGGGCAAAGAGAGGTAGCCAGCGATGGACATCGGATATTGCACTCTATTTTCATAGTTTGATCAATTGCTGACCCAGTTTCAGAGACATTATCACGAATTTTACAGCAACACCTCGAGTTAAATAAAACATTCAACGATCTTAGTAATCTCAGAGCTACATATCAAATAGTATTTCATTGCCTAAATATAACGTTAGTGAACGAATGGACCAGGCATCGATATTACAATCATGTGAATAAGTTAATGCTTTAAACGTCCTCATAACCATTTACTAGTGGCAGGCGTGTTATAATACAGAGTAGTAGCATTCCATCTCTCTACTAACTATAATGCTGCAATGGATATTTAAGATGGGCTCAGCCGGGATCGTGACGCCTATGATTAAAGTAATTACTCGTTCTATTACTGGGTTACTGTTCCTGCTGCGCTTAGCGAGTCCATCACGCGCGAGACTAGCTAGCTAGCTCACTTGGAGCATGTTTGGCGCTGTTGATCTAGATGAAACGAAAAGATTCTATAGGCGCATGATATTTTAATTAGCTATGCATTAGCTCCTGATGCAAGAATTTGACTAAATTGATATTGATATACGCGCTGCTTTCGTTTGCATGAGTCATGATTAGGTAGACGTCGGGTGACTCAATCTAGATTCAGATTTCTCCAAGTTTCCACGATTCTCCAAGTTTCCACAAACGGCCATAGATTGTAAGTCTCCCCACCTGTAGAATTGGTGCTTGTTTCTAGCCGTATTAAGCTTCTAGGATTCTTCAGGCCCGAACCCGATTGGCCAGTCTGCATTTCTATATGCATGTACGACGTTGGTCGCAGGATTGTTTATCGACTTCCGTCCTTTTACCGTTTACGAGCTTGGTGGATGATACGTGGATGAAAGCTAAGCGTCCAAGGTATCATTAAGAAGGGGATTTATATAATAATAGCACATAGTTCCTGTAGAGATTGATGCCAGCTTTCCCGTATTGTTTTCCCACCTCTCGGCACCATATAGCCTACTCTCTTTTGTATCTGTATCCCCTTTCATATTCATTCACTCATTTTAGGTTAATTCATCCGCCATAAAATGGCTTCGCGCATTCTTTCCAGAGCCATCTCCTCATCATATTCGCCTCTACTACGACCAACAAGGCGGCCATTACATCTTCCGCTTTACTCGTGCCCTAGTCTTTCGCCCAAGTGTGTCGCTTCTTCACGTCTGTTCCCTGCGTTTCGCCATGTCCGACTACAAAGTACTACATCAAAGCCACAGCAAACGCAAAAGCTCCAATGGTATTGGAAACTACTCATTACTTTGGGCATCACTGCTGGAGCGACGACTGGCGGCGTTATCGTTGCAGATAAATACTATATGGGAGGCATCCTTACGCGTAGCTTGCGAGCATATGCGACATTAGCTCAAGTCGGCTTCGATTATAAAATGCACACAGGCAAGAATCCCAAAGGAGCCCGTGTGCCCATCGATGAGCTGCACGATCGAAATGCCAAGAGAGTTTGCGACATGATCAAAACCAACGGCGGCATGTTTTTAAAGATTGGCCAAGCCATCGCCGTACAAAGCTCCGCTCTACCAGAAGCGTACCAGCGTGAATTCAAGGATATGTTTGACGATACTGCTCAGGATCCCTGGAAAGACGTACAAGCAGTTATTAGAGAAGAGTTTGGAGCCAGCGCGATTGAAGTATTCGGCGATGGTATTGAAAGAGAGCCCAGAGCCTCCGCATCCATAGCACAAGTCCACTACGCGAAGCTGCCAGACGGACGAGAAGTTGCTGTCAAAGTGCAGAAAAGAAAATTGGCACAACAAGCATCCTGGGATTTGTGGACATTCAAGTATGTAACTTCACGTTTTCGTTTTCTTGGTATGCAATATCTTACACAGTGCACTAACTGGATATCTCAACAGAACTCTTCTCGATATAGTCGGCAAAATGACAGATGTACCCATTCAAGGTCTCGGCGACTATATAATGAATAGCGTCATGCAAGAGACCGATTTCCAAAACGAAGCTGCAAACACGATACGTACTGCGGAACTTGTCAAGTCTGACCCCAACCTGAGCACACGTGTATATATCCCCAAAGTCTACGCTGAGCTTACATCCAAACGCGTATTGACATCTGAGTGGATCCACGGAGCCAATTTATGGGATAAAGATATCATTACTGGCAAATACGAGGCGTCTGATGAAGCAAATTCAGCGATGGGTCTTAGGGAGGCAGATGTCATGACCACAGTCATTGATCTCTTCTCATCTCAAATGTTCAAATGGGGTTTCGTACATTGCGACCCTCATCCTGGCAATATATTCGTACGACGCCTTCCGACAGGCCAGCCACAAATCGTACTGATAGATCATGGCCTCTATGTATCCCTCACCGATAACTTGCGGCGACAGTATGCTCGATTTTGGAAATGTCTCCTAATGGGTGACCAAAAGGGACTGGACGAAGTATCGGCTGCTTGGGGAATGAAGACGTCTGATGCCTGGGCGGATACATTCATGTCTCGCGAGAAAAAGCCTGATCCGGTTGGCGAGACACCCGCAGAGCGCGACGAGCGATTGCTGAGCGAAGCCTCTGGCTTCTTCGGTGAGGCTGGGCTATATCCCCGTGAGCTCTTGTTCTTGGAACGGAATTTGGCTCTTGTTCAAGGCAGTAACCGTTTTTACGACTCTCCCGTCAATCGACTCGGTATGATTGGTCGTTCAGCAATGCAGAACCTGCGCGACGACAGCCAAGTGACGTTTCGGCAGGCTCTAAGCTCACAATGGTCCATGCTTGTGCTTGATGCCGTCTTCTACATTAGCCGTTGGAGGCAGTATATGGGATGGGGCAAAGGCTTTGAGGCGGAGCTCAAAGAAGCTGAGGAGAGAATGGCTCAAGAGATGAAAGATTCTATATCTGGGCTTTGGGAGGTTGACGAGAAGGTACAGTGACGGAGACAGGGAAGCTCTCCGTTGTATAAATAACGATTTTCCTTTGTTAAGCATCTAGCATTTAGCAATCGGCGTACATGTACACTATCCATAGACAATCTCTGTTCCGTACAGATGTATTATTATTACTCCCCAATAAAATATTCTTCTTCTTCTGTAATTTCAGCCCCCCCCAGACGATCGGGACACTCTCTCTGCGTTATACAGAAATACGTAAGCTGTCTCAAATTTGATACCCTCTGTAAGCGATCCAGACACTAATTAATGACGAGGGCTAAATGGTGCCTGTTTCGAAAACGTAAGCCGGCGTCGATCCAGCAAGTTTCGAGGATGAGGCTTGGACAAAAATTGGTATCGTTTAATTGTAATCCTTCACGAATCATTCATGGAAGAGAAGAGAAGGAGATGATAGAGAATAAAATTGACCGCTTCATCATACGAGTGGGAAAGCTTGAATTATCTCGGTATAGAAAGCATGTGGGTCGATGATGTGAGCAGAAAGAGGCGCTTCTCCGCATAGAACGCCAACGTGCTTTCAAGATTCACTTTAGTCATCCGGTTATATCGCTTCAGAGAGCACTTTGAAGTGTTAATTAATTGCATAAAAGACTATCATCAAAGCAAAGGAGCATCCATAGACGATCAACTAAGCAATATTGGTGTAGGAGGAATCATGCGCGTACACACTTTGAAGCGCCTCTCAATTACGTCTCCAGTCAAATTCCGAAGCAAAAAGCCATTACGATAAATTTAAAGGCATTGCTCCAACTTCGAATCATTTCTATCCAAATAGTCCATTTTTAAATCCCAATCTTCACATCACTCAAGATGGCTGCATCAAAACTCCCAACTAAGGCTCTCGGCCGTAACGGCCCTCTTGTCTCTACCTTGGGCTTTGGAGCTATGGGTCTAAGTGCGTCCTATGGATTTGGCGGTTCTGACGAAGATCGTTTCAAAGTTCTAGATCGTGCCTACGAGCTTGGAAGCACCTTTTGGGATACTGCAGATGTCTACGGTGACAACGAGGAGTTGATTGGTAAATGGTTCAAGCGTACGGGCAAACGGGATGACATCTTCCTCGCTACCAAGTGCGGCGGTGTATTCAATGCCTCTGGAAATTTCACTATACGTTCAGATCCGGAGTATGTGCGAGAGGCTTGCGACAAGTCGCTCCAGCTCTTGGGAGTATCCCACATCGATCTGTTCTATCTCCATCGCCTCGATAAAGAGACTCCCGTTGAGTTGACAATTGGTGCACTAGCAAAATTAAAAGAGTAAGCCTACATATGCGGACAGTGCTTACCAGTGCGTTAGACTGACAGATGAAATGCACCACAGAGAAGGCAAAATCCGACATCTCGGGCTCTGCGAAGTATCCGCAGAAACACTTCGACGTGCCCATGCCGTCCATCCAATCACTGCCATTCAAGTTGAATATAGTCCCTTTTCGGTAGACATTGAAAGCCCTCAAGTCGGTCTTCTTCGCACAGCAAGAGAGCTCGGCATTGCTGTTGTGGCCTACAGCCCGCTGGGGCGAGGCATGCTCACAGGGGAGATCAAATCGCCTGACGACTTTGCCGATGACGATTTCCGAAAGTATCTTCCGCGCTTCTCGAAGGAAAATTTCCCGAAGAACCTGGCATTGGTGGAAAAGCTTAGCATCATTGCCGCGAGCAAGGGTATCACATCGGGACAGCTGACTTTGGCGTGGCTGCTCGCGCAAGGAGATGACATCTTTCCTATCCCTGGGTGAGCATTTTCTCCATCTCCTTTTCAATCAATAATTCTATGCATGGACTAGATAGGCTAACAATAGGCAGTACCAAGAAGATCAAATACTTGGACGAGAACCTAGGAGCTGCCAACGTCACGCTCACCAAAGATGAAGAGGCAGAGATTCGCAAAGCAATCGATGAGACAGAGGTCATTGGAGGTCGATACTCGGACGAGTGAGTCTTATACTACGTCTTTTTTGTGTTCATCTTGTGCTAACGATTTTCATAGGATGTCTGGTCATTTATTTGCTGACACCCCTGCTCTTTGAGCATGGCCTGCAAATGGAAACTAAAGAGGATGCTGTAGCGTAGTGTTTATACTATTCGTCTGCTCTATGCAGAGAAGCCAATATATAATTCGGCTATATCTCCCAGATGCTACTTCAAATACGTGAAATAATTACTGAATTGAGGCCCAGCCAATTACACAACGATTACCAACTTGAATTGAATTGCTGTGATCCCTGTTGCTCTCGGCAGATATCAAATAGATCCGAATCTTATTTCCATTCAGAGTAATATGCCACAAATTAAAATCCGGCATTGGTCTCTCTGCATTGCTCCCCTTGCGGCCCACAGCGCCCTGCCAATCTAGAGATGGGCATATTTGGGTAGTGGATCACGGTCATTCACGGAGATAGATGAACGACCCAAACTCCGCTGACAGATGTATGCGGAGTTTTACACAAAGTCATGGCGGGTGTAACTAGTCTGTCAATCTTCTGGTTATAACTCTCCCCTATGAATTGAGTTTCAAATTTCTTATCGCTTTAATTCTTATTTGTTTTACATTCTCAAAAGTGTCTAATTTCATCATCTCTTTTAAACCACTTTCCTTTGGCCTGTGTTCCTTCGACAGTGTGTGCTTTTGATTCATCACCGACTTTTCGTCTTTAGCCTAGCTGGCGCCATCTCAATTAGAATAGGATTAACTTTCTATTAACAGCTCTTTCCCCTTTGCTTATTTGATCGAAAAGTGGATCCTCTATAGACCGGATGCTCACCTCATCACTCTTTCAGAACGGCCTGCTCACCACATCAACTTCTACAGAGCGCCGTTTGATCTGCTGTTCACTTGGATTCGCACAAAGAAATAGCTGCCATCATCAAATCTCCACGCAGGTTTCTTCTTGGCATGTTATACATTGATTACGACATCTGCATATCTTCGGTCATGGAGGATGTTGATGCCATAACGAAAAATGCCGAGCGGCCAGCTGAAGAGCAGCAGCGTGATCGGAATGACAGCGAGCCGGGTCTGGAACAGCACAAAGCATCAAAATCACAAAGAACGATACCGCAAAAATTAAAGACATCCGAAAAGAGGCGCATTCAGAATCGTGCAGCACAAAAGACTTATCGTTAGTATACGACTTGTTTTGGTCGCGTTATGTAAACAGAAACAATGCCGCTAATAAGTTGAAACTTGCAGGAGAAAAACAGAAAAGAAGACTGCAGGCTCTAGAGCTGTATGCTAAATCCCAAACGGCTACTTCTCAAGATGAAGTAACCTTCTCCACTCCATCGTCCACTCTTGGCCAAGATGTAGCTGGCATGCTTGGCATGGATTCGCCAATCATGGGGATACCAGATTTATTACAACACCACAACCTTCCAACCCCTGAAATTGGCATAAATGATCTTGTAAGCTGCGACCCAAGCCTCAATGCAGCTCCTTCAAATGGTCCAGCAAGTGGATCTATCCCAATATACGACGAATACGTACCGAGCAGTAATTTGCAGGTGGATAATGCTCTAAACTCTAGCAAATCATTTCAAGACGACTTGTTTTCAGAATCAAGAAATAGACTCTCATCTCATCCGGGACCGGAGGTTATCGCTCCAGAGAACAGCCTTGGTTCATGCCATTTGCAGCAGAATCATGTGCGAACACGCAGTGACAGCGCGCCAAACGGTGAAACTCATAATGAAAGCGACGCGGATAGTTTACTTGCGCAGTTTCTCCTGCAAGATGATGTTACCTTAAGTAGAGGTCTGCTTAGAGATATTCGAAAACACAAGATAACTTTGAGAGATGTCCTAAGGCTGGGCCTTCGGTCGCTGGAGGGCAAGTCATGCGGCACACAAGGGGGTATGAGAGTGACTGAAAACTCATTACAACAGCGTGCATATCGTAAGTCTATAGCTGTTGGTTTGTATACTCTATCCCATGTTATCGAGCTAATGGACAACTAGTACAGCTCCCTGACCTCCACAGTAATACAATTCGCGTCACGCAAATGTCGTTTGTGGCAGCTGTTTTACACAACGCTTCCATGCTTGGCATAACGGCATCCGAGATACTTTCGCAAGATACTGAGTCTTGTTTTTATACCGGCAGAAGCACTTCAGATGCAGCAGAACATGTCGCCCAACAGCCCGCGCTTGATAACATTAAAGAACATTTGAAACCAACTCAAAATCAACTCACACATCGCCACCACCCGTATATAGACACTCTCCCATTTCGAGTTTTTCGCGAACGTTTAATAGCACTGATTCACGCTCAGCCCCCCATAATCGATATGCCAGAGCTCTGCCACGATTTGCAGAGTGATGGGGTTATATGTTGGGGATCCAGCGCTGGAGCCGGGACTGGACATTCGGGAGCTCCGTGGGACATTCGAAGCTGGGAAGTACGGCCATGGTTTCTGAGAAAGTGGTGGATGCTGACGGAAGGGGCTGATGGAGAGATGTATCAGCAGGCAAGATGGTGGTGCGAGATGAGAGGCGAGGATATGCCAGCTGTGTGGTGATGGACTGATGCATGCTTTTGGATTCTCCAATATACTCGCGTTCATATGAGTTGAACGAGTTCACAACTGTTGCCGAGTTGAGAAGTGGGGCTTTCTAGAGCTTGGTTGGCAATAATACGGTGCCATTGACAAGCATAGCTTCAGTTACACATTGGAAGATGGCTATGAGGACTACTAGCGATTGATTATTGTATGTTTGCGCAGTGTATAAAGAAAGGATGGTTTTTCCATGTGGCCAGAAGTGGGTATAGAAATGCCCAGTTGTGTATGAGTCACTACGTCATAACCAGCCGCCGTCTAATTCACGTAGCCAGCAAGACGAGCATCACGCACCGATGCTGAGAGGATACTGGAGGAATATCAACCACAGAGAATATCTGAGAGTCTTTCATCCAGCTAAATGCATTCAACTCTGACTCTACCATCGAGCTGCACATTATTCAACGGCGGACTGGCGCAGCTTCCAAGCTCAATTGCATCACCCAACCTGCCCCTCCATGCCCCACCATGGAGCTGCGTAGCTGCCGGATAAACCCGCCGATCTTCGGATCGCGATAGTCAAAGTCGCAAGAAAAAAAAAAGTCTCGTCTTCTTCTCGTCTTCGAAGCCAGCCAAACAAAGACGAGAAACACCCAATTGACTGCGCCCGCCATGTCAATTCGCACTCTCAGAATCGGTACATGCTCCTTTGCTGCCCCTCATCCAGAAACACCATCATTTTCTCTCCTCCTCCTCCACTCCTAGCAGCACACAATCCAACTAACCTCATTCATTCGCAGGCCTCATCCCCGGTGACGGCATCGGCAAGGAAGTCATCCCCGCCGGCCGCCGCATCCTCGAGGCCCTCCCCGCCTCGCTCAAGCTCAAGTTCGACTTTGTCGACCTCAAGGCCGGCTTCGAGGCCTTTGAGCAGACCGGCTCGGCGCTGCCCGAGGCCACCGTCGATGTGCTGCGCAACGAGTGCCAGGGCGCCCTCTTCGGCGCCGTCAGCTCGCCCACCCACGCCGTCAAGGGCTACTCGTCGCCCATTGTCGCCCTGCGCAAGCGCCTCGACCTCTACGCCAACGTGCGCCCCGTCAAGACCGTCATGACCGCCAAGAAGCCCATCGACATGGTCATTGTGCGCGAGAACACCGAGGACCTGTACGTCAAGCAGGAGACGACGCGCGACACCCCCGACGGCAAGGTTGCCGAGGCCATCAAGCGCATCTCCGAGAAGGCCTCGTTCCGCATTGCCGCCATGGCCGGCGACATTGCGCTGCGCCGCCAGAAGATCCGCGAGTCCACCCCCAGCATCCACAGCAAGCCCCTCGTCACAATCACCCACAAGTCCAACGTCCTGTCGCAGACCGACGGCCTGTTCCGCACCGCCTCCAAGCAGGCCCTGTCCGACCCCAAGTACGCCTCCGTCGCCATTGAAGAGCAAATCGTCGACTCCATGGTCTACAAGCTGTTCCGCCAACCCGAAGACTACGACGTCATCGTTGCCCCCAACCTGTACGGCGATATCCTCTCCGACGGCGCTGCCGCCCTTGTTGGCAGTCTCGGCCTCGTTCCCAGCGCCAACGTCGGCGAGGGCTTTGCCATTGGTGAGCCTTGCCACGGCAGCGCTCCTGACATCCAGGGCAAGAACATTGCCAACCCCATCGCCACTCTGCGAAGCGCTGCCCTGATGCTTGAGTTCCTTGAGGAGCCCGAGGCTGCTGCCAAGATTTACGCTGCTGTTGATGCCAACTTGGAGGAGGGCAAGCTGCTGAGCCCTGACTTGGGTGGAAAGGCCACCACTGATGAGGTTGTTGAGGATATCCTGAGACGCCTATAAACGGTGTCGCTTACTAGAAACAACAATCAATAAAGTAAAAATTGGCGTGCAAATGCAGAATGCTATTATTACGTCTCTTAAAAGTTTTGATTGAGTAGCATTAATGGTAAAATCACCGGGGTGTATACCTGGACTGAGAAGAAATAAAGCAATCTTGAATAAAAGAAATAAAGTAAAGCCATATTGATAGAAGAGATTCTCTTAGTGGCCGACCAAGCAAATTTGGCTATCCAGCCTGTAAATAGTCACCCCAATAGTTTCCAACGAGACGGTAGAAAAGAAAATTACCATATTATCCCAAGTCTCCAAATACCTATATCCAGGCCGGGTACCAAATAGCGAGGTAAATAAATACCACCAAATAGCGCCAAATATGTCGCCTCATCGATCCCATATCCCGACATATCGTAAATACGATGCCGGCAGTTATCCCAATTCCCAGAAGAAGAAGAAAAAAGTGAAATGAATCGAAAAGCACCGATGCCTCTCATGGTTAAGCACGTCTCAAACATTCTTCTGTTTCGCATTCTTCGCTGCGACTTTCTGGGCCTTAGCAGCCATATTCTTCTCTTTTTCATCCTTTCTGCGCAAAAAAGCTCTTTGAAGCTCAACCTCGCTCACAGGGCGAGGCGTATGGCCGTCATCCTGTAGAGTACGGTCCACATCTTTAGCCTTCATCTTTTGGAGTGTATAGATGCGGCGATCGATGGGCTCCTTGGTTTTGATGTTGACAAGATGAGTTACTTTCTCTTGGCCGATTCTGACAACTCGTCCGAAAGCCTGCTGCTCGGCCGTCTTGTTCCACCATGGATCGATGATTATCACTCGGTTAGCAACGGTGAGGTTCAGCGATTGGCCTCCGCTCTTGAGCGTAGAAACCTACACAAAAAGTAATTCTGGTTAGAAATATTGCTCCGAATTGCAGTGGACTGCGTTGGATAGTACTGAACTAAGCTCACCATCACTTTTATATCGTCTCGAGTTTTAATCGTATCCAGGGCTCTGGCTTTCTGCGGCGGTGTGAGACCCCCGTAAAAGTACACAAATCCAATATCTAGAGTCTGGAGCATAAGCCCCAGCATTTTTGCCGTACCCCTAAACTGGGTGAAAACTATGATAAGGGAGAGAACGACGAATAAGTACTCGTAATGCGGCGACAACTTCGAAATACCTAAACTTACTGAGAATTTTGTCATTAGGTGCTTCATCCATCCATGTAAGAACAACTGCTATGGCCGCTGTAAGCTTTGTGCTTGGAAGTATCGGCATACTGCCACCGAATGTACTGGCTATGAAGAAGCCATTTCGACTATCGTCATAATGTACAGGCACATTCCAGCTGTCTTTTGCAGGCTCCCGATAGCCGCTACTTTTATCTTCCGCCTGTTCCATTATTTTTTGTATAGTCATTATATCTGGTCCAAATGCGAGCTTCTCTGTACAGCTTTGGTGAGGACAATTCTAAAATATCTCATTAGTTACCATTAATTATGAAGACAAGAAAAATTAAAACACCCACAACTGTTCCTTTGTTTCCACGGGCCTCATGCTTGAGGGCCGCTAGCATGCATCTTGAGCAGAAAACATGGCCACACTCATTCTATTGTTAGCTTGAAGTCCGCGTACTTTGCCTTTTCGATCCAGCTTACCATATCTGAGAACACCGGCTCTACTGGCGGCTTCGCCGTATTACAGAGGAGGCAGGTAACATCCCTCACACTGCACTCCTCTCTCAAGATATCCAAGAGCGGTCCCATGTCGAAACACTTACCAAAGAACGTTTCTTCTCTCTCTTGTAGTGTCTTTAGTCCGTTTTGATATTTTGAGATTTCATCATCTGCTTTCATGCCGAGCTGCATCTGCTCTAAAATGGTCTCCTTGTTGCCGATGTCAACCAAGCTGCGTCGTAATTCGGCCAACTGTTCTACAGAGAAATTCTGGCGGAGAAGTAGCTCAATGCAAAACACATGAGACGTTGATTGACGCTGTCTCACTTGACTAGCGCGCCCCAATAAGTACTCTTGCTGACGTCGTGAGCGCACTTTAGTCGCAGCTTTGCGGCGGTGGTTTTTGTTGCTCTGTTGCTCTTCAGCGTCATCGATACCTTCCACGTCGTCTATATCCTTTAAATCTCTCAGTCCGAGTGTACCCATTTCCCAGCGCAATTTCATTTTTTTATAATGATCGCTCACGGCTCTAAGAAAATAGTATGAGCACCCGAAATTGTTTATACAGCCAAAAAGGAAAGGTGAGCGATAAAAGACTCTAGATTTTCAACTCACTTGACAACACAACCTTCTTCTGCTGAGATGGGAACCCAAAGGTCAGTTTCGTTCCGTTCTGGGAGGCTAATGATTTGCCTTCCTAAAAAAGAATCATCTATTGTCCTATACGGTCATTAGTTATCGCGCATAAGTGATGCCTTGACAGAATAGAAGGCTCACCGCCGATACATGATGAGGCTGGTCAATGCCTCAAATTCGGCGTTTGGTTCACCCTGCGGCAGTCAGTTCTATTCTCTTTAACTATCATGTAGCTCTCCATCTTACACCAAGAAAGAACGTTTTGCGAAACTCCTGGCGAGTTGCTGTCCAATCACATTGTGTGAACTTCATGTAGGGATACATTTCTGCATTTATTAGCCTCTTCAATGGGATTCGGATTGCTGCGCATACCTTCAGAGCTGTTGGATAGAGGTGTACCAGTTAAGGCCCATCGGTACTTCCCCAAAAGTGCACAACAGGCTTTAGATGCTGATGGTGAGAAGAAGGAAAAACCGAATTAGTAACCCTAATCTAATCACGACGAATGGAAACATACTGCGACTTTCATAGTTTTTGATGGCATGAGCTTCATCTAGAATTATTCTGTACCAGTTGATGCGAAATAGCGGGCCCATGATCTTGTCTAGCTCACGGTGAAAAGAGATGTTGTCAGTGCCATACTTGGCGGCAAGTTCTTGAAGAACAAAGTTTTCCGGATACTGCATTATTAGCTCTTTATATGTAGCAATCCTGTTAAACATTAGACATTATGACCATGACATCTGATATAAACGACACTCACACAATAAGACTTCGTGTGCACAACTGCTGCAAATCTTCTCGTTGCCGGTCGTAGATGAAAACCATATAGTTGAATGGATCGCTGCAGTGTCTCTGTACACTCAATCAGCTTAAATTGTCATCTGCGCGCTTGCTTCAATATACTTACACGTGCCTCCGCTTCCCATTGTAGAGCGATGGCTTTGTTCGGTACGACTACAAGAGTTGCGTTGCAAAATTTGGCGATATGCTCATTATCTGCTTGGTTCCCAATTATGCAAGCGAGGCTCATGATTGTCTTCCCCATTCCCATGGCATCGGCTAAAATTCCGCCGAACGGCTCCGCCCGAGCCAACTCTCTCTTAACCATCCAGGCCGCGGCAGTGATTTGATGGTTATGCATTGGTGTCTGCATACCTTTCAACTTCCAGCCGCCATCTTGAGCTTCAACCTTTTTATAGCCAAAGATACTTTTAGCCTCAACGAGATCTTGTTTTTGCGTTGTCTTGCGTCTAGTATCACAGTTTTGGGGTATACTGGCTATGATTTGAGCCATTTGCTCTGCATGAGTCCTGGCCGTGATAGACTCTGCAGGAAGAAGCGAGTCATCTTTGGAGGATGAAGAGCAGCCGTTTGATACGAGGAAGCTATTACCATTTGCCGTCTTCAGAGCTTTTGAAGGCCCCATAGCGCTTCCAACGAGCTTGCGCTTGCGTGAGCGTTTCGCACCTGACTTTTTTCCTTCGTCTTCTTGCTTCATTCTTCGGGCAATTTCTTCATCTTCTTTCTCGTGGAGGCGAGCAACATATTCTCGTGCTGTTAATGCGATTTTTCGTCGGGGCTTTTTGTTTGTTTTCTCTGCGGGTGAGTTGTGGTTTGGCTGTGGAGCTTCGTGTTCGCAATCATTATCAGATGAGGCACTCCCGTCATCTCCGTAATCAGAGTCTTTATCTTCTTCGGCAACATCTATACCGTACCCTTCAAACTCTTCGGGTTCCAATGATTGAAGATTAGCCAATGCTTGGTCAGCGATATTATCTACTGACGGGAGAGTGTCCTCTTCAATGTTTGTCTCAGGTTCAAGTGCATGTAGCATTTTACACTTCCCCACCTCGATGGTGAGGTCACCTTCCATAGCATAGCTATTCTCCACGGGGCGATTATCGTTTATGGTATGGCTGTCATCTATATTGTGATTGCCCGCCTCGTCTATATCATCTTCCGCGACTTGGCCATCTTCCATGGCATTCTGACTGTCTTCCACGAATAGAGATGTCTCCTTCCTGAGCACCTCCTGGATGTGAAGTAATGATGTTGGAGCGTCATGGTCTTCACTGATAGGATTGGGGTCGTTTCGCGGTTCCGGTCTGCCAGCGTTGCTATCGTTTGAATCAAAATTCTCTGAGCTGCCATTATTAGTAGGCTTGGGCGATTGGCAAGGAGAGAGAAGTTGTTGAGGTAGCGGCTGAGGAGGCGCTGGGGGCAAATCCATATTTGAAGCCATCTTAAGCGATACCTACGTCAAGGTTAGCCTAGCTCTTTTATCAAGCTATGGAGAGTGAATATACTGAAGAAGATACAGTAAATCAGGTCGAGTTTGCGGCTCAAGAGAGAAATTGAGTCACTGCTAGAGGTAAAGGAAAGTGGTTGGAGTGTTGTGAAGCTGCATATGTTCAATTGCAGATGTTTCTGAATCTGATGAAGAAAAGTAAGATAGAAATTAATGGAAAGGTGATAAAAATTTGGATGGGGAAGAAGGAAGAAAAGTTCAAGTGTTTCGATAAAGATGTTTAAATAGGCACATTCAATGAAGGGCGGTGAGTTATTGCCAATGCAGGTGCACCTGAGAGTGAGGCGAGCAGGTGTTCTCTGAATGGCATGTACCTTTCAAAATACTTTTCTCAGCTGTTAATGTCTAAGCCAGCGGAACCAGCAGTGCTCAGAATTTTCAGGGTGCTTGCTTAAAATGCGAGGTTCGCACAAGATTATCGAAAGCGATAAAAGACCTCCATAAGAAGGGTAATTTTAGAAGCACATACGATGCGATAGGAGCAGCTGGAAGCTATGATCTGGATTCAGTCCCAACTTTGTATGTCATTTCTGAAGTTTATTCTGTTACCTCATTATACCTACAGACGGTAAGCGAAAGAAATAAAGAATACTATAGTGCATATATACAACTTTATTGCTACGCTCACTGTTATTATACTGTAAATTATTCCAACGGATAAATGCAGTTTTTACTACTACAATTTACTACCTACTCCTATATCCATGATTGCTGCCGCTACTGCTACTTCTACAACTTTTACTGCTCCTAATGCTTCAAATAATGGAAAACTTTTATATTTTTATGTTCATATTTCTTTTTGTGTATGCTTTCATTTTGCAGACCCCATTCTTTTGGCCCCCTTGCCTTCCTAGGTCCTTGCCTTCCTAGGTCTACATCGATGCCACAGCGCATGGTAAACTGCCATTGCGAGATACACAAATGACAAGATGATAATTAGATGTAGAAGAAATATGAACGGTCTCTACAAAATCTGCTCAATTCAATGTTATGCACTTGCCTTTTAGCTTGAATCGGTGATATATCGCCAATTTATAGCAATACCTTGTTCCCACGGGTGTCTGGAGCTTTGGTGCAACATTCGAATCCTCTCAGATGGCTGTTCATAACTCTTCATATATTGCTTCTGACAATTGTAATAGGAATGGAAGCAGCTTAGTAACATGCTTCTACAAAAATACCTGTAGAGCAACCTGTTCGACATCTTATCTCGCTAAGTCACTCAGCATTATATAGGCGCATATAGCATCACCATCTTTCCCGCATTATCTTCAAGTACATATGATATGCAGTCGTATGACGCGGCCTACTCCGGCTGAAGGCATAGTTTCATCAATCTCATTCACCGCCACGCTATTCGATTTACACCCACTGCGTTATCCCATCTTTAGACTGCTACCTCGGGAATTCTGAGCTTCATTCCCTCGGGGAGTTTTAATATACCTCTCTTGCAGAATTCCGCGGTTATATAACAATGAAACTGAGGATTTGTGGGCTTTCGCACCGCCAATCTCGTTAAATTCGTTAATATCGTCAGCAGGTCTACCGTCAAATCAGCCACATGAGTTTACACCGATTCTCCAACCGAACACTCTACTTGGCTTCGTAGATTTCTCGGTGTTTGCGCCGCAAACACTCATTCCCCAGACTTTTAAGTATTGCAGACGGCATTTGGACTTGGCTATCCGTAGAACTATCTGTAGCTCTAATAAGATATTGACACAGGAGTTCTAGCAGGAGAAACAAAGTGGAGTGATCAGAGTAGCCACCCCGCAAAACCTGCTGCTACCCGATATAGACAGACTTGGCAGATACTCGCCAAGTTAATTGCATTTGAGATACTATACCTATGCAAAAAGACTATCTTATAATTCTTTGATGGTAATAAAAATTAATTGGATGCAGTTATATAGATGCAATTTGTGCTTTCTAGGTATGTAGTCGCATAGATATTTTTAGTTGCTCGTTCAGATATAAACTCAATATGCCTCTTTCAATGCAATCTTTCCATACGGTCTTAAATGCCACAATCAGCTACCAAACAATTGTACCCAGCTTTAGGCTCGCAGCTACATCTCGCATATGGTTCTAGTTAGTTCCGAGTCTGTTAGTGGTGATATACACCGATATTCGCCAAGACAGGGGCTGTTTATATGTCACGGGAAGTAATTCTCCGTAGTCACAAGTGCCAACACCTCTCGCTCTTCATCGCCAGTCTCCAGCTGAAAGTCGCGAATGCTACCCTACAAGGATGCCCCCCCCCCCCCCCCCCCCCCCCCCCAAAAAAAAAAAAAAAAAAAAAAAAAAAAAAAAAAAAAGAAAAGGGCCACCGAGGCTAGGCCACCATCCTTCAGATGATAGATGCCGTTAGAATTTAGGAGATGATTGCTAAAACGCAGTGCTGATGGACTCCTCAGTGCAAGCTGCCTTGAATGATATAAGATACCTCTCACTCTTACTTTTTCCAAGTGTCGGTCTGTGAAATAATAACCACTTGCATTTTACCACAATGAATGATCTACTCAATGTTGTTCTGGCTCGCATTTATATCGTTGGGGTTATTACAGTGGCGGGACTAGCTTTTGTGAGTTTCCATTGTCTTGTGCACAAGCAGTTTGACCTTTGCTAACACTCGTACAAGCTGATCTTCTATGCCCTTCGAGACCCACTGTCCAAAGTCCCTGGGCCTTGGTACACCAAATGGACTTCAGTTGTGATCAAGGATCACTAGCTGAAAGGCAATCGAGCGAGCTACCATCATAGCTTACATTAAAAATATGGTGCGTATTTATTCCTCTAAGAATTTGTTCATGATGGTGATAGTTATTAATAGAGATTAGCATGACAGGCCCTGTCATTCGTCCCACTCCCAATGAAGTTTCTGTAACCAACATCGAAGCTGCCAAGAAAATCTACAATGCTAGAGAGACCTTCCGTAAGACTTCCTGGTACTAAGATCTAATGGTCTCAAGCGAGAATGTTTTCAACACAGCCGCACCGAGCTACGCCGACGACTATGAAGGCTTCTCTCGGACTCAATGTCTGAAACCTCACTGGTGGCAGTAACACCCCAGGTCCAGACTACGATTGATCTAATGATAAAAAGAGATGGGAAAGAGATGGAAAACAGAGGAGTTGCAGATGTGATGAAGTGGTTCCTGTTTATGACGACAGACATCATTGGAGAGCTTTCCTTTGGGGATTCGTTCCGAACGCTGGAAATCGGTGAACACACCGCCTATACCAAAGACCTGGCAGAACTGGGCTACCTCGGTGCCGTTCACTCTGCTTTTCCCACACTCATTGCATTGGCAAAATATGTGCCCATCCCTTACTTCAAACGTCCCCTTCGAGGCACGAAAAACATGAATCGTTATGCACACCAATCTATTGCTCGCTACAGGAACCTCTTGGACTCTGACCCTACCAGTGTTAAATGGACGCTCTTCACTAAAGTTTTCCAAGGCCAAGGCAAAGAAGAAGATCTAAACCCGGTAGAACTAAGAGGCCACGCATCGGCGTATATTGTTGCTGGCAGTGATTCCACAGCAGTCACCTTCACTTACCTGGTATGGTTCGTCTGTCGCGATCCCAAAGTCAAGGCTGCTCTTTTGGCAGAGCTTCGAACACTCCCTGCCGAGTTTAGCATTTCAGACGTCCGTGATATGAGCTACTTGAACTCAGTGATTGACGAGATATCTTTGCTCTGGCATCCAGTTTGCGCTGCCTCGTTGGGTGCCTGAGAGTGGTGACAATATCGCTGGGTACTGGCTTCCTGGCGGCACCACGGTTTGCGCTCAGGCATACAGCATGCATCGCGGCACCGATGTGTTTCCCAATCCGGATGTCTTTGATCCTTCGCGATGGTATATGCCAACAAAAGAAATGAAAGACTCGTTCATGCATTTTGGAAGAGGCTCACGGAGTATGTTTCTTTGTCTGTTGATGTTGACTTTCTTTGTATTTGCTGACTCTGTTATAGTTTGCATTGGACTTCATCTGGCACTGATGGAGCTGCGATATGGAGCTGCGCGCTTTTTCTTGACGTTTCCGGAAGCCAAGGTGTCGTCTCTGGAGGGCATGAGTGACAAGGACATGGCACCGAAGGTGTTTTGCTTTACAGAGCCAAAAGCCAAGCGATGTCTGATTCAGAGGCAATAAAGATTTGCCAGATGTATGTACTTCGTTTATCGCCCCGAATGGCACCGCGAAATCCCTTCAGATTATTATATAGGTGGAAGGTAGCAAGGGTCCATCATAAGAGCAGAATACTATGTGGATAATTCACCTTGATTCCTTCAGCTGCTGGGAACTGGTCTTTGCGGAGCCAAGGCACCTGAGCTGCTTGTTGGAATACAAGAGAAACAAAGATAGGTGTGGCCAGGTTGAAGGGACGAAATCCAGCCTTTGTTGTTAACGCATCTAATAATACCTCATACCGGAGACGTAACGTAGTCAGCCACGCTCTTTGACACGTTTCACAAGCAGCATGTAAGATTGCCACCTAGGTAGGCCAACTATTCCTTTGGATAAGGAACTCAGGACGAAACAAAAGGCAGCGATTCGCCTGAAGGCCAATAAAGACTGTCATCCATGATTAATTATTTGGCCTCGTCTCGAAGGCTTTCATTCTGCATCTTATACCCCAAAATACTTAGCGGAGCACGTTAAATCTTTGAACACAATGTCCGCCCTCAAAAGCAACTTGACTTCGGAGCGGAATTCGGTAAACAGCCAGACAGACGGCGCACCTCACTCTATACCGGCGACAGAGTACTCGACGGCGTGGGCATGCTCATGGACTGACACAGAGTTTGGTATATTGACCGATGCAGATTTGCATTGCCTAGCACACGTCAACTGCTCGTATCTCTCCTCAGGAAGACCACCGACATTGTTGGCTTTGAAGCAGCATGCGCAGGCTCTTACGAATCTCATCAGGATGCTATGTCTTAGCAACACATTTGGGATCGTTGATGGAGGGGAAAAACGACAGCCAGTTTTTGAGAAGAATGAAGCACTTGACTGGCTAAAAGATCTTGATAAACCCTACACAAACGATGACGAAAGTCACCATTTGCCTCTATGGGCTCTAGCAAACCAGATTGAAGGTGAAAATGAGGAGACAGGAATCGAATGCCACTGTCCCATCAAAATCGCACGAAATTTCGGACCTTTGGAAGAGGGTAAAAGCACACGCCGACCATACAGCAGCCACCATAACCTGGTAATGCATGCAAATGCTTGTCTCGAAATCCTGGACCACGAATACAGCGCAACAGGAGGCCTTCTTTCGCTGCTCCCATCAGGGAGTGAAGAGGACAGCGAGCAAATGCAGGGCGTCCGAAACACTGTACTGGGACAATGGCTACTTCATCAACAGCACTTGATTGCGCGTATGCACGAGCTCGAGATCAACTATGCAAACGCCCTCGACCTCCTCAACGGCGAGGCCGTGGTACCCATGCAGATGCTTGGACGCTTTGGCCCTGATGGACGGTCCAAAGGCCGCGAACTGGCCTATCCCCAAGACCGCTTTGTCCTCGCCAACTCCGGCGACGACGTCTTTGACCTAGTGCATCGCTTGATGGATAAAGCGGAATCGAAGATTCAGGAGAAGGAGCAGATATGGTGGGAGTCTGGAGTGAGTGGCGAGCGCATGTGGATGAAGGATCGAGGAGGCGATTGGTATTCCCGTGGCTTGGTCCCCGTCGATCTCATGACACGATTTGTCCGCCTCAAGGACCATGGAGACAGGTCCACCATCTTCGTGTTGCCCGCGATCGAGCAGCATCCCGCCACTGCACAGACGCGCAAGATGGAGAGTCGACCAACAGTGGTATCAGTGGTGGCGCCATCGTGGCCAGAGCGAACCTCTGATATAGAGCAGCGTGCCAATGCTCAGATCGAACGGATGAAGGAGCTGGAGGAAGCCAATCGTGCACTAATGAGAGACAAGATGGAGATGGAGGAGCAGATGGCCACGCTTTTGGCCGATTTGCGCAGGACAAGACACGAAGTCAAATTCTATGAGGGCACATCGGAGGATGGAACGAGAGCTGAAATCATAGCTGAGATGGCCGCCATGAAGCGCCAGATGGCCAAGCTGAGAGAGGCGCTCCCACAAGAGTATCACCAACTCCTGGAGGCTGAAGACTGAAGACTGGAGACAGTGACTTAGCGGTGCTGCGGCAATCTTTCGGAATTACAGATGCGAGACATGTGGCGGGAGTTTGACCGTGCGCCTCTGGAGTCTCCAATACGATTGTTGTTGGTTCGTGTATGGTGTGAAGGAGGTAATAGTCTGTCCATGTACATTTGCGGTTGTAGCGTCGTTATTGATAGAGAATACCTATGGAGGTGTTCAGTGAACAGCGAGTTAGTGTCACCCTTACAGCTAATTGCTGGGACAGGTACTAGTGCCGCTAACCTAACAGCGGGGAGTACTGGCAGCAAGACCTGCTTGCTGTATCCTGATTCCTACCGCCAGAGGCCGCGCTGCTGCCCTCATTACTCTCTCCCTCTCTTCTCTTCAACCACCTAATTAGAGATTTTCTTGGCAACCCCAAAGTAAAGATTTATTATTTACTAATAGTGTGTACTAGAACCTCGGGAGTGTAAATCGGGGGGCCAGAGATCGGTGCATTCCCCTTTTGGGAAGCTGAAAGGTTCAGCCAGCGGCTGGAATATGCCTCATGTTCTTGGCTGGCAGCCTTGTATGAGGACAGTCCCTCTCTGTAGAATTTCTCGATTTGAGGCAAATAACAGATGAACTACGATACTCAATTCGAACTGTCTCTTCCAATTTTGCAATTTATTCCATGATACTTTCCTTGACTGTTACACACCCCTTCCGCCAACAACAGCAGCTCTCATAATGCCGACCTCTCCCACAGACATAGCCAACCTCTACAACATTCTCGGCGCTGGTGAGCTCTCACGCCTCGACACCCACCCCGTAGAGCTCCTCGTGACTCTCCGCATAATCAGCGAGGCCCTTCCCCTTGCACCCCAGCGGATTGCCGACGTTGGTGGTGGTCCCGGTAAATACGCGTTTGCCCTCGCGGATCAGGGACATTTGGTCGATCTTGTCGACCTGAGCCTTGGACTCATCCAACTCGCTCAAGTCGAACAAGACAGGCGTAAGGCTGCTGGGAAGGGTAATCTTCTCGAAAGCCTTTCAGTTGGAAACGCGCTGGATCCGACTATTCTACAACATGGTATCTACGATGGTGTGCTGCTTTTGGGACCTTTGTATCACTTGGTAGAAGAGTCGGAGCGAGTAAAGGCTGTCGCCAATGCTGCGCAGCTGGCGAAGCCCAATGGCGTACTTTTTGTAGCTTTCGTAAGCATTGCTGCGCATCTGAGGGATGTTGCAATGAGAGAGCCAGGGAGACTTATTGCAGAGAAGGAATTCTATGCCAAATATGTATGCCCCGTCCATTTTCATCACTGCTGTTGAGTTCACCACACTGACCTCTACTGACCTGTCGCAGCTTCAGGACGGTCGATACGAGAAATCCAAGCCTGGCATCGGGAACGTCCACAGTTTTCACACGCGCGTGGGCGACATCAAATCATTTTTTGCCGACAACTTCGCTGACACGCTGGAGCTCGTGGAATTGCGATCGCAGGAAGGCATCCTGGGCGGTAGTCTTGATGCTGCGTTATCCAAGTCTGAGCCGCAGGTCATTCAGGCGTGGGCGGACTTGATGTACGAGAAGTACTCTACTGGAGAGGAGCATCTGGGATGTGCGGATCATTTGGTAGCTGTTTTAAAGAAGAAAACATAGACATAGTATTGTAGCTAGAATAATGCACTCTCGAACGGGGTTTTCCCCAGGTATGCAGCCTAAAATATCGTTATGTGCCTTATAAGTGTACAGATGGGATGAGCAAGAATCGGCTCTTTGTCCCTTATGGATGTTATTTTAGAGAGGTACATTGAGGCATGTTAGACTAAAGTTAACTGTAGGGACACTAATTCCGCGTATCACTGTGCAGTAGCGAGCGTAGTGGCTGCGGCTGATAAACAGGTGCCCCGTTATCAGTTGAATCAGCCCCGCCACAGGGAGTCAGTAGTTCGAAGGTTTCCAGAATCTAATCTAACCCCCCGCCATTCTCAACCAAGACAGAATCCACCACATCCAACGCCGGTGCCACCAACTTGTGTCTACGAATAGCGGCATCCGAATGCCCAAATGCCTCCCGGTTGAGACGAATCTGGGACCGCCCTGCAGCCCTACTGCAAGGGCCGTGTTTGCTTCCCCATGCATCGTCTCACCTCTTCCAGCACCATGGCCGCTCCATTCACAAGGCATTGTCTTCTGCAGCGCGCCCCATTGAAGTCCCGATGGACGTGGACAAACAAGCGACGCCTTCATCTCGCCCCGCCGTTTCTGCTAGACGACTACACGCCACGATATCTTAGACTCTCATCCCGGGACGCCGCCAAAAAGCGCTCGCTGGCCTATGCCCACCTCCGCAACTGCAATCTTTGCCCCAGACTATGCGGCGTCAATCGCTACGAAACCACTGGAATGTGCCTTATTGGCGAGAAAGCAAAGGTCAACGTCATAGCGCCGCATTTTGGCGAAGGTCCGTAGGCGTCTACCTTCTTTTGAAACCGCGAAAGTGAAAGTGGCCGCTAAGAAGAGTGCCAAATAACACTCTAACCACGTGTGAAATGTAAAAGCTGCTAACAAAGCGCCAGAACCGTGCATCCAGGGGCACAATGGCAGCGGCGCAGTATTCATGAGCGGGTGCAACATGCGGTGCATTTTCTGCCAGAACTACGACATCTCGCACCAGCGTAATGGAATGGACCTTACCCCAGAGGAGCTGGGCCAGTGGTATCTCAAGCTCCAGGAGGTGGGCAATGTCCACAACATCAATATCGTCACGCCGGAGCACGTCGTGCCGCAGGTAGCGTTAAGCATCCTGCATGCGGCTGAGCTGGGGCTGAGAGTTCCCATCATCTATAACACCTCAAGCTACGACTCGCTAGCATCTCTGGAGTTGATGGATGGGCTAGTCGACATCTATCTAGCAGATTTTAAAGTTTGGAAGCCTAACACGTCCAAGAGGCTGCTCAAGGCAGATGACTACGCAGAGACTGCCAAGGAGAGCATCAAAGCTATGCATGAGCAAGTCGGCGATTTGTGTTTCACCGGAGATGGCATTGCTAAAGTAGGTTTGCTGGTCAGACACTTGGTCATGCCAGGAAAAGAAGCTGAAGGCGCGGAAATCATGAAATTTCTGGCGTCTGAGGTATCAACTGATTGTTTCGTCAATATCATGGAGCAGTATCACCCCGACGCACATGTTGGGAAGAGGAGAAAGCGAAGAAGAGCACTCCCAGCTGAAGGAGAGGAGAAGAGTTCAAATCTGTCAGAAGACACATACGAGGAAGTTCGGTATAGCGATATCAATCGATCAGTCACAAGTGAAGAAATCTCATCCGTGCGCGAAGCCGCTATGGGAGCTGGTCTGTGGCGGTTTTGCGACCCTCCAAAGCATGATGGGTTTGCCATCTGATAGCAAAGCCCATGTACATATGTACATACACGTCTGGATCTCTAATTATACCGCACTCGGTGCCTAGTTCGGCTACGAGCATGAATGCTGTATCGTCAATGCTTTCATCCCATCCTTTTTTTAGTCTAATTCACACTCACCGAACCAATGGTGCGCAGGGATTGGTGAGGGTCGTTATCTGCGATTTTAGGTACTGTTTTAGTCGAAAATAGCAGTATGTATCTATTTCGATCTTGTCTTGAGTCTTATTCGAAGGAGGGAAGCGATGAGAGCACGGCGCAGAAAACGCCACCATAATGCCATGTTGGTTGGCATTGCCAGTCTGGTCGGAGAAGACCAATTCAAATAGTCAAGGCGCATGTTGGTGGCGGCGGTAGTGGCATTAAACATGGTCTCAAAACAAGCAAGCAAGCCTAGGCCCAGGATCCGAGGCCATTGCGCCGGCTTTTGGCTGAACTCTCGTCAGAACAATAGTTTCGAAGCGACGGCTAATATGGTCAGCTGCTTGGTTCTTTGGCCTGGTAGACATTGATTTTCTGCTCAGGCTTAGGACTCATAAACTGGGGGAATTCTGCAGTCACCCTTCGGACGATGTATCGCTGTAACAAAGCTACGTCTCTCAACTATCAGCTAATGGCTATGGAAACAATTACGACTTCTGGGAAATCGGTTCGAGGACTTCCCCGAGATGTCTCTCCAGCATCATCATCTCAATCTTCTCAACATGCATACTCAATCGACTCCCGTTCAAATATGTCAACAGCACCCTCTTCAAGAGGGAGCTCCCCTGATGCTAAAAAGGACACCAGAAGTAGCCCTCGCTGCAGAAGCAAGCGCAACTTTAAGCATATGACGCCGGCTTGGAATCTCATGTTCCAGCCTCGATCCTACGAAGATATTTACTCTGAACGAGCATATCTCACGGCTTCCCTCCAGATGCACTCACTCAAAGCGATCGAATTAATACACCAATATTCTTTAATAGAAGAAGAGCTGCATGCTAAGGAGCACATCGGAAAACAGAGACGGAAGCTTCGCAAACAAATGAGTTTCATCAAAGTAAAATTGGCCGAGGCGGCTCGCCAAGAGAAAGCAATCCTTATAAGGCTAGGCGAATTGCAGATGGAGCAACTAGGGAGAGACACTTGGGACCAGGTACAGCAGCGTAGGATGTTTTACTCATCAGCGCCATCGTCCACGCCCCGGACGACATCGTTCAACGCAACTTCGAAAGAATTCGTTCCGTCTGAAATTCAATCTGTGAATTTACCGGCACATACTCAGCCCTGTTCATCTGAAATGGCCAAACCCAGAGTGCTTGACACAGTAGTTGAAGTACAAGAAGGGGGCGAAGATGCCGTCGATGGTATTTCTAGTAATAGCGAAACGGAAACCGAATTGAAGCCAGAGACTGATACCGAGTGCAAAGATTTATGCAATCATGGCCTGGAGTACACGTACAAAAAATGCGACAATGCGACAGAGACTTCACAGCTGCGTCCGTCCCACGTGAGAGAAAGGCTATCGTTGTGTCTTGAGGAGAAGCGTATGAGTCTTCCGACCCTCAGCTTCGTTTGGCCAAGCGCTTGAACCTGGGGGGGAAGAAATAAAAACATTAAGCAAGGTACAAAAACGGTTCTTAAAAAGAGAAAAAAAAAGAAAAAAAGAAAAGAAAGACAAATGAATGAAGAAAATGAATACTAAAGAGCTGAGCGGAAATCATGCATCTGTCTATTTGGTGTTTTGTCTAATTGGGCATATCACATATCACATTTGTCGTGCATTAGGGGAATGAAATTATGGTATAAATGAATGCAAGGGACTCGTACCAACAAATCAACTGGATGGATATTAGCAATTAATTCTGGAAAGGCTGTCTATGTATGTTGTAGTAGTTTATTTCTATGCAATTGCACAGTGTCATTTAATCTCATTGTTTCTGGCTTCCTTTTCCTTCTCTTTTTACGCAAATTCTCCAAACTGCCCGTCATCAAATCCCAAATTCTTTAACGACTTTCTCTTCTCTTTGACGTCTGAGGTTTTCGGTGGTGGTGGGAGGGAAAACGAAGCTCCCGGCGCCGCAGCTGGTGGAGGTGGAAGAGCAAACGACTGCAGATCTGCTGAGCTGGAAGAGGTAGATTCCTCTGCTGGCTGTGGCCGCCTTCTGCCGAACTTGGTGCCGCCGAGGTTTACTGTGATAGTTTCGCCCTCTTTTAAGCTGTAGTCTTTTGTCTCCGTCTTGGCTTTTGCTTCTGTTGAGCTGTGGCTCTGCTCAGCCTCCCATCCAAGGCTTCGTCTCGCCTCCTGCAGCGACACGGCCAGGTCGAATGCGTCGGAGCGCTCTTCAAAGCCAATGCCCAGCACTGCCTTTCGCCCCTGCGGATCTTTGACTGTAACAGCAAAGAATCGACTGCTGTCGACGACCGGCTCGACGGCGCTTCGGTCGTTATACGGCGAGGCGGCAAAGAGCTGGCCGGTGGAAGGGTCTTCGAGGACGAGGTCGATCTTGACGCTGGACGCGGCGTCGGGGTTCTCAAAGGACGTTTCGACAACGCGGAGGCGCGCAGTGAAGATGTGGCGGGCCGGGTCCTCGGTCCAGGAAGCGGCAGCATGGCCGCGCATGGACGTCAGAGGAGGAATGTTGTAGACGTGGACGGTGTTGGCGACGAAGAGGATGCGCTGGATGGCGTCGCCGGGGAGGGGCTGGCCGGTGGTTGGGTCGAGCGCCTCCATTTTTGGGGACAGGGAATGCAATTGACTGCTCTGAAGCTGTGGACGGCGGAAGCAACAAGGGCAGCGAACCAAGATGCGCTTGCTATTTGGAAGACGGTGGTGGTGTTTTGGTGGTGATGCAGACGGGACTTGGGATTGGCGGTGGGGGATCTAGGCGCCGGGCAGGCCTCTATGGAGCACCGCCTTGGATGCGTCTCTGCCGCGCTGCTGCGTCCAAAACATGGAGATGCTCATTCAATCTCGGCCTCTATTGGGCGCCATCAGCCCGACCTGCAATGGCGCTGCCGAGGATTTATTAGTGAAGCTGCTATGGAGACTGACCCTGAAATGGCGGGTTGGAGGGGTTGAGCTACAGGGGTTCTACAGTGGCTGAGTGGCGTAACGGCGGAGCTTACCCCGCCATTTGTGGCTGGAACTTTTCAGATTGGATGCTTCGATCTGTGATAAAGTTCGTCTCTGAAATATTTTGAGTCATTCTCGGAAAAACGGCCATACGCAAACGGCCATCCTCGGTGCGACGCACAAGCACCTGCTCTCCGGACTCTTAATTTCTCGCAGAGCTTCATCTTATTTGCCACAGTCACATAACCGCACATAATGGCGAAAGAATCAGACGCTGGTATGCCAAGCCCATGCGCATGCGACGCCAATGATGCCCGAGTTGACACTGACCGTCGCATTCTAGCCGTCGCGCAGCCCATCCCGACTGAGCTTCCGTTGCGAACGCAGCCCAACGATTCCACCTTCGAGTACGCTGCCCTCTCCGCTTCTCTTGGGCCTTGAACGGCTCGATTCTAACTCTCGACAGCATCGTCGCCACGTACAGAGACCTCCTCGCCTCCGATCCCGACCTCACAAAACCCGTCGCCGCCATCGAGTCCCTCATCGCCCTCCTCAACACCGTCCCCTCCACCACCGTATACGAGACGCTCGACACCGTAAAGTCCCATTCCGACCTCCTCAAGGCCTCTGTCGAGAACCCGCTGCCCCTCCAGGCGGGAACCGACCTCTTCCTCCAGTATCTTGTCTCGTCGCTCAAACAGCAGGACGGCAGCTTCGACGCCGTACGGCAGCACCTGTTACGCAATGGACGCCTGTTTGCGAGTAGGGCCATCGCAGCCAGGAATGGCATTGCGGAAGCGGGGTGGAGGTTCGTCCGGGAGGGCAAATGCGTGCTGACACACGGAGCGTCGAGATCAGTGACGGGACTGCTGGAGCGGGCGGCAAAGAACAGCGAGGGCAAGTTCCGAGTCGTCTACGTGCGGGACGAGGTGCGCGCCGAGGAGAGCGATCGCGTGGTCAAGGAGCTGCGAAGCAAGGGAATCCCCGTCGCGGAGATCCCAGAGGCGGCGGTGGCACATGTCATGGGTCTGTTGCGACAGGTTCACATGGTGTTTGTGGGGGCCGAGGCTGTGACCCAGAACGGTGGTATCATTTCTCGCATTGGCACTTTCCAGGTTGCCAAGCTGGCCTCACAAGCCAAGATTCCATTTTACGTCGCCGCCGAGACACACAAGTTTGTGCGCAAGTTTCCTCTGGACCAGAGGGACATTGGATATCAGCAGGAGGTGCTGGATTTCTCGGCTACGGAATCAAGCAAGCAGCCCAAGGATGCTGTTGACTACACGGTGAGTTTTATACCTTTGATCTACATTATTTTATGTTGAAGTAACTAATGATTGTATGCATCACAGCCCCCGGAGCTCATCTCAAACTTGGTCACAGAAAATGGCGTTCACTTGCCCGGATATGTATTCGAGCAGCTTCTTGATATATATGGCAGCTTAAACGGCTGAGAGTCACAGAGAAATAGATAAAATTAAAAAAAAAAAAATGTCTTGATTGGCCGATATGACGGGTCAAATGTCTACCAGGAGTAGCATCATGTGTTATGTATAGATATATCAGCGGCTAAAAAAATTATCAAACGAAGTAATAATATTGATAAGGCTTTATCAACATTACACACTTGTAAACTATTTGTTGAGGCTGTGTTACGGATAGCCCTTTCTGGGAAAAACGAAGGCAATGAATGGGCCTAGTTGTTCTTCTGTTGCAGTGTTATATGGCCGCATAGCAGTGATAATGACTGTATTTATGTTTGACCTCCTTCTTGTCTCTCTTTCGGAACAAAGAACCCGCTTCTTTATATAGGAGTCAACGCCCGTTGTGAACAAGGATTGAACAAGGTTCGTACTAGGACTTTGTTCAATTTCTTGTCATCGGAGAGGTCAGCCGCCTAATAAGAACCACCCAAACCGTCGATATTGTTATGCTGCTGCTCAAGATCAGTCAGTAGCAATGAAGGAATCCTTATTACGAAATAAATATATTGCCATTACTTGATAGAAGTTCTTTATTCAATGCCTTCTGAAAACGTGGCATCTTCATTGCCGAACTTCTGCGGGCGTATTGAGGCTTACATACTAGGGGTGGAAAGCATGTAAAATCGCCAGCCATACAAGGATATCGCTTGCCAAATTAAGTAATATTGTGTGCATAGAATCGTTAATGTATTGAGTCTAATCATCTAGGTATTACCTTTTGGAGGCTTTGTTACAACATTAATCTATATTCTAAATACTCATGCCCATCGGAAATTTGGGATGGGAAGAAGATGAAGTCCCATTCATATCCCTTGAGAGGGGTATTGCCACTCACGTCTATGCGGCTTTTGAGCCCAGTTTGAAAGGTATGTGCCAACATACAGTTTTGTACAATGCATTTTCTAAAAGAGAGAGAAAAGAGTAAAAGGGGAAATATAAGAATGGGGAAAAAATGATGATGCATACATTAAGAAATCACGGCGCATGATTGCTAGATTCTCGTCTCGCAAACCCGTATTCGGACACTATTAAGCCATGGGCTACGAGCAAGGTAGAAGTAGAGCGTCTCTGGAAATTGAGTGAGAAGCTTGTTGGACAGGAATTTGCGTACTGACTGCATTGGTTCTTGAGCATTGCCGTTATCAACTGGAGTCTATCTCTCTAACACATTTAATTAGTCCTTCTAGATGAAGATTGGTAACAGTCCCAAGTCTTTATTTTGTTTAATTTCTTATGATAGATATTTTTGTATTAGAACCTTTCCTAGAAACTATATTCGAAAGCCGAACGTTACATATCATAATGGCATATCTACTCATGCCCATGAAAAATGCTCCGTGTGTAAGTACACTGAACTGATTTTGGAACCTTGAACAATTTTCAAATTTTCCTTGGCGACAGCATTTCGTACATCGTTCTGCATCGTTTTTGGACCGCAAACGAACACACTGAGAGATTGGCCGGCTTGCGCGACACTAGCTGCCTCTTGGACAATCCGAGGTAGTTGGGGACGGCCCTCAAATTCTCTCTCAAGTACATCGATATTGTGTCTCTTTTCTCGAATATCATTCTTGTCTGCTGATGAGACAGATGCCTTTAAAGTAGGATCCTTTGCAAGTTTGCTCTCCAGATCTGTCGTGTGTGTCGCTTTTTCGGTCAGGTAGACTTCAGCTCGCATATCCGCATTGGATGATGAACTAGTTTCTGAGTACTTCGATAGCAGCTCGCTTACAGCTCGTAGGAACCATGTACGGCAGTTAGCATCTCGAGTTGCCAGGATGACACGCAAGGAAAGGGGCCTAGGGCTGCGGCGGTTACCCGAGCGTTTGGTCCCAAGGACTTCTTTACTTTCGGCGCACACAACTTGGCCCTGTTCTTCGTCAGCCAATAGTAAGCGGTGTTTAGCAATTTTCTCAATGAATGGCAAGCACCAGCCAGCTCCTGAGCCACCTGAAATGACAAGAAGATGATCGCTATCTTGATATCTCTGCATATTGATACCTCCGTATGGTCCGTCGACAAGAACGGATACTGAACCACCGGGCTTTTCTAGACCATATTGGTATAGTCTGGCAGTCAACCCCTTTTCAGGTCGAATGTAAAAGGTAAGCTCGGACTGTTCGTTTGGCTTCCCTAGAGGCGAGGAACAGATGGTAAAGGGATGAGCAGAGAGGGCATGCAAAAAGCCAAAGCTTGCAAAACGTAGGAAACAATGCTGTCCTGGTCTCCAGTAGAAGTTTGCGGGAATTGTGATGCGAATGAAGCCATTGTCTTCCACAAAAATCCGAGCCTTCGAGTTGATGCCATACTTGAAGCAAGTCCGAAGCCATGGATAGGCGTAACAAGGAACGTAGACAGCTGCAGTGGCGATGAAATAGTCCCTGCGTTTTTGTCAATGGCTTTATTATATACAATAGTAACCAACTGCCCTTACCATGAGGTGAGAGTATAGCCGCAGTGCCAAAAGAACATCACCATGAATATGACAACAGCAAATAAATGTGTCATTTTGAAGAACTCGTACCCAAGATTTCTGCGATTAATGTTAGCCTCTTCAATCCCATCTATAGCCTCTTCGTTCCACTAACCTGATTGTACTGTGGGACGCAAAGGTAAGCCACGCCTGAAAAAGGAGTGCAACGATGCCGGTCCAGTAGAATACAAGATTCGAAGCAAAATGCTTTTCCATGTCATGCCACCGAATGTGGTACACAATGAATGGAAACGTATGTAAGAGTGCGAGAACAAAGAAAGCATAGGATATCCATCTATGAAATACTTGTAGTCTCTCGTAAGAGACTCCCGTAAACAATGTAATCCAATTGGCCTTACTCGCAGTTGCACTTTGGTCCGTTAGCAGTATGAGGGCCACCCTGTGCTTAACGACTTACAATATAAATGGCATACATGCCAGACCCATCCATCCAGATCTAGTAGCCAGTGCTGGTGAATTGCCGTAAATCTCGCTTGGCCAGTAATAAGGCTGTGGAATCAAGTCCATACCTGCCGGATCATCAGTTCAATTATAGATCAAGATTGATGAGGAAATAGATCTATTATCAACTTACAGAAAAAGAAGATGGTACCAGCAAGTCCCAGCAGTAAAATACCAACCGGAGCCGAGTTCCACTGTAATGACTTCACATGAAAGCCGCGATACGATATATATCGAATACTTGCTATTAGTTTTTGCGACATCAGAGGTCCTCTGAATCTTCGATATGCCAGAATCTGCGATACAAGATGACCAATGATAAAAATACCAATGGCGCACATGAAAAATGCCACCGTTGGCAATGCAAAAACATAATCGGCGATATACCTGGCGGAAATCCATCAGTTGACCGCGCTGTTCACAAGGCGCCAAATTATCTCGTACCAAAAGTGCCAGCGCTGCTTATACCAGTCGCATTGCTCTGCATTGAGCTCATCGCACTCAAATGTACGACTTGAATGTAGCTGTATAGGCCCAGAGAGCCACGCCGCGTTCATGTCCATTCTCTATTTCTTTCGAAAGAGTGGGCGAATATCCCCTCGTGATATAATGTGTTCAGTTAGTGGAACACGTTCATTTCCAAACAGTGTAGCTCTACAATAATGAAAAAGAAGGAGCAAAATAAAAATCCATCAAAGAGGGCCTGTCACTTCTTTATTGCTACTACTGCCCTTGTTTCATAGGGCAAAACAAACGCTCGCGAGTCAAACTATTTTCCACAAAACTGCTATCTTATAAATGGTCATTGAACAAGACGATCATTTCGAACGAATTCATGCTCACCACTTTTCAGTGGTTGGCTAGATCCGAATTATGAGAATGTTGAGCGTGTTTGAGCAAGTTTTGATAGCACTGGCTCGCCTGTATACCTATGAGTTGGAGATACTAGGAAAATAGTTGTTGTGCGAATTGTCAGGGAGATGTGGATCATATGGCGTTATCCAACCAATCCAAGTACAGTATGCTTGAATTAGGGGTTGTGGGTTTAAAAGTCGATCATGTTGTTCGACATAGGTAGTATGTCAAAGTGAATTGTCCGAATGATATTCTTTTTACAAATGCGAACAAATAGATCCAATTTCTCTAGCCAGTTCAAGTTGCTCTATTGCATCAATTTACTGTAATAGATCCATTTCCTCAACTACTTTTACTATATCTGTCACTCTCACCTTACCCTACTGTCGCTACTGTCTTCCACAGTAGCTCTCCTTCCCATATAATTTCCTGATCCCAACCCGCCCATTTTTCTATGTTTCTTTTAGAAATTCTTGGAATGCCCCCTTAGTGAACCTTCTCCAATCAAGATTCAGTCCCAAGTCGGTATGTCACCGACGAAGCGAAAGGTTACACACAATAGAAGCGCAACCCAGTGTTTTGAGGACACCAACTACCGATACTTGGCCTACCAAACGTTTTCTTTGCCCAAAATATGTTGGCATGACGCTGCAATCCCATCTACCGCCTCCAGAAGAGAGAGATGTCTATTATTTCAGACTTCCAGCGCCCACAACCTTTCACTCGCACAAGTACGGAGGTTGGGAAAACTCTATAATGCCGCTGACCACATTCTCAAACTTGTGCCCAGAATCACTTCCTCCTGCGGGGAGACCAAGTATCCCGTCTGTTATTAAATAATGCAACATCTTCTCTCCGCACTCAGATTCTAAAAACTAGTGACATCACATCTGACTGGGCCGCATTGATTTCATGTCTGTTTGAACGGCAGTTCGCGTTACACTGCTGAATTCAGTGAAGCCAAATAGGAGCGCGGTTACAGTATTGCCCTACGAGCAAAAAGACTTTGGAGAACCATAAAATCCATAAAATTGATCGCGATATTCGTGAATCAATTGTGACGTTCTCTACGGTGCGCTCTTCTGCCCTTGATACCAGGACTACTGTCAACGCTAATACGCCGGCTAACACTTAGTTATCCTCAATATTGATAAAGAACACCCGCCATGAGGATATCCGTGCTGATTCAACTAACTATCCAGGCACAAATATTGTCATAAAGGATATGTATGGTATTGCCGTTACGAGAGTCTATGTCTCACATCTCTGTTGACACCGTCCAGCATTGTGGCTCTTACTCGCAGACATGTGGTTATTCGCTTTAAGTCAAGGCCAGGAACCTGTCGCTACAGCAATTTGAAGTTGTTATTCGGCTAGAGCCTCTAACTGGATGAGCTGTATCTTCTAGAAAAACTTGATACTAGACGAACTTTGTCTACTGGAGGAACTTCAACTATCCAGAAAGTTTTATCTAGTCGGCCGGATCCGGATATCTAATGAGAAAAAAAAAATGAAAAGAGAGAGAAAAGGAATGTTAATTATGTGATTCGCTTTAAAAGTCTGCAAAAAGGGGGATTCTTCGCTTAGGTGCCAATCATTGCAAAGGAGGAACTCATTTTTGAGCAGCAATAGCATTTGAATATAGGCTCGAATTTTGGCTTGAACAGCTATGCTATGATAGCTCAGAATTCATATAGTCATAGTAATAGGCCGTTAGTCGTATTGGGCTTTGTCAAATAAAGCAATACTAGCAGTAGACGTAAGCTGCCATATTTCTTGTTAGAGCGCTGCCCGGTTTTCATATCACTTCGATTATCTACAGGCTCTGGCCTTTTATATGAATTCCGGTCTGGCAATTACTAGAGATCATCAACACTGCCAAGCTTTCAATACCTAGCGTACCGTGATGCTATGATCTGCGTCATCGTACGATTCACACTAAACAGCCCATTTCGAACAAGATGAATGTTTAGTTTACTCCTCGAGGGGTGCACGGCAGCGACGTAGCGTCGAGAATCTCGTGAATACTAATCGGTGGAGATTTAACCCAATTGATCCATGTGGAGTCCGGCCCGTTAAAAGCTGCAGTGCCATTCAATGCATAACAATTATAGTTTCTCTCGTGATTAGGAATCCAATGCTGTAACTCCGCGCTCGAGGCTGAGAAATTGGCGGCATCTTTTTCCGCTGCTTTTCTGACCGGGCGTGGGCTGCTTAGTCGATTGGCCCGATAACTTTGGTTGATAATAATATTAGGCAAGTTTCTGCGACACCACACGTGTAAATAAGGCCTGCATAGAAAGCTCCCCCACAGGCCAATCATTCCAAGGTGGGATTCAGCAACGCATACCCCTCTTTGCTTTCTTTTTATGCTCTCATGGCGATATCCGGGTTCATCCGGGCCTGCATATCCTGGGGTCCGTTTATTAGGTGTGAGTAATGTGAGAGGAGCTATGGCTCCGGAGTCTGATATTAGTGCGGGAATGATATTCGATATAGTACGGATACAATGATCGTAGCTGGAGAGACGGAAATTAGTATCATTCTCATTCTCCATCATACAGAGAGAGCGTTAGCAGCGCCGGGTTGAATTTCATTCAGCAGAAACCCGTAAATAGAACGGGTCTATTATCGCGTCAGCCGCTTATGGCTCGATCTGACTCCTCTAGCTGTGACCTGGTGAGGCTTGCGGGAATGACGCAGTGGGGTCGCTTCTGTAAGGTACGTAGGGAGCGTTACAGTTGACGCGCGATTTAATACTGTATGATGCACCCGTAGCGGATGGACGAAGGATTAGTTGGAGATGGGAGGGCACACGAGATCTGACTTCATTGAAAGGACTCGACAAAAGCGAGAGACAAAGAGAGAACCAGCCGCCTCGAAAGACGGGCTGACAGCACCTATATACATGTAGCTTACGATTTACTCATACATGGGAGAAATGGCGTTATTCTAGGGCTGTCATTGCGTGTGTCATGTAAAACAGAGTATATATAGCACCATTGCCCCCGTCTTGGTCTGGCATGCTTACAGACCTGATTGATACTGCAGAGCACAGGCCGATGGCTACACGCTGCACTGCCGTGATGAGCTTTCAGCCCTCACAAGGCGGCGGGTGTCCACACAAGCGAAGCGGAGCGGCTAAGGCCGGCTGAGATGGGGAATCTGATGACCATATTTCTAGCCTCAACCAGCATGAGAAATGAGATGGTTTGCCCGACAATATCCCATGATGCATTAAAAGCGAACGATGAAATAAGCTGCTTCTGGTGGATAAGCTTGATAATCCTTACCCGCAAGCTGGAGTAACGGAGACTCGCACCTGTAACGCACCCCGAGGCGTCCGGAATCCACAGGAGGTACAAAGTGATTCACGGTGCTGAAGCTCAGAAACCACCAAAGTTGCACCAAGCTGTGGAACCGTGGCGTGAAAAGGAAATAGACGACTGGATGACGCTCTTTTGCTCTTTCGGCTCTTCTCTGTATCCATTGGCTATCCCTGTAAGCTGTTTTGAAATCCTCTCGGCTCGTCGCCCATGTTTCAGTGACAAATCTGTCCTCTATCCCTTGATCAAAGCTGCGGAAAGCTAGTCCATCAGTCCATCTCCTAAACTCCATGGCGCACGCACTTGTGGAAAGCCGTGCGCCATCGTCCCCACGCCTGCATCTGCTAGTTGTACTAGCACCATGCTCAGCATTATCCGTATTGGTTCAATCTTACTCGTAAATCTGGCATGGACGGGTAAGCAGAAACTCAAATCGCTCAGGTACGAGTACATGTCTTCCAATTGTGGTTGTTAGGCTTGCCTGCGGATTAATTTACGTGAGCGAGCTCCGCCCCATCTTCACGGACTTTGATAGGTACCAGCTAGTTTCCAATGGAGCTTGCACGTTGACAAACAGCCCAGCTGGGGGCCGATAACCCCATGATTCCAAACAGTGCGGGCCCTCTATCTGGCTGTGCGTAGGCCTGCGGACTCACTCGGCCGCAGGGCCCTGCGACTTTGATCATCCTGACCAATGCCAGAATCAGGGCTGAGGAGTCGAGCCATGGCGTCCGGCCGGTGGGTTCCACAGCGACGTCTCGGGGCCGGTGTCTTGCATCATGGGTGCGTAGGTAGCGGACCCTCCTGAGGCCCTGAAGCTTTTCACGCTGCCGCAACAGCTTGTGGATGGCTGGCCCTCACGCTTCGGCATATCGGGGAGGGGATGGAGATGCATACTATGTAGACACCAGGCGTTCTCAGGCTGCGGGCGTGGCATGTGGGATGACGAGGCTAGAACAGTGCCGCTACCTTGTCGATGATGGCTGGTGTGCAGCTGTCCCATGCCTCGTTCTGCAAGCACCAGGGAGTCTATGTCCTTTCCGGTCTTAGGATTCGCGCCTGTGGCTTTTGGACATTACGTAGATCGTGGTCCGACACTTCGCTTGTTGGCGGCTTGCGGGTGCCTGGATTGATTGATTGATTACAGATGTGCTAGGTAATATATATATAGTTGTCTAGCTGTGCCTTGGTTTCTGTTCCCCTCATTTTGATACTACTGCTTGCTTGCTTGAACTCTTTGTTGACTTGACTTGACTTGACTTGACTTGACTTGACTGGAACGGCTTGGGACTGCTCATTAACCTAACTCACCATCAATAACACATACTCACGACGTAATCGACACATCGCCCGTAAATCACAATGCCAGCTGTCAGGGAGCCCGTCCTCCTTGCGCAGCAGCCCTCCTCAGACGAAACCATGGCCCTAAAGGCCGTCGACCTCGCTACGGTAAAGGCGCTGGACATCATCGACATCCAAAATGCGCGTGTCGAGATCAATCTCAAGGACGAGATCCTCTCACAGATGAACCCCGAGCAGGGTCCTCGCACGCTGCCCACGCTGCTTCTATACGACGAGAGAGGACTGCAGCTATTTGAAGATGTACGTTGATTTTTTTCCCAAGTTGTGGCTAGAAGTTGTGTAACCCGGTTCGTGTCCAGATCACATATCTGGACGAATATTACTTGACAAACTACGAGATCGAGTTGTTGAAGAAGTCGTCGGCGGAAATCGCCAGCAAGATTCCTGAGGGGGCCATGGTGGTGGAGTTGGGCAGCGGGTCAGTTCCAGTGATGTCATTGTTGCTTTCATATTCCAGCGGATAATCCGTTTATGCTGACATTTTTGGCGTTTTTTTATGCAGAAATCTTCGAAAAGTCTGTCTGTTGCTGCAGGCGTTTGAAGACGCAAAGAAGAGCATCGACTACTTTGCGCTGGATCTGTCTCAGACCGAGCTGGAGCGCACGCTGGCAGAAGTGCCCGCGTTCGAATACGTGACCTGCCGCGGTTTGCTCGGTACATACGACGATGGCCGCGAATGGCTCAAGCAGGAGGCGCTCCTGGATCGACCAAAGTGCATTGTGCACCTTGGCTCAAGTATTGGTACGAAGTCATTTTTCCCTCTGTGTGGAAATTTGGTGTCTTTTCTTTCTTTTCTTTTCCTTTTTTTTCTCATTTTCTCAGTGCTCAGCTAACTGATGTCGGCTTTAGGCAACTTTAATCGCGACGAGGCGGCCGATTTTCTCAAGTCATTTGCAGAGGGGCTGCAGCCCGCAGATCTGATGATTGTGGGCGTCGACTCATGTCAAAACCCCGACAAGGTCTAGTAAGTCCTTTTTAGCAGATTTGAAATTGGTTTTGCAAATGGAAAAGAAAAGTGTGAGCTAACAGAAGAATCGCAAATAGTCATGCATACAACGGTTAGTAGTGAGTATTGATTGAACAAGTAACCAGTTATGCTGACTCTAGATTATTCAGACAGCAAGGGAATCACACACCAGTGAGATAATCTGTCGAATATATTTCATATGAGCCCTGACTAACAACTGAAATTTTAGATTTGTCCTCAATGGACTCGCTCACGCCAACGAGATTCTCGGCGATGAAGTATTCAACGTCGAGGATTGGCACGTCACCGGCGAGTATGTCTATGACATCGACGGTGGCCGCCATCAGGCATTTGTTTCGCCCCTTGAAATCTCCTCGGTTCTTGGTCACATCATCAAGCCGCATGAGCGCATCAAGATTGAGCAGAGCTTCAAGTACTCAGAGCTGGGTATTGAGAAGTTGTGGAAGACGGCTGGCCTCGACGAGGTTGCGAAATGGAGCAAAAATGGTGAATATGGTATGTGGTTAATTGTGTAAACCTTGATATTATCAGACACTGATAAATGGTTTCAGGGCTTCACATGCTGAAAAAAGCAAAATTGCCCTTCACCAGGCTCCCTGAGCTTTATGCCAAGGAGGCTCTGCCTACCTGGTCTGACTGGGAGAGTCTCTGGGCGGCGTGGGATACCGTCACCAGGAAGATGCTCCCCGATGAAGAGCTCAACGAGAAGCCAATCAAGCTGCGTAACGCATGCATTTTCTACCTCGGCCACATTCCAGCTTTCCTCGACATTCAGCTGAAGAAGACGACAGGAGCTGGTGGAACAGAGCCTGTCTATTTCCATTCCATCTTTGAGAGAGGCATTGACCCCGACGTCGATAACCCCGAACACTGCCACGTCCACTCTGAAATTCCAGATGAGTGGCCTTCCCTGGAGGATATCTTGAAGTATCAAGACGCTGTTCGCGAAAGACTTCGCAAACTTTACGCCAACAAAGATCAGCTGGACAAGGACGTCCGCCGTGCTATTTGGGTCGGATTCGAGCACGAGGTTCTTCACGTTGAGACTCTGCTTTATATGCTGCTGCAGAGCGACAAGACTCTTCCGCCGCCACACACGGTGGTTCCAGATTTCCCAAAGATTGCCCAAAAGGCATACGCCGCGCGCGTACCAAACCAGTGGTTTGATATTCCCGAACAGGTGATTACTATCGGCATGGACGATCCCGAGGACGAGCTCGACCCACGACGTCATCTTGGATGGTAAAGAACCTTTTCTCAAATGATGAATTTAATAAGCTTTTTCTAACCATTGTTTGTAGGGATAACGAGAAGCCTGCAAGGCAACAAAAAGTCCATGCTTTCCAGGCAAAGGGAAGAGCCATCACCAACGAAGAGGTGAGCACTACAACTATCGTTTTTAAGCCATGTGCAAATAACTAATTGGGGCCAGTACGCCAAATATCTCTATTCATCTCACATCAAGGACCTCCCGGCTTCTTGGTCCATCATTCCTCCCAACTATCACCACAACACCAACGCCACCACAGTCGGAAAGCCCATTCTCAGCGAGCTTCCCGAGAGCTTTATTCACGACAAAGCTGTGCGCACAGTCTATGGACTTGTGCCCCTGAGATACGCTCTAGACTGGCCCGTGTTTGCCTCGTATGACGAACTCTCTGGGTGCGCTTCCTGGATGGGCGGCAGAATTCCGACCATGGAAGAGGCCGAAAGCATTTATGCGTACGCAGAGAAGCAGAAGGACATTGCGAAGCAGAGCAAGTTAGTTAATAAGGTTCCAGCAGTTAATGGGTAAGTCTTGACACCTTTTTAAGTCAACTGCGCATATAGAGTGTGAATAGAAATGCTAACAAGAGTCGTATAGACACCTAGTCAATGACGGTGTTCAAGAAACACCCCCATCGACTACTCCCCCCTCCTCTCTCTTTGTCGATCTCAGTAACTCCAATACCGGCTTCCTCCACTGGCACCCTGTTCCTGTAACTCCCAACGGCGGTTCTCTCGCTGGCCAAGCTGAGCTTGGTGGCGTCTGGGAATGGACAAGCACAGTCCTGCGCCCGCATGAGGGATTTACTCCCATGGGTCTTTACCCTCTCTACACGACTGACTTCTTTGACGAGAAGCACAACGTCGTGTTGGGCGGATCATGGGCAACGCACCCGCGTGTAGCTGGTAGAAAGAGTTTTGTCAACTGGTACCAGAGGAACTACTTGTATCCTTGGGCTGGAGCCAGATTGGTACGGGATATCTAAGAGAGAGTTTGGAGCTGGGGGGGTGGTTTTGACGGTGAGAATGGTGACGAAGTGAGGATATAGTGAGTTGGAGATATGATACGGGTAACAGATTGACACATAAGTTTGGTATATGCAAGGATGATGGACATTTGAAGCGCAAAGGCGCGGACTGTCATTACTGGGTATATGATGCTCTCTATTCCGCTCAATTTTAGCACGCTCGTTTAGACTACGAAAAAACAAACGACTTTCGTTAAAAAAAAAAAAAACTCTCTCTTTCTGGCTGTGAAGAAGCAATCATCATTATTAATTTCATTGACATGGATCATTATAGGGAAGGCTGGTAAAGACTATTTGCGACAAAATCGTTTTTGAAGTCCAAATGAACAAATCTTCAATTATAATTAAGTTCTATCATCTTTATAATAGCCGGCCACTATTATTCATGGGTATTTTCTCATATTCCTGCTTCCATATCTCAGTCGCCAAAAATCCACGTAACCTATCCTATATGTTTTAAATTTAAACGGGAAACCAAAACCCAAAAGAAAACCATCTACATATCTCATTTATATGTCTCTTGCATCCATACCACCGAACCTCGAATCGCCTCGTCGACATGTGCTCTTCGGATTCCGGGGCAGGCTCCTAAGCACACAGCCCTGGACACGAGCTTATGGACCAAGGTATCGAGATTTATCGTGATGTTGATATGCTCGGGAGTGCACATTGTCGCATTCTCCGGCGAAATACCTATTCCATCGACGTCCCAGAGAGAGGATGCAAATGCTGCTGTTGCATCACGCTGGTGGTCGAAGATATTGTAGTCGTGGCTAATACCGAGCTCACCGGTATTTGAGCTGTCCAATGCATCATTGTTATAAGAAGCCTCATTTTGTATGCCATCTGTCTCATTTATATTAACGACTGTTGCAGATAGTTTGCTACCGGCAGGGATAGCTAGAGTCAGCAAGTCATCGTCCGGCGCCTCTTCTCGGATGAAAATTCCTCGCTGCTCGAGATACTCTTCTACGTCCAAAGGTTCGAGCCATTCTCCCTGGAGATCGGGCACTGCTGTAGAGATTACCGTTCGTGTGCATCCAAACTGTAGGCGCTGCATATGGGGTTGTGGCTTTCGTGGCACTAGAGTATGCGTCTGTCCTTCAATAAGCCGCATCATTTTAGGCAGATACCCTGCCTTAGCAGAGGAACGCTCCTGCTCTAGCTGTGCTTCAGTGCCGCCAATAGAGAGGTATTGCATGGCTCGCCTGAGGATATTGTCTTCGCTTTCGAACTGGAGAGGCAGAAGAAGAGCTGGGAGGATACGCAGGAAGGGCACTCTCGGAAGCTTGAGCCTATCTGCAGCGAGATTGAGGCACGCGTGTAAGATACGCTGAGAGATTGATGCACGCTTTGTAGGGAAACAAGAGTTGTCAGAGTTTACATGCGTAGGAATGCAGACGGCATCATCTTCGTAATCGTCGCTATCCATTGTCGCAAGGTGATCGCTCGCTGAATGTTCTGGTTCTGGCATTGCATCGGCCAGAGCATTCTTCGCAACAGAAATGATATTCGTGGCTGTCTCATGGAGCTGTAGTAGGAACTCTGCTGGCAAGTAATCCTGCTTGCCCAACAACATTTGGTGAAGCTTGATAAATTCGTCTAGCGTTCTATTAAGGGCGTTCTCCAGGGCATTGGCCTTGGCCTTTGCGGCTGTGAGCTCATTCGCTTTGCGGTTACGATACGATCTCTGGGCGAGCCGCATGCGGGACCGTGACTGAGAGAGAGAGCACAGGTTAGCTACTTTCTATATAAAAGGGCGAAAGATGGGGGCTCAGCGCTTAGATATCTGCCCACCGAGTTGTCATTTGGATCTGCAGGCAAACTGTCCTTCATGCGAGGACGCCCGGGTCGTCGTACTGAGGCATCGGTACCAGCCACTGCTCTAGGTTGCCCCATGTTACTGTTGCGCATGACTAGTGTAGTTAGATCCATCTCAACTCAATCTGTATGTTCCGCCTCGTAGAATTCGATAAGAGTTAATTTGTCGTTGACTTGGTAGTCAATGTGCCTAATTCGAGATACTGTTATCACGCTTGAGGTTGCTGAACATACTCCAAAGAGTCGTAAACAGATGACAAACAATTAATTTGTCTGAAAACCCCCCAGGCTCAATATATGGGGGGCAGTCAGACAAATTAATTCGTCCGACAACCGCTCATTCGCTCTGCCGGCCTGGCCCCACTCCACCTCCGCTACTCCGCAAGATCTTTGCAGACAAACCCGGAGCTGAGATCGGAGCTGAGCCGAAAAGGCCGTGATCTGGTGCTGTTTCATCAATCTGTATTGGGATATTTTGGCTGACTGGCTTGGGCTTTAAAAGGGGTTTGAAGCCATCGAGCAGTGGTGGATGCCTGACATAGCGGTTTTTACAGGTTGTTTGGCATGTCTATGCAGGCTCAATGTTGGAGAGAGCTGCGGATTTCGACGTCGAATGATGGCATTTCAACATGATGCTGCCAACAGTTTACGATGTGGAAACGAAGAATAACATATGTATATATAACTCATGAAGAAGTCCAAGTCTGCACTCAAATCACCTTTTAGCTTCTAACACCGCCATTGAATCAAAAACACCTTCAGTCGAGTAATAAACTCTAAAATCGCAAATTATCTCCATATCAGAAGATGCCTGCTACCCTTACTCGCAAGCTAGGCAATTATGGCCCTGAAATACCCGCCATTGGCTTTGGCCTTATGGGTATCGGAATTGATTGCTATGGTGCAACTGGGTAAAGACGAACATACAAACAGAGGAGAAGACAAATAACAAGACATCTGCTAACGGAACATACTAGAGACGACGAAGAGAGATTCACTGTGCTTGACCATGCGTGGGAGCAGGGCTGCACTCACTGGGACACTTCAGACGCATATGGAGACTCCGAGGATCTCATTGGCAAGTGGTTCAAACTGCACCCTGAGCGCCGTGTCGACATCTTTCTGGCCACCAAATTTGGCATCTCAGCAGAAGTACAGCCTGACGGTACCTACAAGGGGTCAATCGACAGCTCCCCCGAGTATGCCAAAGTGGCTTGTGAAAAGAGCTTGAAGCGTCTCGGAGTCGACTATATCGATCTTTACTATGCGCACCGCGTTGATGGAAAGACGCCAATTGAGAAGACCGTCCAGGCTTTGGTAGAGTTGAAGAAGTAACATCTCCCTTCGATCTGGCACTTGGCTTGCTGTATGCATGTACTAATCGAGGCACGATAGCGAGAGCAAGATCAAGCACCTTGGCTTTTCCGAAATCTCTGGAGAAAGCTTGCGCCGGGCATGTGCCGTGCACCCCATTGCAGCTGTTCAGATCGAGTACAACCCGTGGGCATTGGAAACCGAGGGGCCTGTGTCAAAGCATCTCCTTAAAGCTTGCCGAGAGCTCGGCGTCGCCACCATCGCATATTCGCCCCTCGGCCGTGGAATGTTGACGGGACAGTATACTTCGACCGCCGAGCTTGAGGAGAAGGATTTCCGGAAGAACGTCGAGCACTTCAAGGGAGACAACATGCAGAAGAACCTGCAGCTGGTCAACAAGTTCAGGCAGGTTGCCGAGAAGAAGGGCTGCAGTCTCTCCCAGCTAGCCCTCGCCTGGCTCCTCGCGCAAGGCGACGACATCTTCCCCATCCCCGGCACAAAGAAGATTAAGTATCTCGACGACAACTGGGGCGCCCAGAACGTGCGGTTGACGGCCGGGGAGGCTGGCGAGATCCGACAGCTGGTGGACCAGCTTGGTGTTGCCGGGGACCGCGACATTGCGTTTAACCAGTATGCTGACACGCCCGCTCTCTGAGAACTAGGCCCAGTAGCTCTCCAACTACGCGCGCTCTGATGCTACTGAGCTTCATTCGCAATATGCATTCGAAAGCGTGTTAGGCATAGTGGATTGGCAACGTGACTGGACACATGGGGTAGCTCGTATCGGCAGTTGTTATCAACGGCCCCTTGGCAGATAAAAAGGCATCCCTTTCTCTTCTAAATTTAGCCTTAGTCATATTTCATCAGAATTTATAACAGAAAAAAAAGCCTCATCACAGTGGCGCAAAGGCTATAGGGCGACTTGTAGGTACCTTTTGTCTTATATATGCTGTGAGAGGTTGGCCGTGCAAACTATCGAACATCACGTCTCATTTTTTGGCGGCCATCAGACGATATGATGACGCACTAGGAGAACAGCATGGCTGCTATTTGTCAATTGCAGGCTCGCTTCTGGCTGTTGGACCTCGAGTTATGCCGGTTTATTGTTGCTGTGCCGTGCCTTTCGCGTATCAATAAAATGCTCGCGCTGTTGCGTCGCATCCATCCGTTACAATGTCTTACCAAAGCTGTGTCGTAAATCATTTCTCCTCTCTCCTTTTTCCCCCTTTACGCGCCGTAGCTCTCGCAGCTCTCTCTCTCAATCTCTCTCTCTCCTACAATGATTCACTGAGATCCTATTTCTCGTCTCTAATCCGCTCCGATTTCACATGTATGCCAATTACTATTCTGGGCCACATTCCTTAAACCGCGCAGGCTCTCATGTCCCAGCAACTTCCGATCGCCGAACTCGCATCGCCCCGCACGCGGAAATCGAGCAACTCCCCAGCCAAATAGGCTAAAGTAGCCAAAACGATCGTGTACCCGCTCCAAACATGTGCACCTTTTTCTGGTGCTATGTGCTCTGCCCATGCCCGTACGAGAAGGACTGCGCCTTAGCCATTAATCGGATAGTGTACTGGGCTGGTCTGTGGCGCCATAGGACGGGGAAGCGGGCCCCTGTTCCCAACTCTGGCACGGCTTGCGAGAGGCGTAAGGAGATGTACGGCCAAGATGCCGAGCCCTCGTGGGGGTGCTCGTTTCGGCGACTCATAGACTGGATGGCGGAGTTGACCTTTGTTATCGATTCGACGCCGTGCGCTGAGTGCAGCTACAAGTGTAAGGCTCGCTTTGATAAGAGAATGGAGGAGGAGAGACAGAGAAGAGAGGAAGGGAGGAGAGAGGAGACGGTTTCATATGGCAGTGCAAGCAGATGAGGGGTGAAAGAGGCGGACCAACTGAGAGTAATGGCCCACGCTGGGGGACTACATGTAATATTATATTATCATTATGGCTACCTTGCCGGAGTATGAGATCCCTGTATCGTTTCGGGCATCTAAGCGGCTGAGTGGAATGGATGGGATTTGAACAGCAACTGGATTTGACTTGGTAACTCAATATCAGACTATCAAATGACTATAGCGAAATCCTCTTCATTGCCCTAACTTATACCAACGTAGGCCAAGAGACCCGGTACTGTGAGATCAGCAAACTGTAGATAAATAGTCTACCTTTATATCCCATAACTCCTAGCAGTAAACTCTGTGATAAATCTTCCAAAAAAAAAAAAGTGCACGATTTGCTATACCGTTCTTGTTATATGCTCAGTTTATGTCGCAAAGTCCTATCACATCCTTGTTCAAACTCGAGTCTATTACCGAGCGGCTTTTGCTCAGATGCTATATTTTCGCAGGTAAATGGCAATCTCTCTTAACATTTTAAACATTGTTCTTGTCATTAACTCTAGTACTTGTCTTGGCTAGCCACATTTCTATCTGAATCCGCTCACGTTCCTGCATTACTTCATATGTAAGGGAAAGACTTGATTATTATATCCGTTTCTTTCACAGAAGGCTACTATGTGCTGTATTAACAAGCATTGGCTGTGAGACGCCGCCAGTGTCTCAGAACAATTTAGTCCAGGCGACATTGCAGTAAGTTGGAAAGAACGTCTCTGTAAATATGAGTGCTCACAACAGCGTGTAATTCAGTGAAAGTCAATCGCTGATAAATGTTAGCGTCTCCAGATAAAACAACCTTTTGTTATCGAGTACTAGTTTCATGTGTCTAAGAAAAATTATAAGGAGGAGACTATAGTCACACAATGACTTTGAAGTGGATCTAAAATTATACCGCTCTACAATTTATCTTACAAGAAACAGGGCAATAAGATTCATCATACATAGTAGTTGAAAGAAGAGTACAAATGTACATTTTGAGGGGTTTATAGAATAGTCACTTGACAGAGTTCACAATAGAGTAGAGCATAGGTTTATATGATAATAACCTGAGATTGTAACTGCCAAAGACACGGAAAAAAGCATGGTTAACAGCGGCCTCGGGATGATCTTATTACCAAGAGCAATACACCTACTACTTCAACTCCGAAGTCCGCAACACTGCTCGAATCTGCGTACAGAGAGGCTCGGGGCTTGCCAAAACTGCTCTGCTGAAAATCTGTGGATATATTTATGAGGTGTCGCCTAGATCACCCACGATGTTGTTGCTGTGTCACATACTAGTCGACTGGGACGTTAGTGCAGATTTTGAGATATAGTAGGAATTTCTATTTAACACAACCCGCTCATTCTGATTCCTAATCAAATGAAGCATATATTTAGACTAGTCGGCAGACATAGGTAAGGCTTATTTTTCCTTTTAGGATAACTTGCGCAGCTGTTGTAAGGCTGCCCCCTTGCATGCGCTAAAAACCCTGCTAGGTAGCGCTATCATTACCTTGGTTGCTTAGGAGCATATCAATCCCTCTTTGTGCATAGCCTAGCTTATTTATGGTTGACGCCTAGACGTTAGTTAACATGCAAGATTAAGTTGGTAAGAAACAGATCACAAGAAGGTTGAAGATCCGCAACTCCGTAAGCTAATTCACCCAATCCCTGCGTCACTATGCTTATTTCATACTAATCACATATCCGAATTCGATACATCAGACGGTTGTTTCGCCCATGAAGTTTAAGCTATAGCACTCCTTTGCCGCAAGTTGTTTGACAAACACATTAAGCATCATATTAAGTCCACTTACATCAACTAAACTAAAGATGGCAATCAAGCTGACAACTAGCGAACCAGCAAACCAAGACTCGGTTGAACTCGGTACCAAGTCGGTATAAGTTGAATCAAATCTGTCGCTTTCTTTTCTCTTCTCCTGTCTTGAAGATTCATCCACTCTTTATTGTCAATGTGATCCTTATTACCATCTTTCCTTTACAATGAAGAGCAATATCTTTATTATAGCTCCTCTTCTGAACCTAATCTGCTCCGCAGATTCCTCTACAGACTCCTTTGGTACTAAGGCTGAAGATATTTCTAGTGGCGACTGGGATTCTGCAATGCGTAGCGCAAATGCAACTGGGACGGTTAGTATCCCCGGATATAACATCAGAGAGAAGTATTTAGGAAAGAAAAGAGATAACTGGACGTTGTCGATTTCAGTTGCCAGTGACATATCGGCCGGAAATACTGCCGATAGTAAATTCGTTACTAGCACTCAGGTCGAGTGGAAAAGCCCTCAAGGCGTAATCTCTGGAGCAGATTCAGCGTGGTTCCTGTGCCGTAATGTTTACAGCAGCTTAAAGCTGAAACAATCTGGCGCTGGATCAACCAACAGAAGTTGTACGGGACTGCTCTCTGATGGATGTTTAAGTGCTCTTCAAAAGGCACTTGAGGCAGGCACGCAGTGCCAAAACAATACTCCGCCCTCTATTTTCGCAGATGAGCTCGAGCTAGGTGATGGAAAAGGATTTGGCTTGACATCTGGTTGGACTTGATCCTTCGATCCGGTCAATTCCTATGCTAATGATTGTCCAGCTTATCCTATGACTCAATCCAAATCCGTTGTGGTATTGAGGGTCCGACCGCGGAAACTTTACAGCTTACGATAACGCTATTCGACAAGTCTGGCTCGTGATGACTGGATTCGCCCAAGCGGGGAGTGATAATGCGCACCCACGAGGTTCTCCTGGTCAACCAGGAAGCGTCGCATGCATACAGGCAGAGGAAATCCAATCTAATAGCAGAAATTCCAAAAATACAGCCAATATTGCAATCTCATCACTGGTACAGGTTTTGATGGGTCTCAGTGTGGCAGTGAGCTTGTACTTGTAGTTGCGTCGGCTGTAACTTCTCTTGGACGTGGATGTTGGACGAAGGGTTTTACATTACATGTTATCTACACTTAAAACGACCATTACATTTCACTAGACCTATAAAGAATAGAAAAGACAACACCATCGATTGTGTGCAGATGGAAGAAAAATGTAATGAATGATTTGGTGTTTTGTCCATAGTGCAACAAGTACTTGGACACTACTTCACCCTTTCGACGCATGAAATAGCAGTCTTTGACTTTTTAAAACTTTTTTACATAACTACTTTATTTTTAGTGTAAACTCCATAAATCCTATCACTGCTAAAGACGTATGTATCTCAGCTTCCCATTCATTTCAGACTAGTTGCCAACTACTAAGCTAGACTCATCTACACCATGGGATCGGACTCATGTATGACATCAAGCTGAGAAATACATTTGCATTTCGATTCTCGTCTCTCAAAAAGAACTACCGAAGCCCGGAAATTTCTCCGGATAGACTGATAATGGGAGCAGTACTTCCCCGCAAAAGGCGGATAGTTATGCATGAAACACTCCGCAGCCTGCGGGGGATTAAGCCGAATAGGGTCAATCATTGCCTTTGTCAGTGGCATCTAAGGCTTAGTTTCCAAGCTACAGTAGCAGTGTTGGTAAGATCTCCAGAAGGCATTTTAGAAGCTTCTCCAAGAACGGCAAATGTCTGCGTTGGCCAACAGCATGCAGAATGATTGGCCCGCATAAGCATCTCAAATAGCCGTCGGCTCAATGTAACACTGTTGTTATAAAGCGTCATGGTAGCGAGGGGAGAATAGTTTCGATAATAGGTTGATTGCGAATAGAAACGACTGGCCTTTGGGATTTCTCAAAATGAAGGCTATTGTAGCAGCGCTGGCCATCGGCCAGACTGGTGCAGCAGCAAAAAAGTTCTGGAGTTCAAAGCCAGCCGACCCAGGAAATGTGCTGATGACAGGGTATACTATTGGTAATGGAAGACAAGGAGGTAAGGAGATTGGAAATAAATTGGTGGTTACAACTGGCTTATATTCGCGTAGGCTTACCCCTAGGAATACCTGGCGATGATTTATTGTGTCTCAATGATGATAGCGTATGGCGCGGTGGCCCATTTTCAAATTCGGTAAGATACACATATCATTTTTCTGGAAGAAGAGAGTAACGGCAATGAAGTTGCTAACGCTGCATATAATCAGAGCTATACAGGAGGAAACCCTTCCTCGTCGCTGGCTCATTTCTTGCCCGGAATCCAGGAGTTCATCTTTCAGAATGGAACAGGAGGTATATTTTCAGCGGCGTTGTGGAATAGGACAATTGATACTAATTGGCTTATTAGATGAATCCGCATTGTACGGTGGTTCGTCTGATTACGGCTCTTACGAAGCTCTCGCCAATCTTACAGTCTCGATTGCCGGAGTGACCAAGTACTCCAACTACAAGCGAACGCTGGATCTGGAGACGGCGCTGCATTCTTCAGAATTTACCGCAAATGGAGCCACATTTCAAACGTATGCGCTGCATCGTCTGAGCTCAGATCCCCAGTGCCCTTGCTAAACTACTCCTAGTGTTCAGTTCTGCACCTTTCCCGACCAAGTCTGTGTCTATCATGTCAACTCCAATAGGCCACTACCCGACATCACATTTGGCCTAGTTGACAATTATCGCACAAATCCGCCTTCAACTATTAAATGCTCTTCGAGCGGAATTTGGCTGAGCGGACGAACCGAAGCTGACGACGGCGAGGGACTGATTGGGATGAAAATCGATGCCCAGGCCGCTGCGCTCTCTTCCATTGGGCTAAAGGCAACATGCAATAGCAAAGGCCAGACGGTGCTTAGCACAAAGTCGGTCAAATCTGCCACCATTGTTGTGGCTTCAGGCACGGAATACGACGCAAGGAAGGGCAATGCTGCGAATAAGTATTCCTTCCGCGGAGCAGACCCGCATCCCGGTGTTGTGAAGACAATCAACGCAGTGTCTAAGAAGAGCTACAACACAATCCTTCAGAGACATGTCGCAGACCATGGCGAGTGGTTCAACAAGTTTACTTTAGATTTGCCGGATCCCAACAACTCTGCGGAAGTCGACTCAATGGAACTACTCACGAACTACTCAACGGATAAAGGTGACCCTTTTGTCGAAGGTCTTCTGATCGATTACGGAAAGTATATGTTTATTGCCTCATCCCGACCTGGATCACTGCCTCCGAATTTACAGGGCTCGTGGGCTCCTGATGGCAACCCGGCGTGGAGCTCGGACTACCATATCGATGTTAATGTGCAAATGTAGGTTGCTGGCCTATATAATGGCCTATATAAACCTCGCTGATGAATGCTTGGCTGACTATACATGCATACAGGAACCACTGGCTTGTCGAAAAGATGGGCCTAGGGGGTCTTACCGATCCTTTGTGGGATTTCATGACCTACACCTGGGTCCCTCGTGGGACAGAGACAGCCAGGCTGTGGTATAATGCCAGCGGCTGGGTGGCCTTTACGAATACCAATATTTTTGGCCATACAGCGTAAGCTACTAAACAAGCTCTAGGTTTTCTTTCCTTTTCTGTTCTTTTTCTGACACGTCATAGGCAAGAAAACGATGCAACCTGGTCGGATGTTGCACACGATATCGCTTGGATGAGTAAGTGCTTTGATAGCCACCACTATACTATGGGAAACACCGCTGATTAAGTCCTTTGACAGTGGCACACGTATGGGATCGCTATGACTATGGCCGCGATAAGAGCTGGTATGGCTCTGTTGGTTACCCTCTGATGAAAGGCGTAGCCAGCTTCTGGATGGATTTGCTTGTGCAGGACGACTACTTCAAGGATGGCACCTTGGTTGCGAATCCTTGTAATTCCCCAGAGCACGGCCCTACGGTAGGCTAAAGTCCAGATTCTTTGTGTATTGCTGGAGCAAAATTAACAAGCACTGCAGACCTTTGGATGTGCGCAGTTCCAACAGGTGATCTGGGAACTGTTTGACCACATCATCAAAGATTGGGATGCGTCCGGCGACAAGGATGAGAGCTTCTTGAAACGGCTTAAAGAGTCGTACAGCAAACTTGATCCAGGCGTCCGAGTTGGAAACTGGGGGCAAATTCAAGGTACCTTCCACGATTCTTGTCTCTCGATGCCAAATATGAAACTAATCGGCCATCTCAGAGTGGAAACTGGACATCGATGTCAAGAACGACACACATCGCCATCTCTCTCACCTATACGGCTTTTACCCTGGCTATGTCATTTCCGGCGTCCACGGTAGCAACAAGACGGTTATGGACGCAGTCGCTACCAGCCTGTACTCTCGTGGAAACGGCACAGACGACTCCAACACCGGCTGGGAAAAGGTGTGGAGAGGCGCGTGCTGGGGCCAGCTGGGCGTCACTGACGAAGCGTACAAAGAGCTCAAGTACACCATCGACATGAACTTTGCGGCGAACGGCCTTTCGGTGTATACAAGTGGCAGCTGGCCGTATGAAGTCGCTCTGCCGTTCCAGATTGATGCCAACTTTGGCCTTTCGGCAAATGCCCTGGCAATGCTGTACACGGATCTGCCGAAGAAATGGGGAGACAGTAGCATCCAGAAGGTGATTCTAGGCCCTGCTATTCCGGCAGCGTGGGCCGGTGGAAGCGTCAAGGGAGGAAGCCTGAGAGGAGGCGGCACGGTGGACTTTGGCTGGGACGATGCTGGAGTGGTGAACAAAGCCGTGCTGCATGGGAGGAGTCTGCCGATTGTTGTGGTGAATAAGAATGGCAAAGTGCTGGCAAGGCATTGATGCGTGTAACTAAATAGTGGAAGAAAGCTCAAAGGCAGAAGAAAATAGGCAATGCATTTGGTGGATCAAGCAGCAATAGCAGTCTTTTCTGTTGTGCAGACGCCGCATCAATGCAGAAGAAGCGTTGCTTGCGTGTGGAGATGGCTTCGTTCGCAGGTGGTGGATTGACTAGGCTTGCTAGGTGCTTTGTTTCCAGCGGGAATAACAGCGACACGTCGCTAGTGGCGAGTCCCAGCGAAGAAGCAGCGGCGCCTGTAGAAGCTTAATTTAGCCCCTGGCTCGCTGGCTGCGGGTGGCGATTTGGGCCAATGAATGACGCGGTTGGCATCAGAGGCGTCACACAGCGGCGCTTGCAGGGCCAACCAAGACACGCCGTGATGACGTGGTGGGCGGGAGTCGCATGTGATGGTTCTTTGGTCGGGGACTTATTTATGAATGATGGACCTGTTGAAAACGATGGTGCCGTATATTAACTCGTCTCTGCTCGCAGCCCGTGAAAGCACTCCTACCATCTAGCATTAGGCGTCAATATCGATGCTGCTGCTTCATCATAATCAACGGCCCCTTTAACAGCGCATGTTGCACGGCCACCCCGCCTAAATCAACCCCGCTGTCGCATGGCAGTGTGTCGCATCGCATCGCATTGCAGCTACCCAATCCATCCTCTCGTCCTATTATTACCCATCAACAGTCTTCATATACCTTCCTCCTCGTTGTCCCCTCTCTTTCATCTTATTGTTCAAAACATCCTCCGCCATCATGGCTTCTGGACACAATGTTCGCGCCAACTCCCATCTTCCTCTGCTCTCTCTTGGGAGCAGCTGTTCAGCCCCTCCATAGCTAACTCCAATTCACCAACAGGATCCAAAGCTGCTCTACTCCGTCACAGGCGTCAAGGCCTACCACCTCGCAAATGGCACCGAGCAGTCATTAACGCCATCAGGGCCGCAGACGTTGTCGCTGCTGATGGTGCCGACTTCTTCGGGCTTCGCAGACCCGGCAAGCACTGGAAACGGGAATGGAAACGGGGAGCAGGACTTCTACCTCCACCTGCATCTGCCGCCCGAGCTCGATCTTCCCATGCCAGCGACGACGCAAATCTACCACCAACCTCCCAGCAGCTACCTGATTCCACGGTGGGATCTCGGCCCCGGCAATGGCGCATTCACGCGCCTAGAATTCCCCGTCGTCGGCAGCAGGCCCAACGTCCAAGAGGATGTCGATACCTTTGAGACGATTCTTGCACAATGCACCGCATTCCTCGAGCGAGCGCCGGCCCCAGCTCCGCCCCCAGAAAAGCGCAGGCCCTCCGACGCTGCCAGGGCAAAGGCAAGAGAAGCTGGAAGAGACGATCCTCCCCCCTATAACCCTGCCAACTTCGACGAGGGCGAGGGATATGTCCGGGGCAGTCACAGCTCTCATTTGCCCGGGAGGATCGTCCTCATTGATGAAGAGGATGGCAGCGTCATGGGCGAGCTTAGTGACGGCTTCAATGTGGTCGAGGACGGTGGTGTTAAACCTGGATCCAAAGGTAAAAAGCGAATATTTTCCCAGTCATGGCCATGTACTCACCCATCTCATCACCAGAACCCGTCGAGATTATTCTCCCTGCCGATGGCAGCCACAACATCTCTGTTCAGCCCGCCTACGACTACATAGAAGACACTATCCACCCTGCCTACAGGACATCGACCATTGTCTCGTCAGCCACTAAAGCCTCGCGGCTCCTCATCACAACATCCGACTACGTTGCAAAGGCAATGCAGAACCAGGCCGACAACTTCACCAAGAGTACCAAGCCTGCTGCAAATCCCATGACGTTTGCCCCTACAACCCACGACCATATTCGTCGCATAAACCATTACTCTACCAGAGTCGCTACTCTTTCGGCTCAAACCATTGGTTCTATCAATCACTTTGCTCAAAACTTTGGCGCCGGCATGTCGAAGCGCAAAGATGGAAAGGCACGAGGCTACGATAAAGACGGCAACGTCATTGAGACGTATAAGCCAGGCGTGTTGAACAAGAGTCTAATGGCCTTTAACACCGTCGTCGATGGCATGGAGCATGCCGGAAAGACTTTGCTATCCGGCACAACATCCAGCATGTCTACAGTGGTTGGACACCGCTGGGGGCCGGAGGCAGGAGAGCTGTCCAGGCACCTGGGCGGCGGCTTCAAAAACGTCGGATTGGTGTACATCGATGTGACGGGAGTCTCCCGCCGCGCCATTCTCAAGAGCGTCGCGAAGGGTATGGTTGTCGGCAAGGTCAAGGGAGGAGGCCAAATTATTGTCGGCGACAGCAACGGAACTAACAACGTCGCGGTTGTCTCTGGAGGCAATGGCAGCGGCAGCGGCAGCGGCAGTGGCAATGGCAGTAGGAGTGCTAGTGGTAGTGGAAGTAGTTCGAGAAATGAATCTAGGAGCGGCAATGGGAAATCGAGCGCAGTACACGATACATATGGAGGCGGCGCAACAATTCCAGGGAGCAAAGAGGGCAACGGCAATGGGAAGAAGTCGGCGTGGTGATGGTATATAAGAGATTGTACATAAGAGGTGATCAGTTTGTATTGCTGCAGCTTGGAGATACCACCGATATGAGATACGACTCTGCCTAGTGCAATTTAAACAACATGAGCTTTCTAATTCAAAATAAAAGTAAATTTCACTGACGACGAGAATCCCCTAAACATGAAGTTTCTCTTTTCTTCTACCGCAGTTATCCGTCTCCAAGTTCAGCTCGTTCAGCCAGAATAAGGTCACGTGCCCACGCGCGGTTCAACGATGACGGCACACGCTTCGTCCAGACTTCGAGCTTCACCGGAGCTTCGAGCTACAACCGCGTGGCTGAAGCGCCACATTTCTCTTCTGCAGGGCTTGATCGCTAACCGCCATGTCGAAAATACGAGTGTAGCGGTCTTGCATGGTCCATTTTCTATGCGCATTTCTCAAGATTCACCGCCCGCGAACCCAATTCGCTGCTCGAATGCTCGTCCACCCTGACCCCACCATCGCCTGTGTCCCACGATAGAACCGTCGAAAGCAATCAATGTGCCGATACGAGCTCCTAGGCGTCATCATCCTTATCGTCCATCGTATAAGCGACTCCCTCAAAGCTAGAAAAGCTGGCAAGAAGTGCGTCTCTGCTCCTGACTCGCCATCGCAGCAGCCGTCAATCGCATAGTTCATAGCTCTGACGCCCTGATTTCGCAAAGCTCCAGATCTTTGCAGCCCGAGCCATGCTCCACGAAATCCTCCTCTCTCTCTCGGGGCATCCGTCGCCTCTCCTCCGAGCCGGAACTGCCGAATCGGGCCCGGTGTCCGGCGTCACGCCTTCGGAACGCCAGCTACTAGCCTCGGCGGCGCATCTCAGCGACATCCATATCAAGCTCATCAAATACGCTGGCCAGATTGCCGGTGCCCACCCGTCGCCGATATGTCGGGCCGTGGGTACAGCTATACAATCTATACATTTATCTGCTTTTCAGCGCAAGATATTAGAGGTGGAGGAGAGCATACTAAAGGAGGATCCTGAGCTGGTGGGCGAATATAATATTGTGCCTCTGACGGCCGTAATGGGAGAATTTACGCAATGGACAAGGCGATTCGAATGGCTCTGGGACATTGTTCAGTTTATGGCCACCAAGGATGAGAAAGGGAATGCCTGCTGTGGCTCACAAATCATGAACCGTCTAAGAACCGAGCTGCAAAGTGGCTACCGGGACGTCGAGGAGGCGGCTATGAGCTTAGTTAAGGTGGCCGAGACGGCATGGCTAAAACAGGTTTCGGCGTGGGTTCTTTATGGAAGACTTCCCAGCCTGGGAGGCGACGATTTCTTTATCCAGAAAGTAGATGGGACTGCCGAGGTATGAATTGTAACTCTTCTCCTACTGCATTTTCCCTCTTGTCCTTCTAACCTCTTAACAGTACATATATGAGCCAGAGCTACTACCAGGATTCGTTACGCCTTCCACGGCAGCGTCAATGCTATTCATTGGAAAGTCTCTAAACCACACACGTGTCAGGGCCACGGTTGATTCAGGCATGGGCGGGCTGGATCACCTCTCTACAAAGCTACAAGAGCTAGCTAGTTTATCATTTCCCGTCAACGGCGCCACATTCTCAAGAACCATTGTCTCTATACGATTGTCGCTTTCACAAAACACCCTTCAAAAGATCTTACCCACAGCAAAGGTTATTGAAACGCTGCAGCTGCTTAGAGAATTCTTCCTGCTGGGCCGAGGAGAATTTGCTATGGCCTTGACACAAGAGGCCGACGACAAGATTCGAAATCGTTGGCGAAGAGCAGGCAATCTAGCTCACGAAAAGCAAGATGGCATAAGAAACTTGACCGTCAAAGACGGAGAGGTATCTGCCGTTCTAGCAAGGACTTGGGCTGTTCTGGTAGCCATGCAGCGCAATCAGGTAGAAGAAGACGAGTTGTTGGAGCTTGCAAGAGATTTGCTTCGGCTACATCTCACCAAGGCTACCTTGACGCCGCCCCTCGTCAGCCCAGGCCTCAATGCTGCAGAAGCCAAGATAATTGCTTCATCACCATTCCGAAATCTTCTATTTTCGGTCCCAGCGACTCTATCAATCCAACTCCCGTCCCCTCTTGACATGGTAATCTCACCATCCGACCTCCAGCTATACTCTTGCATCAACTCATACCTACTATCCATGCGTCGAGCTCACATTCGGCTTACTGATTTGTGGAAAATCACCTCTTTGAGACGCCATCATCCGGCCCCTCGAGGCGCAAACGAATACGCCGGCACCCTCCGAGAGCGGTGGTCAGCTCGTGCAGCGGCTCTCCGAAGCTCCTGGACAACTGCCAGCGCTGCCATCTTCTTTCTCGGCGAGACAGAAGCATACTTCCAGACGGAGATCGTAGAGGGCCTCTGGGAGGGCTTCCTCATCTGGCTCACCGGCAAAGAGAGACGCCGTGATGGCGGCCGTTCAGGCGCCGCAACTCCAGCCGCGCACTCTGCCAAGCACAGCATAGCCACGACATCAGATTGGAGGCCTGGGTCTTCCAGCAATGCCACAAACCCCAACGATGTCTCTAAACTCCTCTCGCGGCCAGCTCCCGATCCGCAAACTCTCGTTACCGCCCACTCCTTGTACCTGCGAACACTCGTCCATCGCCTCCTGCTTACACAGCCCACCTTCACCAGCCTCCTATACACCCTCCTCAATCACATCGACCACCTCGTCACGCACATCCAAAGACTCCACTCTATCTTTACCTCCATCGACCTGGAAGCCGATGCCGGTGTCCTCGACTCCTCCACCGATCTTGACCACGAAGAGCGGCAGATTATGACCCTCATTCGTGGCGTAGAGGGCAAGATTCGGCAGGGCATAGAGGACGTCGTCGGCGCGCTAAGGGGACTCGAAGGCGATGTTGAATTTCTCGCGCGGTGGGAGGGCCTTGATGGGACGGTAGATGGGCACGAGGAGTATGGAGATGGGGAGATGTATATTCCGGCAAGGGTGGGAGGGATTAATCGTCTCTTGATGAAGCTGGACTTTGGCACGTGGATTAATACGCAGGGAGAGTATTAGTAGGTTGACTATAATGATGGTTGGCGTTATATGTAATTGGCGTTGAAATAAACTTTGGCCTTGTCTTATGTTTCTATATAATAGCACTTTTTCGTAATGGGAATGTAATAAATATCACTTGCAAGAGAAAGAAGAGAGCCACTTGTAAATCGGAATCCAATGTTTTCATTCTCAATTTAGGCATTCCAAAAAGCCAAAAGTTCCTAACCCAAATCTATCTATATGTAATTCCAACCTGTCTATATACTTATTTCCAATATCCCACGTTGTCATATCGTGTCGTGTCCATAATATCCCCTCATGACCATTTAACGCATCAATCTTTTTGGCGCTATCAAAAACCCCAAAGGTTGTGATTAGAAGAAGAAAGAGAAGAAGAAAAGTGGAAAAAAGAGGTCCCAGGCGCCAATATATATGTGTATGTATATGTATCCGTTATATAAACCCTTTCCCATGCATGTATGCCAAATCCCAAATTTTTTTTATTCGCTCATCATGAAGGTTGTGCTTCAGTAAAAAAAGAAGAAAAAGGAAAAGGAAAAAACAGAAAATTCAGTCCAAAACAGAAAAATTGCAGACGCTCGCTTATGTAAAATTTCGTAAAAAATCCTCTTTATCTTTCTGGCCGTATAATTCATATGATCTTCATAACAAAGGAAATAATAGAACAAAGGAAAAGTTAAATGAGTGTAAGTGTAGAGATCGAATAACGAGATTCGTTTCCTCGAGTATTCTTAAATTTTTCGTCATTGTTCAAGTTGCGGTGCTGTGTTTGTGTTTCATGCTGTTTTTTTTTTTTTTAATGTCTGGTAAGTTGTGTAAGTTGTCTTCTTTTTTTTTTCTTTTTTTTTTAAAAAAAAAAAGGATGCAACGTTTTCTGTGTCTCGGGTGCATTATATATGAAAAATCTGTCGATATCGTTCTGCCATAAAAGCAGTTTAGTAAGCGAGCACAGTATGTCCTCTGAGTCGCAGGGGGCTGAATGTCTGGGCCTTGTTCAGAAGCCCGTGTACAAGCGTCTTCGTTCGGGGCTGAGACACTGAAACGGTGTGATTGTTAACAACTGTAGTGGCGTTTCCAACAGCGGCAGTGGCTGTCGTAGTAGCACCGGGTGCGGTGTGGGGCCGAGCTGGCGTGACAGGGCGGCTGTAAGTACCGGCCTTTTTCGCTGGCGGCCAGCGGCTAAGGATGGAGTCATCGACGAGTGCCATGAGACCAGTAGCAATGATAACACTAGGGCCCATGTTAGAAGCTGCTTCACAAAAGGGAAAATAAGCAGGAAGAAAGGAGAGGGGAGAGACCTACTCAGCTACGTCAGTCAAGGCTTCGATGATAGACTTGTCGTTGATCCACATGTAGCACTGGGGAATCCAGTTGCCTGCAGCCTGATCAGCCTCGACCTGGGTCGGGCTGCGGCCTTCAGGCAGAATAACCGCTACCGGCTCAACCTCCTTATCGCGCAGCAAATGGAAAGCAGTGTTGCCAAGAGCCTTATCCATCACTCGGCGCCAGGCGTAGTTGTGCCCCCACCATTGAAAGTCATATTGCTTGCCTAGGCGACGCACGATATCCACGCGAGCGTAGTTGCTAAACTCAAGCTTGAGAGTGTTGAGCGGGATGGGTCGTGCTGAAGGGAGCTTGGGCTCATCAGAGTCGGAGTTTACTGCTTCATCGGAGTAGATGGAGCCACCGCAGCCCCAGGAGGTGTTGTTGCTGCCAAACGAAGGACGACGAGGGTCCGGAGTTGTAGACAAGGCAGCGGCCTTTTCCGTAGAGGCACCGCTAGATCGTCGAAAAGAGGTCTTTACCGAGCGCAAAGCACTGGTGACGGATCGTGAGAGAGAAGAGGAGGACGATGTTGTTGCGCGCTCAAGGCGAGGGTTGGCGCCCTTGGAGTTGCATACTTCGCGGCCGGAGTCGCGGCAGTACCGCCTCAGCGAAAATTCTCGCTTGGCGAGATCATGCATGCGCAGGTGGAAGAGCTGGATGGCGACGGCGCGGCGACGGCGCGATGACAGATCCGGTACAATAGCATCGACACGGAGATTCATGTTACCATCGGCAGTTCGGTCGTCATGTCGAATGGACAAGCGATCCATTGATGGAAAGAGACGCGCAAAAGTTTCTGGGTCTGATGATCGGACAGAGATCTCAGGAACAGGCATACAGTTGTATGGCGGCAGCGTGGAAGGAGGAATGCCCGGTGATGCAGCAGAATCTTCTTCGTCCTTGTGGTCATTGTCGGAGTCGTTGTGAGACTCTGATGACTTGTCGTCTGAGTAGGCAGAGTCGTATGTGTTGACCGACGAAGAAGAGTTCGAGCCAGTGTCTACCATGGATGGAGGAAGGTCCTCCCAAGTATCGCGCTCCCACGTATCCCTTGATAAGTGATGGGAGTCATAGTAGGACCCCGATACATAGCTGGAGGTCTGGTCGTACTGACGACTCGATACATAGTAACGGCTTGAAGCTGCTGTTGAATTCCTGCTGCGGGCCATGCTGGAAGCTGTGGTCCTGCTAGCCCTTGAGGCTGCGCGAGCCTGTCTCCTTGTAGGGACGGCCATTGGGGATGCGCTGCGCGATAAAAAAAATTTAGAGTAGTTGGAAGGTTTTGAAGGGTATTACTCTGATATAACGTTTGCGATGATGACTGATGTTGATGCTGTAGTAGCAATTGTGTTTGTATGGGAAGTGGTAATTGGTGTAATCGGTGTAAGTGGCTTTGGTCTTGGTGCGTTATTGATGTGCCCTCTTTGGTGAGAGTAGATGTCGGTTTATATGAAAAGACGCCGAAATGGCAAATGTAACATTTATCCAATCAAGCAATTGTGCACATAATCTGCAAGCTCTATCGAGTTTCCGGAATGTGGACGACAAGGGACGTCATTAAGGCAGAACGCGTGCGTTTTGGTAGAGCGCAAGTGCTTTCTCATCAAGCTATGAAGTCGAGAGTCTTCCAAGAGTAAGACCATGATCGCACCCGTGGTGTGATATATGTGTGAATGCCAGACCCCCTCCGTTATGTCATCTCACCTTCCGATGCGCCAGTCACTCTTGCATTCTAGCGGATCTATTAGGCGGCAAGCCACTCTCGAGTCTTTACTGTGTTCGGCATGCAGGCCTTGGGCCAAAGAGAGATACAGCAGGCATGCAAGCACGTAGGGAGAGCGTGAGCAGGAAGAAACATGGAGATGGCTAATGGGGGACAGGGGGGCGTGTGAACCGGGACGAATGGCAGGCCCGCCAGTGGCTGTGTAAGGCGAATAGGAACGACTCAACAGCTAACCAGCCCGATACCGACTTGCTGGCAAATACGGGGGAGTACGTGCTTGGCCAAGCACCAGCAAGGAGAATGGCAAAATTTTCACTCCAAGCAGAGCTCCCAATTCGCCCTGGTCAGTGGGCGGCGGCCCAAGGCAAGGCCTGGGCTGGGCAAAGAAGGAGAACGCCAGCGCAATGGGCCGCAGCCGCAGACTCGACAGCCGCGTGTTCAATGGCGGACCCTGGCTCACGCATGTCGATGGATCCCCTCCTCTGCTCTATCGACTCTGTGTCTGCTCGTCTTCCGCCAGTGTCCAATCGCGGCCGTGGCTGCACAATGCAGGAGCTTAGAACCTCTGAGCTTTGGGCCGCAGAAATATGCAACTCCTGGAACTGACTTCCTGAGAGACGCCCATGTCCGGCCGGACAGTACATGTCTGCATTGTAGGTTACAACGGCCGAGTTGGATGCATCTTCTCTCTTACATACCGCATAACATGGCACAGGGAGCTGTATTTGCACATTGTAAAAAAAGAAAGGGTGCTCCATAGATGGATCTCTCTTGGCTGGGGTAGAACAATTTTTTCCCTCTCTCGCGCCGAGAATCCCTGGGCAGCGACATGGTAAACGGACCTCTAAGAGCGCACCACCTCGAGATGCGTCCACCGCGTTCTGACACATATGAGATCGATGACAACATAGTGCTCCGCCAGTGTTGGTGAGTAGCACCTAGTACCGACATGCGAGGCGGTAGCAGTGATATGTTATGCCCAGAATCAACTTGATCCATAGTCTTCATCTATTTCGTTTTTATTTTATTTTTTTTATTTTTTTTGATCTTTTTTTCTCCCCATGCTGTCTCGTTCTGTCCATGTTTTCTTCACCCGGTGGCCCTCCTTGTAACTTGCTGATTGTCGTTTCCGAGAGTGCCCGGCTTGCGAGTAACAGAGCTTGTAAACTGCCGGTTCGGGCCAATACCCGGCTGGTGTCCGCTCTGCTACGTGGCGAGCGATAGACCACGATGGAGAAACGCTCAGCTACTAAGCCTCTGGTTGATTCCGCAACTCTCGCTTTTCTCGTACGCTAGCTAGGCCTTTGCGCAGAAGACAAATTCAATGAGAAATCAGAGAGAGAAGTCGCCAGATGCTTTGCGCGTTTTCGGACATGCACAGCGTAAATCTTGGGCTCTCACCGTCGGCCAACCCCATCAGGAGCTGAAATGTCCCTGGTGAAAGGACTGGAGATCCATCATCAACTAACTGTAAGCCAGCAGATCCCCTGGCCATGGCTGAGACTATGGAGCGCCTTGCCCGCAGGAAGACACAAGACAGCGCAAAAAGAGTCACACGTATCTGCCGGTCTCTCAATACCTGGTGCGCCGCCTCACTGAAAATAGCATGGCAGCTAACAACGTACGAAGCACACATAGGCACCATCGTCAGCGCCGTCGCTCTCGTGATGACAGAGACCTGTTCCCCTTGTACACTTGGCCTTGGCGCCGGATCTGCCAGTGGGCGCATGAGTGGTGCCAGAATGAACAAGTCACCGCTGGAGCGGCGCTCTAGGCCCAAGCTGGCTGCTGCCGAGTGCGCTGGCAGACTGATTGGTTAAGCGCCCAAGGGATAAGAAGCTTGCCCGTTGACACATCAGCAATTTGTGGCTGCAGCTAGATGGATTGAGCGAACAGCAGGCCGCTTCGGTGCGATCGATGGATCCCGTGGGTGCCCAACTTCAGGCGAGGGCTTTGCGAGGCCACTCGCTTGCCTGAGCGTGGCTCTCGGGAAATTCTGGCACCAGGCCGGGGGGATATTCCTCAGCATGTGCATTGCTTGTGCCTTGTGGTGTTCATCCTTCCCGTATGCTATTTGTTGTTCGCCCTCCATTCATTGGTGATAATTGGGACTGGTGACCCCAGCGCACGAGGCCCAACAATGCAGATTCGATTTGCACTGTGGGAGAGACGCATTGCATTGCTACTGCATAATTCTTCGACTTGACGAGGCACCATGCGATTGGTCTCCTGCGGAAAATTGACAGGAAAAAATTCCAGCATCCATCAGGGTAGGGAGGTTGCATTCTGCATCGCAAATGATCACCAATAGCAACGGCCAATTGAGTTTTGATGCTCAACTCCGCCAGCTTGGCACTTGTTCGGCTTCTGACGAGGTCCTCAGCCTTGCCTATCACAAGCTCGCAAGAGATTTCGCGACGCGGCAACTTTGGCTTTATCCTCTGCCGTCCTCATTCGCCCGTCATTCTCACAAAATTATCAGTTGATTGAGCTGCACAGGAGCCAATGCAGCTGTTCCCAATGCTGATTCTCCTCACTCGTTTTATCGTGCAATGAGCGAAATGTAACGGGGTGAAGAGTCCGGATGTGCCCATTTGCAAGCCCGCCGCCACCAGCAACAGCAAGATATTAGCCATGTGAATATCCAGTTGGCTCGATAAGGGCAAGGCACGGAATATTGCATCAATAGCTTGTGGTGCCAGTGTGGTGTGTGTCGAGCAGCCATTCGTCAATTTCACGCCACTTGCGATTCGTGCCTCGGAAACGAGCTGCACGATGCAGCAGCAGCTTGGCCTTTAGCCAGCTTTTTGGCGCTTTTGCGCATCCATCCCAAGCTGCGAGAACAGAAGTTGATCGCGGCATGGCGCTCGCGTAATATCAGACCGAGGTCAAGTCCAAGCGTCGCATCCATTGTTTGTTGCAGATTGCACCGCGAGAGACACGATTGTCATCTTCTCATCCCTTTGTCCGTTCTCCTTCACCGCGGTTTGCCACCAAGTCGTTGAGCATAAGTCGTCTCTTCCACGACGGAGAACGTGGGGGACAGCCAGCAAACGCACCCCACTCAATTATATGTTGCACTGCAGGGAGGGGGAAAGGCAGATGACCCTGCGATAATGTCGTGTGTCTGTGTTGAGACGTTGAGACACCGGAAACGGCTCGCAAAATGGGTACTTGTTCACGTAACATGTGAGTGCGCATTGCGCAGTTGAGGCATAGATTGAACACATGTTACCTGTTAACTTGTAATCTGAGGAGCACAAAGAGCCGTCTGGCAATGGATTGAGAACTGAGGAAGAGGATGCAAGTGGCAGAATCAGGACATTGGTTAATATGCGGTGCATGGAGGTTGCAGCTTCCAAGGCATCAAGTTGCTGTTGCAGTGCCCGATGGTTATCGATAGCATTTAGGGAGTGTCCTGTACCTGTACCTACTTCCACATGGAGCAACTAGAAGGGTAGGGGGTACTGTACTTTGTACTATGCACGGGCGTAAAAACAAGGCAGAGGCATCAATGTAGGGCTTTATTTTGTACCTGGCATTACAGCGCAGCCCAAGGGGTTAGGCGAGATATTCAGACCAGGAAATGGTATGTATAAGTCAACCGCTGGTTACATCCCGTATCTCCATCTACCTTATCCCACGAGTAGGTATTACCCTGTATAGTATGAATATCTGTTAAGAAGGTGAAAGAATCATTATGAATAATACGGCCATGTTGATTATATCTTCGGTTCCACCATCTTACTGAGTGCAGGGTGGCGTCATGGGCATCTTTTGCATATACAGTAATCCAGGCATCAGCACCATCGTCTCATCCTCATCACTGGTACTGATCCCGAGAAGCCGGTTGCCAAGTCAATGGCTAATAATGGGCGTGGTCGACACCGCTCGTATGGCTTGACTCTTACTGCTATTTTATAGACTTATAACAAGCAGTGCCTCGGATAGCCTCGTTATCTTTTCCCTGCCCTACCACGCAGGAAATAGAAAAAATAGGTAAGATTATATCCATGAATATACAATTGGATTGTTACGCACAAAGTTACTATGACGTGTGTTACTGTAAAAGGTAGGCGTTTTGCTGTCTCTACTGTCTCCACTGCCTCTAATCACCTCTACGGCCTCTACTGTCTGTACTGTCTGTGCCAAGAATAACGTTGTATTGGCTTAATGTTTGTGTTCTTTTTTGTTTTTTTGTCCATTTCCTTCTGTGGTCCCTGACTTTTGTCCTTCATGCCTAGCCATCATTATCAAGTGCAAATATCTTCTAGAGCATCTATCAATGACCTCTTATACCATCAGTCTCTCTCTCTGTCTCGCTGGCTCTGGCTCTTCTTACCTACCTCTCTTTGGAGGTTCTCCCTCACATGGATAACTCATCCACCCAATTCGCCGTTCCCTCCACCGAGCCTCAATTGGCTGGTCTATCCCGCGCTATTTTCAGGAACCAAAGCCAAAACGCTGCCGGCGTCCTGGAGCTCGAGTCCGATTCGCCATGTCTCTCGGAATAATACTTTCCCCCCTGTCCGCCGCCACTAAGCGACCCCTACACCGTCTTGTCGCCCACGTCTTGCCTCCCCGCTATCGGCCGCGCGACCACTCCACGATGCTCCACGATGCTCCACGATTTCGGAAACCCGAGGCCCAGGTGCATCGAAGACCAGACCAGATGATTACATGCCGCCACGGCCTCTGCTGGTGTTAGTTGGCGGCTCAACGGCTCAACGGCTCTAACCCAGACCCCTCTTCGTATCTCTCCGTCACTGTCGCGTTCGCAGCATCAAGCAACCGACGCATCTACATCGCTTTCCAGCAGCACACGCCACACAGCGTCTCATCTCCGCCCCGGCTCTCCTCGCCGTCCCGCCCTCGTATCCTTGCCAACAGCGAAATGCCCGCCGATGCCATCTCCGGCTCGGGGCCCGCATCCGGCTCGCTCGCAGTGAAGCCTCTCCGGCTGCTGCTTCTCGAGGCCGACACGCCGCAACCCAACACCAATGCAAAGTATGGCGGATATCGAGGCGTCTTCACTGCGCTGTTAACAGCGGCCGCCAAGGCCATGGATCCGCCGCGCCAACTCTCCGACGTGGCCTCCATCACGGCGCACAACATTGTCGAGGACATGCAGTCGTACCCGCCGCTGGACGAGGTCGATGCCATACTGATAACCGGGTCACGTCACACAGCATTTGACAACGACCCCTGGATCCTGAAACTGGTGGAGTATGCAAAGCAGGCCATCAACACCGGCCGCATCAGAGTCGTGGGCGTGTGCTTCGGCCACCAGATCATTGGCAGGGCCATGGGTGCGCCCGTCGGCAAGAGTGATAAGGGCTGGGAGATTGCCGTCACCGACGTTGACTTGACCGACAAGGGCAAGGCCATTTTCCAGCTCGACAAAATGGTAAGCTTGCATGCGCTGCTCAGTGCCCGTATATTGCTTGCGCTGACGTAAATCTTTCTTGCAGCGCATTCATCAGATGCATCGTGATGTTGTTCTAGAATATCCCAAGGATGCCATTCCTTTGGGAGGCAACCAGATATGCCCCGTGCAAGCAATGTATAGCCCTGGTCGGTACATCACCGTCCAAGGCCACCCAGAATTCACCGGAGAAATCGTCGATGAGATCATCACCAACCGACACAAAGCTGGCATCTTCACGGATGACTTATACAAGGACGGCCTCAGTCGCTCATCCAACGAGCACGATGGCGTTGCAATCGCCAAGGCGTTCCTCAACTTCATGAAGCATGGTTAAGTACAAGCATGGAGCGACAGCACATTTGTGCAGGAGCTAGCTTGGTACCGCAGCTTCATGTCCAATCCATAGTTGGGGCCAGGGTCGATGACAATTTATGTAGGGAAATGTTTAGTGCATGATTCATTTGGTCTAGACGCATCGCGTTGCCAAAATGCGGTGAGCTCTAATGACCTGCAGAGTTAGCATGGTGCGTTACCACTACCATAGTAACATGCCTTCGCTTGCTCCGAGGATCCTTGTACTCAGCGTTTAATGCAGCCACTGCGCAGTTGACAGTCGCGCACATTATAGCAAGGAGGTAATGATCTCAGAAGAGGGGGATTATGTGATTCGAAATATGAGAGCAAGGAGACAGGGAAAGCGGGCATTCAGGATCACCTTTTTCGCTTTGTTCCTGAATCATATCACAAGGTACTCCATACCCTCTCAGCTGCTTGTCCGCTATTTGAGCTCAGCGGCTTTGACACCGAAGCGCCAATGTTCCATTCGTGCCATTAAAGCGCTATATGGATGATAGATAGTTTCGCAGCAATTAGCAATCTTTTTCTTTACAGCCAAATTATATTTTGTTCCATTTCATTCGCGGAGAAGCGCCATTTACTATACACTGTCCAGGGTAACTATGACGGGGTAGTAGAAAATTATCATTCAACACGCCACTTTTGCTGTCCAGCAACCCAATCGTGGCTAATATCACCGATTTGTAGCTATTCTAATCTTCTTCTAATTCTTCTAGTGTAATCTTTTCATGTGTGAACTGACTGCCTCATTAAGCTAAGGTGCTAGATAACGAAACAGATATTTAGACAAACATTCCCCAATAGGTAGTAAATGCTGCAATCATAAATTATTTATCAAGGGCACTCAAGATAATTTTGTTGTAAGTTGACTGAAATCCAATTTTCCAATTCTTAGAGGCTTAGTCTTGGCGGTAGACAAGCAACTTGTCATAATATGTAGTCTATAGCTAGCTATTAGGGATATTTAGCTGCCTTATATCATAGGGTGATAACCTTCAATTCTTTCTGCAAATCCTCATCCGTAAATGTCCGTCTTTACTGATTGAGCTGTTCATATTAAATGGCAAGAAAATAATTGCCAAACTCATGACTTCTCCATCTAACTGCTGGTGATTCTAACTTCAACTTTCAAAAAATAGCGACTATTACATTGAACCGTTCACTATGGATTATGAAAACAGAGAGTACCTTTTGGAGATACGGCCTTGAAAATGAGCCATTCGTTTGTACCCCAAAAGAATGAAAACTTGTTCGTTTCAGGAGTAAACAGCTACAAATTGAATTTTTTATCCAGACACCTTCGGGCACAGAGAGTAGTGGCACAAATATTCGAGATATATTCACCATTCATACGCGAAGTAGTGTATAAACCAAGGCTGTCTATGCTATGACAAATGTTTCTTAATATGTAATATTATTACATGATATTAAATATCTGCATCACAAGTTTCTTGGGGGGGGGGGTTATGGCGTGATGCTAGTCAAATATTCTGCGTTCGCCGATAACAGCAGTACATACTCTCCACAACGGCCCTCGGAATCCTTTCTAAGGTCTACCAAGCCTAGAGGTTGACAAGAGCTTCTTTGGTCCATCATTTCAAGATATTTTTGTTTAGAACAAGTTCATTCAGTCTTGCTGTTGAAATGTTTATTTCTATTTAGCATTTTCTTTACTCTTTTCTCTAGGTGCAAGCCATGTATTTCTCTTTCTCGACGGATGAACTTAACATGAGCTTACGCGGACTCTCATACCAAATGGTTAGAAGCTTACATACCATGTGATAATTAGAATAGCTTCCTGAAATGTTCAACTTCCATTTCTAAGCTCGGTTTGATATCCCGCAATGTTGGTGTAACTAATACTCGACCTCGGCATTGCTATTCAAGTGCTGAGAAATTGGATCGACTGGTTTTACGTTTGCAGAATCAAGATCAGCCTATTTCCGTAAATGCAACCTCTACAATTATATGACGCTGTTCCTGCGAGGCAACAATGGCAGGGGCCTACCTAGCTACCCATTTCGGTTCCTCAGAGAAATGAGTCTTCCCAAGATTACTCCAACGATATTTACTCAGCGGAGGAAGTTAGAAGCGGCAACTATATCCACCTATCTTTAGCTTGGTGTGCCACTGCTCAGCATTAGTGTAATATATGATAGGGTTGATCTGGACTAAACTTGCCTGAACGCTGAGCTATCCATCTTAGACATTGTAAACTAAGATACTACTAGTAATGTACTAGGGAATCAAAGTGCCGTCCATTAAGTAATTAGATTTAATAGAAATGCTATTAGACCTCTTCTTTTCTGATAGAGACACCACGAGGAGGAATGAAAGCTCAACTAGTAAGGTATGGGAAGGTAATGTTGCGAGAATGGGTTTGCTTCGCCACCAGCCAGAGAATAAGTGGTAGCAAGTCGCTCGGGCAACTCCCGCTTGATCCAGCCTAGCTTCTAAGCCCTTGATCAGATGAATATCGCATAGATGCAGTTGCTATATGTTTATCCTCTCTAAAAGGATGTAATTAGACGGTATATATTACCTCTAAAGAGCACTGCGGCCGCTACAATTCAAAATTGTCCATTCTAGGAATCTCATTAAGCTGTGGCCAGATCCCACACGGCATAGAGTATCCATTTAGACTTGTAAATAGAATCAAATTAGGTGTTTACTTGTAGCAACGGCTCTATTCCATTCATTCAATGTAACGCAGCCTTGTCTCCTGCCTCAAGTAGAAACGGGCTGAGCTGTTTTGCCCCTTGTGCTTACTGCCCCTTGTCTCATCCGTTGGCTGCCTACAGTAAAATTAAACGCCCTGCAAGCTTGTAAATTGGGTTGAATCTAAAGAACAAATACCTACTACTGCCGATATAGTGCCAAAGTAATATCAATTCGGCAATTGTTTCATTGTGCTGTTTTATCCCATGTTGAAGTGCGTTTCCTTCCCACTCCGAGCCTGTTGGTGTGTAAGCTAAGTATATAAGCAATTTTACTCTAGTATTTTGTTTTCTCTTGGCGAAATTTGACACTTCCGGCGCTATGGGATTCTAGCATCAGCCGATGTGATCGTCATGTCAGCTCAAAAGAAGCGGAGCTTTTTGCTTCTGTTTTAGGAAAATTTTGTTCATGGAGGATCTTGTTCTATGCCCGCTTGGCTCGAGAACGCTAAGCGCTAAACACCAATGCAGAAGCTCCAAGATCCAAGTGGTGTACGATCTAGTTACCTATTTCATGAATACCAGGGGTCGGCATGACCGTACCTGCAGCGCTAATAGTACTATGAAGCAACTCAATTCCACGTGGTAACGTTGAGTCGGTATACACCAACGAGAATTACAGATGTAAGTGTTACATTCGTAAGCCAGGATGAGGTCAATATTAGTATATAAGAGAACAACGAAGTCCATTCTTCTCCTCCAAATCATCCCTCGTCGCAAAACAATATCTGAAACTCCATCGCAAAAGAACCATCTTCAAAATGCAGTTCTCACTCTCCATCGCCACTTTTGTGTTGGCTATCACCGCCTCTGCTGCTCCCAACAGCAAGCGCCAGAACATTATCACTTCCGGCGACAACATGCAGGGCTCTATCTTCCAGTTTGGTGACCCAGCTCCTGCTCGCCAGTCTTTGTACACCGTTGGTGCTTGTGGTCTCAGCACCTACTTCCCCAACGCAGTTGATCCCAACATGCCTCTGGTCGCCATGCCCGCCGCGGTCTTCGACCAGTACGGCGCTGCTCAGCACAACCAGCTCTGCGCCAAGATCATCACCATGACCCACAACGGCGTTACTCGACAGGCTGCTATTGCTGACCGAAACTCTTTCGACTCTATTGATATGACTCTGGACCTCTGGCAGGCTTTCGGCGGACACGATGGCGACGGTACCATCATCCAGGGCTTCAGCTGGTACATCTCTCAGTAAGAGAGATACTAAGGAAACGTATGAAGGGGGCCGGAATTTGTACATAATCTGCTCTATTTTGATGTATATATTTTTATGATTCAAAGTTCCCCGTAAAAGGGGACATATGTTTATATATGACGCTATGTAGATATAGCCAATGCATACATACCATTGGATATTATGAACATTTGGAACTTGTATGAAGATTTGTTGCTCTTGGTGCACTTTAGCATTCAATTTCCGTGGTATGGTAATATAATATTTACTAAGATTTATAAGAATCATTTAACAGCTATAGAGAAGAAAGCACTAGCTAAAGTCTATTGGAATATCTGAAGGATTTATTCAATAAATTAATTTATTATATGGTACACAATTGATGGAGAGCTAATTAACGTACATATATATTTCTAGATGAAGTAAAGAGAGCAGAGGAAGCAGAGGAAGATGCTATAATAACTAAGTGTAATCAAGAGAATTTCGATTGTGCCATGGAATATATAAAGAAATATGTGTTGCTTCAATTAGGTTGAGTAATTTTATTTGTAAGCTCTCATTAATAACATAGGATGTAAAAGAGCTACATAAGGGAAAGAGGATGATTTTCTAGGACTTAATGCAATTTGTAGCTTTATTTCCCTTGTGTGCTAAATATAACTAAATGTCAAGTAAAAAGCAATAATGTTTATCTTTTTCAACGTTAATATCAGCAAAGAATGTCATTGAGCAAACGAATAAGAATAGGAGAAATGCAGCACCGATATAAGCAAGCCTTGTGAATAATATCCTTCCGTTTCAACACCCATTACCTATGCCTTGCGCAAATGGTCCTCATATTAATGAGTGTCTTCACTCGAAAGTTAAAGACTCTTTCTTGCTCTTCTTTTCCTTTTTCTTCTCTTCCATAACCTTCGGCTTAAAGAGATCTGCGAGACGCTTGTCGTCAACATGAAAACGTTCATGTCCATCATCCTGCAGCATTCGTGCCACAGTTATCTCCTTGGTTCTCTGCAAATGGAGAACACGATCGTCTACGCGATGGTTCGTTATGATGCGCACGGCGTAAGTCTTCTTCTTTTGGCCCATTCGCACGACGCGGCCTATGGCCTGCTTTTCTGCCGTCTTGTTCCACCAAGGTTCGACGAGAATGACGCGATTCGCAACGGTGAGGTTGTGTGCCTGGCCACCGCTTTTCAAGGTAGAAATCTGGTTTGTAGATATATGAGTAAAAAAAAAAAATGACATTCGTGCCATGAGAAACATTGCTCAAGGGCGCTTGAAACTCACCATAATCATCACAGTTGGATCGGTCCGGAATGCGTTTATCGCTTGTTCTTGCTGCTGTTTTGACAGAGTGCCGGAGAAATAAATAAACCTTACACATAAATAAAGAAAAAAATATCCCAAAATCTTTAAAGTGGGAATGAACTGGGTAAAGACTGGACCACAAAATTAGTTGTCGCTCAATGCTGTACACCAGTCTCAGAATTCTCAAATACTCACTAATCATTTTATCTTCGGGAGCTTCAGAGAGCCAAGTCATAGCGACGGCCATCGTCGCCGTAACCCGCGTACTTGGAGGGGGGATGAATCGTGGACCACTCGAGTCGGCCATGAAGAATAATGGCTCTTCAGTTCTCGGCTGGACTGTATTATTGAGTACATCTTTTCCCAGCTCAACAGAAGTTTTATTTTTGATGGCCTTGGCAGCCATCATCTCCAAAGTTACCACGGGTTGGCGACCTAGCAGATCTTGGCCACAACTACTAACCGAACACTTGAGGGTCTTTGAGGATATTAGGAATGTCAGCGTTGTTAAAGAGAAAAGGGGCTATAGATGCTTACGCTGGTTCGCTGTCCGTCCAACTGGTTGCTGGACTGGACCATTAGTTCGAACAGGCACGCGCGGCAGTATATGTGGCCGCACTATGTCATATATAAGTAAGCCGGTGTAAAACGAGGTTAGGGTCGGCGCAAGCTACTTACTTTGAAACGAACGAGATCTTGAGACGAGCAGTTATTTTTTCCACATTCTGATTCTTGAAGGGCATGTTGTAGAAGAACCATGTCCAGAATCTTGCTCATGTCGAAAACTCCTCCAAAATCAGGCTCGTCGCGATCCTTGAGGGCATCAATACCAACGTCATATTGGCCGAGACTTGCTTTCCAACCGTCATCCGCTTCGAGCTGTTCAATTATAGACTTCTTCCCTTGAATTTCCTCAAGCCTCGCGACTAACTCTTTGACTTCTTGCACGTCGAGATACTCGCTGCCCATCAAAAAGTTTTCCAAGCAATATGGATGAGACAAAGCTTGCCGAATACGCAACTGCTTTGTTGCTTCGATTGGTCTCCAGAGACGCTTCTTTGTTGGTTCAACTTTGCGTGTCTCATTTTCATCTTGTTCGCGCTCATAAATGGGCATCGCCGCTTTTTCTTTCGCTTCCTTGTATTCGCTTATATGCTTGTCATAATGTTCGTTTATAATGCTTCATATGTTAGTGTACACCTGTATGAAAGTACCTAACATTGGTATACGTACCTGCATAATACCTCCTCCTCCTGTGAAGTTGTGACAGATATATCTTGAAGTACCGTTTCAGGGATGTTGAGCGACTTATCTGCAGTTCTATATCTTGTTAGATTGTCCCATGATGCTATATCTGTGAACCTTACCCGCGATACATCAAATAGCTCAGAGGGGTGTCGAAATCGTCTGTTGTTAGCCCCTAAAGATAAAACTTCGTCAGCAACAGCTTAGATCGCTAGATTTGGACGCGCCTACCTTGTCAATATACTCTTTCTGAAATAATCGCCGACTTCCAATGAAATCACACTTGGTAAATACTGCATATGGGTAGAATTCTAACAAACTTTAGTCAGCCTGACGGTAACTAATCCCGTCCCCTTCGTGATATTATTGTGCGTACCCAGAACATTATTTGAGACGGGAGTGCCTGTCAGAGCCCATCGGTGCTGTGCTTTGATGGCACAACATGCTTGGAAAGCTGTTTTAGTTAGCTCAAGATATCTCAATTTGAGCTAATCATAGTAATTGCGTGTTGACTTACTGCGTCCAGCCCAGCGAGTGATGGAATGGGCTTCATCTAAAATCACTCTAAACCAATTTATTTGGAACAAGAGCCCGGCTTTATTCTTGAATTCCTGTGCATAAGCCTCATTATCGTCTCCGTGTTGGCTTTCCAGGATCTTCATTTGTTCTTTCTTGGGGAATTCGTGTCGCAATTGGGAATATGTAGCGAGACTACATATGTTAGTGACAGTATCAGTGTGTTACCAGCGGTATATGTGACTCACACTATCAGTTGCTTTGCAAACTTCAATCCGCGATTAGCTGAGTTATATATAGCCACACGCGAGCTCGCATCTGCATGCCAGTGTTTCTGTGGTATAGTTAGTGTGGATTTTCTGGTTTTCAACCTCCCGCTCCCCCGTTTCCTCTCTTACCTCAGCTTCCCCGAGCCACTGAGTGGCCAACGTGCTGCTAGGCACTATAACAAGTGTCGCCTGGCATGAAATCTTTCTCTCTTTCTTCCTGAGTCTATGAGCAGCAATGCATGCCAAGCTCATGACGGTTTTTCCGAGCCCCATTTCATAAGCTATAATCCCTCCGCAAGCTTGTCTCAATGGCTCTCTCTCTCTCTTCACCATCCACGATGTCACTCTGACCTGGTGCGGCGCTAATTCCGACAACATAATTTTCTTGAATCGTTTTGACTTGAAACGTTTTTTACCGCCTCTGAGCTCCTTCTTCTGTGTCGACTCGTGCCGAACACTAAGGTCTTTGGGAATTTTATCTCTTATTCTGGAGGCATTAACTTTATCTTCTCCGTCCTTATATTGAGGGTCAGATAGCTTTGACCGTTTAGAATGTCTGAGAGATTTGGAATTTTTTCGAGAGTGTTTGCGCTTTCGCTTTTTCTCTGAGGGTCGCTCGTGTCCAGTCTTTCCATCAGCCTCCTCTGTTGAGGTAGATGAATCCGGGGGCAAAATGTGTTTCCTTTGCTCTTCGTTTTTAGAAAGAGGGGATTTAGTGATGGCACAGTCATCAGAATTTTGATGTCGTTCCTGTCCTTCGTTGTATGACGATGGTGGTTTGATGATAGAACAACTGCGCTCAGCCTGAGAATCACCAGCATTGTACATGGCTGGTGAGTGTGAGGCTGGATTTTCAGTAGTGCCTTGTTCATTAGTCCTAGTCGAAGTAAGAATTCGACCGATATCTCCTTCTTCCATCTTGACATACTTGTCCTCTCCTATCTGTTCTCCCAGAGTGTCCTCTACCTTCATGGTGACACCTGATATGGCCTTCGGAGGCTCATGGTTGCCATCACTGCTTTGAGCAGATTCTGTTTCTTGAGAACACTTTTCAGATACTGAGAGAAGATTTTTATTCATGAAGTGTTCGAATAGGTTTCTCATGAGAGGCGCGGCGAAAAAAGTATTGGAATTTTCGCCAGAATCCGCTTTCGCTTCATCTTTTATGCCATTTTTCTCTTCATTTTGTCTCGAAAATAGAGACGACATGTCGAAAATTAGAAGTGTTGATGTCTAGAAGTAAATTAGCGAGGGTGATATAGCATTGAATGACAGGGACATTATTTTCCATTATAAACGAAAGTTCAATACCTGTGGTGGAAGTACCTAGATAAAAATGCAGATATGTTGCTGGCTTCGATTAATGCAAAGAGAAAAGTCGAAGAACTGAGTCGCATCGAAAAGGCGTAGAGAGAATGTTAAGAGAGATCAGATCGCTTGATGACAGAAGAGTATCAGTATACGAGCAACCTAAGAAGCCTAGTGTAGACCTTTAACAACGATGGATGATGCATAAAAATGAATGTATCAGAAGAGAACAAAAAAAGTTGAAAGAGGGAATGGTGTAAGGAGGAAAGAGAGAGAAGAGATGAATACGAGAGAGGAAGACGGCGGTGAGCTTTTCGCACACAATTTTGTCAACTCTCTCTCTCTCTCTCTCTCTCTCACACACACACATTTGGCTGCAACTGTGAGAGGTGGCTCTTCTACGAGTTGCGCCGAACAGCTGGCAGCTTGCAGCTGAGGCCAGATGCTGCACGCATACTTTGAAGACCCTACTGCGTCCGAAGTGGCTACACAAGATCTTCATAGACTCTTCATGAAAATAATGTTTCAATATTCCTGGGCTATGCGAATAATATTATCGCTAATAGTCATACAAATCCAACCATACGACTCGAAATTTCATTTGAACATGAGTTTGAAGCATAATATTAATGCGGCATCTAGACCATTCACAATTAAGAGGAAGCACAATAAACTACCTGCGTTATGCTACATTTACTTCCTCTGCTTGCTCGCCTCCGTCTACTTCTTCTACTTCTTCTAGTATTATTTAATTCTAATGTTTTTATATGTGGACTAACCACAACCATGGATGGGATATTAAATAATGAAAGTAGTATTACAAATATCTTCATCGATAATTTTCCAATAAAACTTAGCTGGCGCTTCATTCTACAGCTGGCAAATTGTTGACATGGCACTATATCACGGCAATCAAGACTAAAGTGCATATAAAGCAATAAATCTTATCAGCTTGGGTAAAAGCATACTCTATCTCCTTGATAAGTTGCATGCCTATGAAAGAAAACCTCTCAATCACACCATATCCTCATCTAGCCGTCCTCGTACATCTCTCAACGCTGGCACGACCGCCAACATAAACTAGCGCAAGTCATTCTGCATGCTATCAAGAGTTTGCGCGTTCTTCTTGACACCACTATAAACTAGAAACTCCATGAAGCTCTAAATGCTGTTCTAACTGGGCCTTTTGGAGATTCCTTGGGTGATTTCAGCTTATTAACCTGTTTCAGTATATCATCATGGCCCAAACTGACTCGTTTTGGAACGCTCCCAGAAGACGGTCTCTTAGCTTTTGGCACAGTTAGGGCTTGAAAAATGATATGGACCTTGACATAGGGCTCTTTTTGGGGCCGCTGATGTTGAAGAGCCGCAATCTCCCAGCATAACAGGATTATCTTCTTTGTTAACCGAAGTCGCTGCTTCAATACAGCATGTATCGTGCAAAATACTTAGACTAAAAAAGCTATATATACCGTTGTTCCCCCATATTTAGAAGATAGTGGTATAAATAGAGGCATACATACCTGATAAACACTTTCATTATACCTGAATTTTGTTTTTCTCTTATGTGATGTTCGTTTACAGTCTTCTTATATGCGTCACACCCTGGTAACAGCTTGTTACAAGAATCTTGTTACATGAGATCTTCAGAGAGGCGTTCAACTAGAAAAACACAAGAAGTTAAGAATACAAGAGTTAACTTACATCTAAATAAGTTTGGCTTCTTCGCCTTGTGCAGGCGCTGCGCGTCAGATGCACCATATATTACAAAGTCATCCTTTATAGGCGTCAGAGATTCTTGGCAATCAAAACTATAACTAAAAATAAAGGATTTATTCAGGGGGGCGGGGAAATGGGAAAAATGAATACGACCAACAGTGCAACGTGCAGGCATTACAGGTTTATCACCAACAAAGCTAACAACCAACGGCCACTTGCATTAGTATGAGGCATTAGTTTCTCTCAAGCCTCGCACGAACTTTGGCCGTTCCGATAATCTAAGGCTGTCATTGCTCACATTTCTATTTTAATAATATGAGCAGTAGAGCTTCTACGACGAGGCAAAGAAGCAGGCGCCTTGTCCCCTATAAATGGAACAAAGAGAGTTGGTCAGAACATGTAAGGAAGTTGACAAGGGACCTTAATTTCACATAGGACCAACAACACTCGTATCACAATTATGTACTAGCATCATGCTTGCATGGGGAGATAACGTGTCGCTCTGTCTGCAAGCCTCAGAGATCACAGCGTATTTGCGCGGGCGTGGAAATTATCCGAAATGAGAAAACGAATCCTGTGTCCTTGGTCGACTGGTGGTGTTCGGGAGGCTGCATGAAAGAAATGGAGAAGCGTAGCAACAGTCCCCTGCCTCTATGAGAGCCTCTCGTCCGTCCGTCGAGGCAAACACGGATCTATGCTCTGTGCTTCCCGTCTGTGCTCCTGAAAACTCAGCCGTTATCCTTTTGGACCATTGATACAAAGAACGAGCGTGTTTGCTATGCCGATTATTGCTTTGCTCGCTCACAGAAAAAGAGTGTTTGAATGCACTTTTGCATAGACAGCAGCATTAGTCTGTTGATTGCCGTTCAATCAGTGACCACAACGAACAAGTCCAGGTGAATTGACAAGATCATTCCAGCCAGCTGATTCTTGACAAAGACCAAGCAGGCCGCAAGCATCATGGGAGACCCAATTGCCGACTTGGGCCTTACGTGCCCCGAATCCGGCAAATTCTACATCTGCAAAGACAAGCCGAATCGCTTCGTGGGATGCTGCACCGTCGATCCATGCTCAACAAACGACGGCCTCTGTCCTGATACTGCTGTCCGGCCCGCATCGTTCGATCCCGATGCTTACGACCAGATTCTGGCGCAGCAATGTGCGGATCCTGGCTTCCTCTGGTACACTTGTCGCGACTCTTCGCCGCCATTCATGGGATGTTGCTCCCAGATGGGATGTGAGGATCACGGCTGTCCGGTAAACAAGGTCGGAGTGGCGACTCTGAGCAGCAATGCGAAACAAGCAGCTCCTTTCTTATCATCAGACGCCTCGTCATCGATATCAAGCTCTTCGACAACATCTTCAACCTCCTCGACAGCAACATCAACGGCCAGCAGTGCTGTGTCAACGACACTAAGCACCGCTACGAACACGAGTCAAAGCACCGCGCCACAGCAGAGCACTCAAACTTCGGCAGATCCACCTTCAGCGAATGAAGGACTGGGCAAAGGTGCCATCGCAGGCATTGCAGTGGGAGCAGTGGCGGGAGTCTGCATACTGGTCTTGGTTGCCTTTTGGGCTCTGAAGCGACGGAACAACAAGAAGCAGCCTCAGTATGCCTTCGCGGCTGGCGGCAGCGGCAAAGACTCACTGACCGAGCATCGAGATCGCGCAGCACCGCCGTTGCTAGGACGCCGAGGTAAGGGTGCTGCTGTGGAACAGATGGCGGAGCTGCCTCAATCACCGCCTCTCAAGTCTCCAGCTATCTCGGAGCTGCCTGCTACGCCGTCGCAGCAGAGCATCAGCTCCGGTACAACACCAGCCACTCGACATATCGTGTCCATGATGAGCTCCGAAGGTCCAGTGGGCAGAGAGAGCGCAATTTCCGGCTCTTCCGCCCCAACGCAACTGACACCGCATCTGAAGCAGGAACCATCATCAGTGATTCATCAGTCAACGCTGTTTGAGCTCGAGGACTCGTCGAGCCGCGCACTTATGGGGAGATCGCAGTGATTATACGACGCTCTTTCACGCAACGAAGAGCCCGAACGTGGCATGACCAATGGCTTCATGGCATAATTTTCATGCATCTAGTACTACTTCTGTACAAGTACCCATTTTTGTATTGATCCCGCGCAGTTAATGCAGTGTTTGTAATCGCGGCAAGGGAGAGACAGAGGGGGCTTGTCTATGACGGGCTGTGTGGCTGGCGGTTGTTTCGGGATACGAGGGCGACAGCTTACTACTGCAGCTACTGGCAGTGGCATTATTCATGGCGGAGTTTCAAGCTTTTTTACGTATTGTCTTGGCTTTTCGCCTTTATTTCACTCCCTCTCTTTTGGCTTCCTTGCTTTATTTTTCCCTTTATAACCAACCTATTTTAGTTTCGAATCGAGATGCTCTTTCTGATCCAGTTCTACTAGCCGCATCTAGGGGTAAAACCCCCCTGGTTCCGCGTTTTGTGTGTGCGTATGGTGTATAGTGTATACTTGCAGCAGACGTCTCGTATACTCACTCCATAATTTCTTGTAAGCTGTACATACGGAAGCAGGCAGCACCCCCAAATTGCAGTCTCACAAAGATGGGAATGACCTCCATTCCATTGGGTTGCGCACAAACCCCTTATCGTGGCCAATCAAAGGCACACGCTTGACCTGAGAAGAAAGAAAAAAGTTACGAAACCGTGGTCTGGAAAGAAAAAAAAAACTGGGAATCAAAAAATAGAACAAGGACCATGGAAATTATGCTTCAAGCCGTTCCAACGCCTCAGTGGACTTCTGGCTTTGCCTACTCCGTAGTTTGCAGGTAAATTCAAAATTCAATCGCCTGGAAAAGCCGGGGCGACGAAAGATGCCATCTTTTTTTTTTCCTGGAGAAACAGATCTGTCCCCCGCTGTCGCCCCAGACATATGTTACACTCAATTCGTCGTCGCGGAGGTCATACAAACGTCATCTTGGCCTAGGCAAACTGATGCCATCTTCTTCTTCCATTTTTTTGCTCAGATGACGGCTGGAGGGCTAAAAGGGAAGAAGTAGATGGCGAGAGAGCGGACGACGAAGACGTCCAAGCCACGGGGAAGCGCAGGGTTGGTCCACTTGAGGCGCAGCCTTTATGCGGATTACGACATGTGAGACACGAACCCAGCTTATTGTATACAGTGTCTCTCTGCTGCTGTTTCTATTTTTTGTGATGCATCCGTGTTAGTGTTTCTTTTTCTCGCATTTTTCTCTTTGTCCCGTTGCGGCGGGCAGTGCTCAAGACAAGATCGACGATGTCTATGCAACCACCCCCCTGTTACCCAGTTGGGCGAATTGCCTAAATAGGACGGCCGTTGACGCATTCCATGACCAGATATAATGTCATTGACTCTCGCTACGATGCCATTTTGAAATAGCAAAACAAATGGCAACAAGAAAAAATCACTGCCAAGATCCCAGAAAAACGGATTCTCTCCGGCCGGTCTTATGCCCAATGCAACGCCAGCAGCCGGTCTGCCGGAGGATACGTCACCATTACAGTGCCTTGTCTCCTCCGCGTAACGCTCAGCGCCGATCGGTTGCAACGCCACCGGGAATTAATCCCTGTAGGAACATTCTGCCGCACACCATCTGTGTGTGCGAGCGACTCGAGGTTTTTCTGACGGCTTCGTGCTTTTCGTGCATGTACACAGTAGGCGACGGCGGGCGATGGTAGCAGTAATGTTTACGTATAGATGTATCTATCCATGTCCGTGTGCGGCTATGGATCTACAAAGCACCCCCGTAATAATAGTACTCCATTATGTGATTGTTGTTGTCTGGCTGCCCAAGTACCAAGGCGTCCCAAGCAGCGCCCCCTTGCCTACGTCAACACTGTGTATGGCTTCTCTCCTCACTCCCCGTGGATCCTCCAGCTGTGGCTGTTGCATGACTTTTGTTCTTGTTTGGGATAAGGGAGAGAAATTTGCCCGGGACTTTGATCGTTTTAAAGGGCTGGTGGCCTCCCTCTGTTTTGATTCACACGACTCTTACACTTCACTCACTCCCTTCTCTCCACGGGCCCATATATACCATATAATCTGTTCGTCCCAGCGTCGACTTACACACTTACATACCTTTGTTGCTCTTGTTCCTTTTCTTGCCAGCAAACAAGACTGAGAATCCAATCGTTCAAAAACATCATCTAAACACAAAAATGAAGGTCCAAACTCTCGCTGTTCTTGCCCTCGGTCTCCTCTCTGGAGAGGTTCTTGGCCAGTCTACCAACACAGACGCTGGTGCCTCTGCGTCCGCCGCCGTCTCCTCTGCCGCTGCGGCCGGCAGCTCTGCTGCCTCCAGCATTGCCTCTGCTGCCTCGTCCCTGGCTAGCAGCGTCGGAAGCGCTGCCTCTTCAGCTGCCTCTGCTGCTTCATCTGCTGCCTCGAGCGCTTCAACTGCCGCTTCTGGAACTACCTCTTCTGGCACCAGCAGCAGCACCAGCTCCGGCCCCGTAAGCACCACCGTCACCTCCGTGGAGTCCGGCACTACCGTTCCCCCAACGACCATTGCCGGAACCACCAACAGCCAAACTACTATTGCTCCTACCACTGTCCGAGGAACTACTCGTTCTGCTTCTACTCACACTTTCACCACCACCTCTTCCTCCGCCCTGGCCATTGCTCCCACTGCCGACGCCAAGCTGCTGGCTCCTATCATCGGTGCTGCCGCCGCCGTCTTGATGCTGTAAAGCAATCGCTTCCTTTATTCACTACAACTCCTTCCTTGTTCACATATTCGTTGGAGGATCTAATAATATGGAGTGGGAATCGAGGATTTGAAGGGTTTTGCTTGTCCAGATAAAAGAGAATTCATTACGCATATGGACCTACCTACTAATTAATTAATGTACTTCGGTGTGTTTCATTTTTAATACCTGTCCACCGGAGACACACGACGGCGTTACTTTCAACTGACCGCTTATGTTACTGATATCTACGAAGTGTATGGTAATTAATGGCTACATAGCCAAAGTGAAGAGCTCAAAAAAGATTATTCATACAATTTTCAGACTAAATGCGTCATTTCCGTGATTTTCTTATTGTAGTTACATAGCCTGCGTCAACATTATCAGTAGCAATTGAAGTATAATTATAGTCATTAAGCTCATTTCAAAAGGCTTACATCATTTGATCTCAAAAGTAAAAGAAAGGCATTTCATAAGAGATTTGCGAGCCTTATACTGCCACGAGGTGAGCACTCTAGACATAAAGTTGCCCGGCGGTTTACTTTCCATGTGGCGGGCGCCTCTGGAGCTTGTATCCAACTTTATGAGGGCGGACATGACCAATAATGACATTAATTGCATAGCGTATGATTCGCGAGCTGAAGAAAGAATCTATCCAATGACAGTTACCTTTACCTATGTGAGATTTGATCACATGTAGATGGGCGTGATCGCCAGTTTCCGGATTACCAGAAGGCATCGTATGTATGTAAGTGAAGCTATCGCTCAGTGGATCGGGATATATAGGATAGCTTCAAATTTCATCCATATATTTACGTACATACTGAGTATGTCATTCATTGTCCACGATCTTTTCCTGCAGCATCTTTTAGCCATTTATAAGTAATTTTTATCAGATCGTTTCCTACTGAAGGTTATCATGGGGCTTCTCTCGGTACTCATGCATACCTACATAGGTAACCAAATGATATATGCGTATCACTATCGCGGAACTGGAATTGCCTGCACTGAACCTTTATCTTCTCAATGCTTGTTTTGATGCATACTGCTATCTCCGATACTACCAGTTTTCAATGTTTCAATCACAAACCGCAATCCCATGTCATTAATGATTAAATGCCTGCATATATGTGCCGCAACAGGTGCTCAGTAGTATACCTAGGCCATATATCATTGCTGCTGTTAAATTTATAGAATGAACTAGAGCACCTTTAAATCATTTTATTTTTTATTAACTCTACCGATGTCTTTGCATCGGCCACAAAACGAACAATATCTGTTTTCCTTCATCACAAAGGCGGTGTCAATCTGTGTTACCAACCAGTCGCTGTGCACCTGCCACCACTTGCGCGCTGCTCAAGTTCCTTTGTTTCCTCGTGCAATAAACAAGCCTATTTTCTTTTTAATTCCTGTTGTCAAGATTTCTCTTCAGCTTCTTCTCAAACCCCTTCATACGCCAATTTTACTGAGTGACCATCCCGTTCGCACTGACAATGTCATCTGAGATAGCCTCCACCGCAGGTCCCGGCGATGATGCCGCTGAAACGACCCGGCCAGACATCGAAATCGACGATAGTTTGATTCCGATATTTACGAGCAGCGCCACAGAAGATGACGAAGGCAGTGAAGACGATGATGAGGATGCAGCTGGTGAAGTTGGTGAAAATAACGCTTCCCAGTCCGTACCGGTCATAAAGAGGAAGAATAAAAGTAGGGGAATCATGGCCAGAGGTCCAACAGCGCTGCCCAAAAACCGTGGCAATGGATTCGAAGGTGCGAAATCTTTGACTCTGAAATTCAAGAAGAAAGGTTTGATGCTGAACGACAATAGAGTATTTTGCGGATCCGCCTATGACTCCCGAAGAAGCGATGCAGGAGAAACAAGAGATTTACCATCCGTACGTGTTATGCCAGAATTATTGAGACTCTAATGGCACGTCAAGCTAACTCAGGGCCATAGTGATATTTCGTTTGAGAAGTATGCTTTCTTTCCCCTCTCCGTGTCTTGTTCTAGCTAAGCTGATATATTTTCACACAGGCGAATGCAGTCGTGTATTCAACGTTATCGCTCTCGTCGTCGCCTTCAACACCACCGAACTCTTTACTTTGACGAGTACCTCTTCCTCGGCGGCGTTGATACATCTCAGGGAGCATACACTGGGATGGATCCAAAGGAGCTCAAACAGCTCACGCCTGCGCAGCGTAAAGAAGCTACAGCTAGGCACGTCGTCCACGAAGGCTCCTCAGCAGGCGACCGTTTCTACGACGGAGATGAGACAAAATGGACCGTGGACTTTTCCGGTGTGGTAGCAGGCTTCTTCTCTACGACTATTATACCCTTGACTGGCCTTCAAATCGGCCCGCTGGAGGACGCAATAGACGTGATAGAAAACTTCCTTCGCTACATCCTTCATCACGACGTCTGTCCCGAGTATGAAGGGGATGTCAAGGGAGCAATGAAAGTCTGCCAAGCAGCCAGAGAAGAGTGGCCAATGCTAAACGCTCTGCAGACGACGCTGCCGGGACTCTTCAACCTGGCTGCGACTGAACTTTTCTCCAAGCCTGATCCCGACGTCTGGGCTTTTCACCTATTCAAGGTGCATCATGGGTTTGAAGCCAAGCCCATTTTTTACTCAGCCATTGCCTTGATTGAAGATCCCAGGGCATTCGAATATCTCACTCAGGGCCCTGCTACGCTTCTCAGACAATACGAATGTACACTGGAGATCACAATGGTAGCTCTTCCAAATGAAGAGACGATTCAGCGGTTCAAGAGCCTTAAAGCTGAGACACATGGCGGCACAAACAAGGTCCGACTCGCGCCTATTGGCAAAGTCACACTCAAGCCAGCCACCATTGAGGACGGATGGGTCCATCCAGACACACCCCATCCTCTTGAAAGAAAGGAAATCGATCTGTACTTTGAACAAGATGTTCTCGTAAACCTCAAGCCAGGAATGAAGATGACGCTTGAGATCGGCGAGCTTGGGGGTGGAGTGAATTTTGTCAGGCGCATTCGAAAAATCGTCCCATCATTCTACACGTTTCTGCCGCAGGAACTCATGAGAGGCTTCAAGCCCCCGCGTGAGAATGATCGTCCTGCGCCATCTATTCACAATCCTATGGCAGAGGACAGCCAGGCAGTCGATGAACAAGTCTAAAAGACAGTTTGATTGTGCAGATAATAGCTAGCTTTCTTTCGTCAAGTGGTTGAAAAAGGGGGGCTTAATAGTGTGGGCAATATAAACCCGTTTCTTAGCATGTATTGAAAAATAATATTCTCCTCTCAATAGCCTTGAAAAGTACCAAAAAAAGCATCAAAACAAAAGTTCAAATCCCTTGCCCCAGTCATACGCGATGTGCTAGTAATTCCAACGCCATTAAAGCTACTCAAGAAAATGAAAGAGGCAACACATAGTAGCTAGAAGGGCACTACATCATTATCCTTGTATTCTCCATTTCACCAAGTCTCGTGTGTAGCATAGTTTCATTTGCGCCGTCGCCCTGGTATCTGTATCTTTATCTGCCACTATTGCTCGGCTATTGTGAAAGTGGATGGCGGCAAAACTCTGTCTACCCAGATAGGTCGCGAGACCTGTCTTTAGTCTCGCGTCTGGATCTTGTGGTCGCCAGCAACAACCTCGGCGTATGAAGGAGGAACGCCCTGGTTCTCAGGATTCGAGCTGCCCTCTCCAGAGGTTGCTACACCCTGTTGTTGAGGCTGTGGCCGGGGTGAAGGGCTCTGGTTAGACGTGGTGCCGTAGTTCAAGTCGTTTGAAGAGCCTTGAGGCTTTGGTGGCTGGCAGTGAGGGCCATGGGGAGTCTGAACATAGACATATGTGACTCGGCCACCTTCGTGGTCGTTGGGGATGGCCTCATATTCGTAGGCGGGCTCGGGGTACTTGGCGATGATGTACCAGGCGTGTAGCAGACCAGGGATAAAGCCGAGGATGCAGAGGGTGATGTTGATGAGAGAGTCGGCGCTACAGATGCCACACTTCACCCAGACTATATTCAACCAGCGTCAGTATAACTTATGCCACGACAGAACATCTTCATCTGAGAAGAAGCGAGCAGTGGGGCGACATACCAGGCAGCGGGGGAAAGAGAATGGCAAGGATGCCGAGGAAGATGTCGGTTGAGCACATCGTAGGCGAGGGAGAAGAGAAGACGGCCTGGAGATCGAGACAGCCGATGGCGACGAGCAGGCGTTGGAGTCGTACAAGTCGAGTCGCGAGCAGCTCGACAGTGAAGATAGTCGACAAATAAACAAGCAGATCGAGTCTGGAAGTCTTTGGCCCTACCAGATGAGATGGATAAAGGCGCGAAGTGGGCTGGTGACGGATGATGACGCTGGGGTTGCTGCTTATTGATAAGGTTGCGTAATGCTGGGCTGGATGTGGCGGAGACGATTGGCTGGCCTGGGGGGCTGTGGAGATCGGCGAACTGACAGAATGGGCGGCCTCGAAAGCAGTGGCTTGGCTCCAGGGTAGGTGGACAGGACGAGATCGATCTGATCTAATAGATGAGCGAGTCGATGATGGCGGCGATAATGCTCCGGCTATCGCAGGTTGATTAAACCAAACAAAAAAAAATCAATTTCTTTTTTTCTTTTGGCAGTGCCATTTTCCTTTCACTTGGTTGCCGTGTTCTATAGCTTCCATATTTAAGAGTGGATATTTCCACTGAGTCACACATGCCACCTTAGCGGGTGTTATAGTGGTGGTGTGATCCATCAGCACAAATACAGGACAGCCTATTGCGGCACACTGCGAGGACCGGTTTGGTAGGACGCCGTATTCAGGCGTTGAATAACGTAACGAGGTGTGGTGAGATGCTACCGTACCCTGAGCAAATTATATAGTTGCTTGAATCACAACGTAGCTCTGTGCGCAGCAGTATCCTATCTAGAGCTCTCATGCCTCATTCTATGTGCTTAAGAAATAATAATAAGAATCGAGTAATGAAATATACCATCAGATGGCATGCCATCTTGTAAATTGTAGAATGTTTAGCAAGTATACAACATGCAACCAAGCAGAGCTGCAGTAAGACAAGGTAGACAAACTTCGGTAAAGCGGCCTCACCGATGAGTATCCGACATTTAGCCTCGGTGAAAGGTGCTGACCTTGAACTTTTCCAAACTTGCCGCAGCCTTGCCGCTAGCGCGTCTGTCAATATCCCCAATTCGCCAACTTTCCATCCTGCTCCATGCAGGACATCAAATCGCAGCCATGGACGACCTTTTGAATCTCGAGCTCCTGTCCCTCGTTTCCAAAGTCACCTCCGAGCTCCAGAACCATGTTGGCATCAGCGACAAGACCCTCGCCGAGTTCCTCATCGCACAACGACTCGAGAGCACCTCTAGCGATGACTTCCGCAAGAGGCTCGACGGGCTCAATGCCGACTTCCCTGCAAGTTTGGTGGACAGCTTAGACCGTCTGGTGGTTGCGATGCATCCCAAATTCAAAGGCCAAAATGGAGCCGCGCACGACAGTGAACACCACCACCACCGGACGTTTGAAGAGAATGAAAAGGTGTTTGGCGGACTTGCCTTGCCCGATAAGCAAGTCAACTACGATGACGGTGCGAACGCTATCGACGATACACTGGCGCTTCTAGAGGGCCTCGAGGGAAAAGCTAGAAAGGAGAAAAAGTCTCGAAAAAGGAGCAGAAGTCCTGAAGAGGAGGCAAGAGACTCGAGATCGCGGAGGCATAGATCAAGGTCTCGAGATCGGAGGAAGAGGGACAAGCACAGGTCGCGGTCGCGATCGCATGATGACGGAAATGAAGACTGGCGAGACGGATTCCGAGATTCGAGGAAATCGCGAGGTCGGCGAAAGTACGAGACCTTTGACGGCGACGACCACGACGAGTTTCGCCGTGCCCCCGCACCAGAAATGGACGACGAACCCATCATGAACAAGATTTACGAAGGCCGTGTCACTGGAATCAAAGATTTTGGCGCTTTTGTGAATTTGCAACACGTCAGAGGAAAAGTCGACGGTTTGGTTCACATCTCTCGCATTGTCTCTGGTCAACGTGTAAGCCATCCTTCAGATCTGCTCTCTAGCGGTCAGCAAGTCTGGGTGAAAGTGATCAGCATTGAAGGCCGCAAGATCGGATTGTCTATGAAGGATGTCGACCAAGAGACTGGCATGGACCTCCAACCGCAAGCAAGGCTGACAACCGGCGCAAATATGGAAGCTCTTGGTGGCGGTGGAAGAAACGGGTTTGTTGACAGTGCTCCTGCAATGCCTCGCGACACTTTGGGCCCTCCCAGACGACAGAAGAAAAGAATGACCTCACCTGAACGCTGGGAGATTAGACAGCTTATTGCTTCCGGAGTAGCCAAAGCGTCAGACTATCCCGATCTCGAAGAGGACTATAACGCAACGCTGCGTGGAGATGGTGAGATGGAATTGGAGGAAGATATTGATATCGAAGTCCGAGAAGAGGAGCCGCCGTTTTTGGCTGGTCAGACCAAGCAATCTCTCGAGCTTTCACCGATTCGAGTCGTCAAAGCCCCTGATGGATCCATGAACAGAGCTGCAATGGCCGGCACATCGCTTGCCAAGGAGAGGAAGGAGCTAAAGCAGAAAGAGGCGGAAGAGGCTGCCAAAGAAGAATCAAAAGAAAACTTGTCGGCTCAATGGAATGATCCGATGGCCGATCCTGACAAACGCAAGTTTGCTAGCGACCTCAGGAATGCACGAATGAATACTAGAACGGACGAAGAGCCAGAATGGAAACGAGCAGTTATTCCCAAGGGACAATCGCTGGGCAAGCGAACAAATCTTAGCATTAAGGAGCAGCGAGAATCTCTGCCCGTCTATGCGTTCCGTTCGCAACTGATTAAGGCGGTGCAAGAGAACCAGATCTTGATCGTTGTTGGAGAGACTGGTTCAGGAAAGACGACACAGTTGACCCAATATCTTGCAGAGGCTGGATTTGCCGAAAATGGGATCATTGGTTGTACGCAGCCCCGCCGTGTCGCCGCCATGTCGGTTGCGAAGCGTGTGGCGGAAGAGGTTGGCTGTAAGCTGGGTGAAGAGGTTGGATATAACGTCCGTTTCGACGACTGCACCAGCCCTGCTACGAGGATCAAGTACATGACGGACGGCATGTTGCAGAGAGAGATTCTCATGGACCCTGATATGACGCGTTACTCTTGCATTATGCTTGACGAGGCACACGAGCGAACCATCTCTACCGATGTTCTGTTTGCGCTGCTTAAGAAGGCACTGAAGAGGAGGCCGGATATGAAGGTCATCGTTACCTCAGCCACATTGGATGCTGACAAGTTCTCTGCTTATTTTAACGAGTGTCCTATCTTCACGATTCCTGGTCGAACATTCCCTGTCGAAATCTTATACTCTCGTGAGCCAGAGTCCGATTACTTGGACGCTGCGCTTGTTACGGTAATGCAGATTCACCTGACAGAGCCCAAGGGCGACATTCTACTCTTCTTGACTGGACAGGAGGAGATTGACACGTCGTGCGAGATTCTGTACGAAAGAATGAAGGCCCTTGGGCCCAGCGTTCCAGACTTGCTTATCCTGCCCGTGTATGCGCAGCTTCCCAGTGAGATGCAGAGCCGAATTTTTGAGCCCGCGCCTCCTGGCAGTCGAAAGGTTGTCATTGCTACGAATATCGCCGAGACTTCCATCACTATTGATGAGATTTACTATGTCGTCGATCCTGGATTTGTCAAGCAAAACGCGTATGATCCCAAGCTTGGAATGGATTCTCTGGTGGTCACACCCATCTCGCAGGCGCAAGCAAATCAGCGAGCTGGTCGTGCCGGCCGAACTGGTCCTGGAAAGTGTTTCCGTCTGTATACAGAAGCCGCCTACCAGTCAGAAATGTTACCAACCACTATCCCTGAGATTCAGAGACAAAACTTGGCGAATACCATTTTGATGCTCAAGGCAATGGGAATAAACGACCTATTGCATTTCGACTTTATGGATCCGCCGCCTATTAACACTATGTTAACAGCCTTGGAAGAATTGTACGCTTTGAGCGCACTGGACGATGAAGGTCTACTGACTCGTCTTGGGCGAAAGATGGCCGATTTCCCCATGGAGCCGTCGCTGGCTAAAGTGCTCATTGCTGCTGTCGACTATAAATGCTCCGACGAGATGCTGAGCCTTGTCGCCATGCTGAACTTGCCCAACGTATTCTATCGACCAAAAGAGAAGCAGTCGCAGGCTGATCAGAAGAAATCCAAGTTTCACGATCCGCACGGAGACCACCTGACGCTTCTCAATGTATACAATGCCTGGAAACATAGCGGCTACTCTAACCCCTGGTGCTTTGAGAACTTCATCCAGGCGCGATCAATGCGCCGGGCCAAGGATGTCCGAGATCAGCTTGCCAAGATCATGGAGCGCTATAAACACCCCATTGTATCTTGTGGGCGCGACACGCAAAAAGTTCGCCAGGCTCTCTGCACGGGATTCTTCCGCAACGCGGCCCGCAAAGATCCTCAGGAGGGCTACAAGACTCTCACGGAAGGCACACCAGTTTACCTTCACCCGAGCTCAGCTCTTTTTGGAAAGCAGGCAGAATGGATCATCTATCACACACTTGTGTTGACAACGAAGGAGTACATGCACTGCACTACGAGCATCGAGCCGAAATGGCTGGTTGAAGCAGCTCCGACGTTCTTCAAGGTGGCGCCGACGGATAGACTAAGTAAGCGGAAGCAGGCTGAGAGGATTCAGCCACTGTATAATAAATTTGCCGGAGAGGACGACTGGAGACTTAGTGCCCAGAAAAGGGGTGGAAGAGGTGGTGGTGGTGGTACTTGGGGTTAGAATGGGGAAAAAAAGCCTTTTTTTGCCAGAGAAACATATTCTTACGTGGCTATATATATCATATGTAATGCATGGAGTTTTGGGAATTATGATGGGAAGAATTCTTCGAATTTAATCATGAGAGGGACTGGCGATATGTTCGGGAGACGGTTTGTGATGTATCATAGATGAGTCTATCAAGAGCAGAGATTTCAAGACGCTCGAGATTTATAACCATTCAACACTTTGATGCTTAATGCTCTTATAGAGTTGGTTTATTGTAATAGCAGGAAATGTGAAAAGCACTCTCGCTTGATACTAACAAAAAGAAAAAGAATTGTCTATCGGAATGTGATGCCAGGCTAAGCTTGTGTGAAGTGTGACGCGCTGCATCGCTGGTAGAATTCAGGAAATGGTACCAACACACCCCGATCATCCGAATGAGTCAACTTAATGGTAACCTTGTAAGGATTGCCGCTGTTGTTAACACGATATCTGTAATAACGGACGGTAAATATATCGAATGCCTCCCCGACTTCAATGTTCGGCCGTGGTGATGATAACTGGCGAACAACTCCGACCAACAAACACAGAGAACGAACTGGGAAATATCGTCAAATATCCCACGGCTATTCTAATGCTCTCAAAGTCGGCGAATATATGTTTTTAATCGACGATCTTCAAGGAGCATTCCTAGAACCGATATAGACACGCTGGGCAAGATCCATGGCTTCTCTGTTGGCTTCAGGTTCAACGCACCAAAACCTGAATTTGATGGGACTTTCTGTGCTATTCGTCATGATTTTCATGAAATCCAGCAAAATTTGCAGTTCCACTATGTACCGAAGTGGGCGGCTTTGCAGCCAAGGCAGGTGGTAGCCATGAGTATAACGCTCGAAACTTCCAGTCATTAGTCGCGTCAGCCACGGCGAGCTGTTTCTGATGATGACGGTCTGAGATTCCCTTTGAGAGCGAAAGAAGTAATTGTATATGATATCCAAAGCCACCTTCATCGCATAGATGTTGGCAGACTTTTTGCTGTGTGGAAGATTACCTCCTACGCAACCGCACATGTTGAAACGAGACGAATGGCCAAAATAGACGCCCCATACGACAGGTGTAAGATCATCGCCTCGGTCAAGGCCTGCGATGGAGACCACTATTGAATTTCCGTCTATCCAAGTATTGCTATTCGATAGTAAGGAAAAGTCTGGCGGCCTCAGCTTGCGGAGGTGCGATATCTGCTTGCTGCGGTTGTAGAAAAGAAGCTGGTCAGGGGGGATGCCTCGGATTAGAGATGGGTTGAACCAACGGACGAGCTCGATACCATGTTCATCAATGCCTTCGTCCGACGCAGCAGAGGAAGAGGCCACGGAGCCCTCATTGTCTGATTCTCTGTCGCTGGAATGGTTGATGGATAAATCGTTGAGTTGTTGGCTGAGTTGCTGGATAGGTCGATTGGGTACGTGGTTGGAGTGACCATTTGATAGACCATTTGATGGACCATTTGATAGACCATTTGAAAGACCATTTGGTAGACCATTTGATAGACCATTTGATAGACCATTTGATAGACTGTTTGATAGACTGTTTGATGGACTGTTTGATGGACTGTTTGATAGACTGTTTGGCGGATTACGGAATGAGTGGTTAGCCAGGATATTAGGCGGACTGAATTGTTCAGGATCATCAGTTAAGCTCAGTAGAAAGAAGTAACCACGGCTCCTATTCGAAGACGATCCAAGGTCGTTGCGAGCATAATTGAAGCAGTCGATAGGAATATCGAGAGGCGAAATACCGTGAGCGAGCATTTGACTGAAAAAGCTGGAAGCAATTGCACCCAACCAGCCCTGGCCATGTTGACCAGCCCCTTCACCGTTCCAGAGGCCGCTCATCCCGACGAGTGGAATGCCAGAATCTATGCTGTTGAAGCTTTCTTCGTCGTCTGCATCATGCGAAGCCGTATCGGGCATGTCTCCGTTTGGATGAGCCGCGTCATGGGGAAAACCGTTCATGATTATATTGACCGTAGAGCTGAAGGCACTTGGAGACGGCTTGAGCGAGTGAAGTTGACTGAGATTTAGCGAATGTATTGTAGTCGAGGACTGTGGAAGTGTGTTGAAATAAGATATTCTGGGTGTGGTGGGAATAAAAGGTAAATATTGACAGGCAGAAAATAAAATAAAATAAAAGGCTGCTTATCTGTTTATTGCATGAGCTTAATGATTGGACTTTGAATTGCCAAGGTAGGCACGCTCAGCCCTTAGCATGCAATTGGGAAGCCAGCCAACTGTGAACTAGCACTTGCAGTTGAAGTGAAGTTGCATAGATGTAGTAGGGACAAACTTAATCAGTCTACAACGACAAATCTTTCCTATGGACACCCAACTAGCAGGTAGACTTTAACAGAAATTTTACGCAGGAAGTGCTTAGTTAAGTGTATATCTGGCGGTAGATAGCTCACCACTGAAGTTGAAGTCTATCCCCAACTTGTAAATAGCGGATCCTAGGAGCAAGCTCTCATAGAGCCCTGTGAGGATCCGAACGCTGTGAATTATCTAGTAGGAAACTTGAAGCCGGGTAAAGAGAAGGGGGACTGTATCTAGAAAGGAGTGGAAATGCTGAAGGTGTAGAATGAATACGAAAGACATCATTTTCTATATTATAAAAATTTGACCAGACTTTTGCAACCTGAGAGAAGATGGCGGCGGTGATGTAATGAATGCCACTTGAAGTTGGCTTTGGTATTATACACATTGTACCCAGTCATAATAGCTTCTATGACATGACGAAAATTGATATTAGCCGCCGGCCTGAAGCTAAGAATAAATTACTAAATATTTACATTGGCAGGCAGCAGAGGTAGCAGATGTAGTAGAAGAAGATTATGACAGCTTGGTGATGCTGAGCATGGTTGGGGTGGTTGTTTTATACACTACTGAGATGTAGTCTGCCGACACTAGGAGTTGGAAGTCAAATCAAGTTCGTTTAAAGACTTGGATTGGGGCTACAAAAGACAAAAGAAGAAAAAAAATGGATAAACAGCTGAGCTATTCTATTTCTCGCTCAACTACATGTACGTGAATCTATAGGTGCAAAGCGGGGAAATGATATACGAGCTAAGAAAAGAGCTGGGCGCGTCCGAAACGCCGTACTGGGGATGTTAGGGTGAAATTGTGTGCATGTTATTTTTATACGGATGGATGGAATTGTTAATAAGCAATTAGCATCTCTCATATCTCTGGTCTTCCCGTGCGCAGCTGAAGGCATGCTTTACATAAACCTGGGTAGAGTGCGGTGCCGATTGCATGTTGGACATGTACTTCACAACCTGGGCACTTGCATGGTTCGCGAGCTCAGAGCCTCAATAATATCGCGTCAGCTCTGCACTGTTAGGCAGGTGGACATGTGTTAGGCTGCATGCCACACATACACGGCCAGCATCAGACTGCGTCATAGTTGGGGGCTCCTGTTTTGCGATTTATTCGTTGCTGTTGCACTATTGCGAGTGTTGGTGAGCGCTTGCGAGCAAACCATGTTCGATTTGCTGGCAAGGAGAGGGCTGAGCAAGCCTCATAAATGCAAGCGTCAGCGGCTAACATAGCTGTCTAGAGGCTCAGCCTTTGTAGGCTGGCTTCCTTGCGGCAGGCTCTCTCAGTGCGCCATTTACCATGGCAAAGGCGCATTCATTCTTCTCTTCTCTTCACTTCTTTGCCTAGGTGTGATTAGGCTCCTGTCGTCGCGAGGCAATGGCGGTCTGTGGACTTGCGCGTCGCATTAGCCAGCGACTCACCGACCAGCTCTGCCCAGCAATCCTTGCGTTCCAGCCGCACGGGCAGTGGTGACACTGTCGCGTGGCGCTCCGGGAGCTTCCTAGTCCCAGATGACCCCCGTCTGGCCTGTGTCGTGTTGACTTTGGCTCTGTGGGATGGAAAACGTGGCTGTGGTTCTGGCGCTGACACGAATTGGGCATGTAACTTCGCGGTTTGACGCCGTATTAGCGACGATGTGGTTGGACATGTCGGTGCTAAAGGAATCACGCGGGCGGAAGGAAAAAAAGAGAGACATTCAGCAGAGACGCGGAGCTCTGGACAACGACAACTCATCTCTCATGACCTCAACGGAGGTGTAACCGCAAATTCTGTCGTTGTTATGCGGAACACGGACGTTGGTGACTCCAAGCGGTGTCAAAACGATGTCAAAGCGATGTCTCAGAGAAAGAGAGACGGCCGAAGTGAACGCTGAAAGGATCACAAACATCATAGATGGGTAGGTGAAGAAGAGCCTTTCGGTGGCTCTGCCAACCCCTGCATCATCGCATGGAAGCCACGGTATGTACGTCGTAATATTCCATCTCTCGAGGCTCAACTCGGCGCGCTTTGCTAGCAGCTGCTTGGTTAGCGAGTTGATTGCGTGCATCTCCCGCGTGGGACTCGGAAATACGCCTCACCACGATTTCATGCATCGTGCCGCTTGTCATTGGTGGGAGATGGAGTGGCTTAGCCATGTTGGGCGTGAAGAGGAGGATGGAAGAAGCTTCATTTTTTTCTTGCGCATCTTTTCTGTTGGGGAGTGCCGCCAGCACATGTACCTGCCTGTGGCACGGCATTGGAATCAGAGGATGTTTCCAGCGAGCCCAGCTGTGAAAGGCCCGTGGCAGCTGCAGCCCCCAGGGCCCCTCGCTAGCTCCGTCAATGCCTGGCGCTAAGTAGGCACGAAGCAGTGCTGTAGCACCGGCTCTCCAGCGTTCAATGTTACCCGGTGGTGCACCCAAGATTTGCATGCCAGCCGCTCAGCTTTAGGCAGTTGGCGGACTGGACTGGGGCGGGGCGCTAAATCGCCGCAGCCCGCAGCAGGCTATGCCGCGCCGGGCCCAACTCCAGCAGCTCCCAGCGCCAAAGTCGGTCAAAACCGCCACTCTGGACGTCCTCGGAACCTTCTGTGAGCGTGGAAACGACGCACAATCTCCTCAAGGCATTTTCGCTCCTCTCGCCTCTCTCCCTATTAATATACCTCCTCCCCTCCACTTACTCAGCGTCCTTCCCTCGACTGTCTGCAGAAATGGTTGTGCGATTACTGTGACTGCGATATTCGCCCCTCATCCGGTCCTGAAACTCCAAGTAATCTTGCGTGCAGCTGTGCGTGCCTTATTTGCGTCGCCAATCACTGGGCCCCAGTGCCTGACGCAGGACCCTTACACGCTTTCATTAGCATCTGGCATCTGGCATTTCGACCGACCGGGGTTGCCAGCGACTATATTCCTGCGCCGCTGCCTAGGACCCATCGCCGGATGAACACCGTCCAAGTACATCCCCGGATAGAAAAGGACTTGACTGAACGCGCATCAAGGCAAGACGAAGATATAGTAGAAGACGACGACGACGTCGAAACAGAAGCCATGGTTGGAAAAAAGAGGATCCCCAGCCCGGATCAGCTCCGCGACTACAATTATGCCGTTGCTGGACAGTGAGTTTTCTGGCGCAAGAGGGAGAATTATGGCGAGGGGAAAAAGGGCGTACATGCTAATCTATTCTTGCGCAACGATAGTGCGGGTACCCTGTGCGACGCCGATGGAGAGCTCTTCATCAAGCCGTGCACCCAGACGGAGATCGACTTCTATCAAGAAGTAGAGACAAAAGGCTACCGCGACTTCGCCGAGATCATGCCCCTTTACATGGGCGAATTGCAGCTGAGCAGCACCGACGACGTACCTCTTCAGGACGCGCTCATGGGCGTCATCTCCGGCGACGGCGACTTCAAGACCACCAAAGAACAGATTGCCGCGACGATAGCGGAGGCCGTGGACCAGACAACATGGGTCCCTACCCAGGGCAAAAAGATCAAGACGGACAAGTCGGTCGTGCTGGAGAATGCCTCATATGGCTACAAGAAGGCAAACATCCTCGACGTCAAATTGGGCGTGCGCCTTTGGGCCGACGACGCCCCCGCCGAGAAGAAGACGCGCTTCGACACCATCAGCTCGCAGACGACACACGGCAAGCTGGGCTTCCGCATTTCGGGCATGCGAGTATATCAAGGCTCGGAGGATGAGTCAACATTGGATGAGGAAGGCTACAAGATCTACGACAAAGACTTTGGGCGTCTATCTGTCAACAATGATAACGTTGTCGATGCATTCCGAAAATTCATTTTCAACAAGGCTGCCGGCGTTCATACAGCGCTTGGCAGGGCTGTGTGCTCAGCCTTTGTCCGAGACTTGCAGCGAATTGAAGAGGTTCTGACAAGCCACGAGACCCGCATGTACTCTTCATCCCTTCTGTTCATCTTCGAGGGCGACGGCGCGGCGCTCGACGCTGCTATTGAAAAGAACAATGAAATCATGGACCGTCAGTCGGCTGAGTCATATACGTGCCCGCCAGTGTCGCGCACAAACATGAGCTTGGACAGCAGAATGGACAGCGGCATCGCTTTGGAACCCGAAGACGATTACGACTATGAAGACAACGACGAGGATGACGACGAACTTCGACTGCCCCAGATCTACACTCTCAAGCTTATTGATTTTGCCCATGCAAACTTTACTCCTAACCAAGGGCCCGACGAAAACGTCCTCCTGGGAGTCAGGAGTCTTTTACGAATTTTCAAAGAGATGGCTGGCGAAGATGACTAGACTCATGCACGATGGCATGGCTGTCTCTGATTGGCCACTCTTGCGTGTATATATACGATGCTGGCGACTGACTTGCGCTGCTTTTGGAACAATACTGGCGTTAAAAGGAAGGTGGGCGATTTTTGACACCTAAACAGAGAGGGCACCAGAAAAAAAGGAGGCGCGTTTCCTTTTTCTTCTCCTTTTGGGGGAGAATTTATTTTTTTCCTGATACCCCGGAGATGTCCGAACATGGTGTGTTTGCGGCGCAACTTTGGCCGATAAGAAAAAAGAGAAGACTTGAAAAGAAGATGTTACAAGGTAGAGCATGGCTCCGCATGGAGATTTGGGAGGAAGAAGTTTTTTTTTTTCCTGCGTATCATGATGATAAATGACGGTTTTGGCGCAAAAGGGGGCTGTCTTTTCCTTTCCTTTTCTATTGCTCGCTTGAGGAGTTTTGGGGTGGTGAATGAATGCACCGCAGATGCACTTTACAGTGTATTGACAGTACCTGTTCTATACACTTCTATGTACCTAGGTATATACTTACTTCTATACATGGTTAGAATACACGGATACCTGTCTTTGTTACAAACTGTCGGCATTCTCTCTCTCCCTCTGTCTAAAAACTTCTCTTAATTGATATTAACATGTAGACCTATATCTATATTGGGTTTGGAATAAAGTTTTGCTGCTTTCAGACGCTGGGATATGGCAGGATGCACCCCGTCAAGATCTGGGCACCAATGCAGCGCTTTAGCGTCATGCTGGAAGACGTCAGCGGGCCGCTGCAGCCCCTGCTAGCTGCCTGTTAACAGCCTGTTAAGAGATACATGCGCTGACGTGAAAAATTGCTAGAGCCGCAATGTATTTCGCACCAGCGACGCCGACCCACTCGTCGCATTTCTTGCCGCCTTCCATGGACCCTAACAGCTGTACTGAGGTACCTGCCTCTAGCTCGGCTCAAAGCGTTGGATAGACAGCGATTCGGGTAGAAGATAGGACGAGACTCAGCCTTGCATCTTCTTTTATTTTCATGTAGGCGGCCATGTCCATCCCCGGCCTTGGGCAAATCCCGGTACAAGTGCGTTGCGTTACTGCCAAATATCGTATGCAAGCTGCTGGCTGACCCTTCTTTCCTCTCTCTTCTCTCCAGGCGGCCGTTTCCTCGACGCGAACCATCTCCCTTCGTCCAGCTTGGGAATGGCGATTCCAAGTGCCCGCGGGCTCGTCGCTCGTGCTCAAAGTCCTTGCAGGCACAGCTGAGAAGGACGGCGTCGAGCTCGCGCTGCGCAACGCCTACACCTTTTCCGGCGTGCGCTCCAAGATCCTGACCTGGCACGGCTGCGAACTGGAGATTGAGGGCCGCTGCGACAACGACTCTGTAGCCGAGTACCTGAATCCCATTGCGAATCCTGCGACTTCACACATCAATCTCCATGCGCGGCTGAGCGACATGCGGGTGGATGCCACGCGGCAGCGGCGCGAGGGTCCGAGAGTCCTGATTGCTGGGCCGCCGAATTCGGGCAAGACGACGCTGGCCAAGACGCTGACGAGCTACGCTACGCGACAAGGATATCAAGTTATAACGGTGAATGCGAATCCAAGAGATGGAATGCTGAGCTTGCCTGGCACGCTGAGCGCGAGTGTCTTTGCAACTGTCATGGACCCCGAGGCGGTGGACGGTTGGGGCTCGACACCAACGAGCGGGCCGAGCACGGTACCTGTCAAGCTGCCCATGGTTTTCAACTACGGCTGGGAGAGTGCGGAAGAAGACGAGGATCTATATCGTGAGCTTATAGGGAGACTGGCGGGGGCTGTTAGCGGTAGGCTGAGTGAAGATGAGGAAGTTCGTGGGTCGGGAGTTATAGTTGACGGCATAGGAGTCAGCGAAGACGGCCAGATTGGGATGGAGCTGACAGCGCATGTTGTTGATGAGTTTTCCAGTGAGTGCCTTTACATTGAATGCTACGAGTCGACAGTGGGCTTGGCTGACTGCTTCTGATAGTTAATACGGTGGTGGTAATTGGACCCGCGTCGCTGCACAAGCAGTTTGTGAATCGGTTCGCCAGCGAGAAGACGAGTCTTGGCGAGCCCATACAGGTGATTTCCATTGACGAATCAGACGGCGTAGTCAAGAGGGACGAGGCATTCTCGCAGCACTCGCGCGAGGCGGTAATTAAGGAGTACTTTTTTGGAGACGCAAAGAGGACGTTGAGTCCGCAGATTCAGCAGGTTGATTTTGACAATCTGGTTATTTACAAGCTCGCAGACTGTAAGTTGGCCTTGCCCTTGAGATTTTACATCCGTCTGATTAAGGTTATTGACGTTTGAAATCGCCCCAGACTCTCCTGATGAAAAGCAGAGCTTAGTTCTGGAAGAACCCTCGTCTCTGATGCAGCATTGGACCTTGGCGGTCATGAACGCCTCTGTGCGGGATAGTCCTGATGTGATCCGCGCGGCCAATGTTATGGGCTTTGTGTACGTGGCGGACGTGGATGAAGACAGGCGAAAGATTAAAATCTTGGCGCCAGTGAGCGGAAGACTGGGAGACAAGCCGCTGGTATGGGGCAAGTGGCCGGAGCCGTACATTAACCTGTTGGGATAGATTTTCTGGCATACGATACAATACAATACTAGCACTGCAGTACATTGTTGTCAAAACATGGAATGTTGAGGCGCAGGGAAGATATGGTGTGACTTTGGTTTGTGGCGATATGCTGCAAGTTTCACGATAGATTGGCAGGTGACTGACCGCACTTGGCGCTGTGCTTCTCCTATCCTCGGTTGTGCGAGAGATGCTGACTGGCTCGTGTCTGAGATATACGAAAGGGATAGTGAGGATGCGAGACACTATATGCACTGCCAGCGAAATCTCGGTTGTCCTCTTCGGATTATACGCCCTTGTCTGTGTTATATCACACAGTATCATCAGGTGGGCTATTGCCAAGTGCACCATATATGCAGAGAAAGGCGTCACATGTCCCAGCAGTCTCTCAGATCAGAAGCACAATCACGTAATGATAACTCTTGTAAATCTTGTCTCAAAAGGGCATTTCCGGCAAGAAAGTATTTGCGGCACTGGGAGTATGATGGAAGATTGTTTCTTCACTGAACGCGCGTCAAGCCAAGGCCGAGTTATCTAACTTGCGTATATGCATGTAGAGAGGATGGATACAGATACATGTATGTACTAGGGCAAATTGCTCCGGCCGGTTATGTGCCCGGCCTTGGTTATGCTTAAAAACCGACTTGCCACTTGCCATGGCGCAGCTATTCAAGGGTGGGAAGGTTAAAAAAAAAAGAGGAACAAGACGCTGCCGTTGAAGTTCATCTCCCTCTATACTGTAGGTATGTAGGAGACTACCCCGTACACCAGCTTAATAATGGTACATAATACACGTGCGGCATGTGTAGTCCCTGTCGTAGCTCAAGCCTCTTCTCCCCATCCGACCCGGCTATTACGGAACAAGCGCAAGGTTCGGCGTGTGGAGGCTTGCAGGCCGTCTGTGAGCACGTGTGCCCGCCACCTTGTCTGTGTTGTGTGTTGAGTGTTGAGTGGCATGCGGGCGCGAGATACGTAAGATTGACGGGATGCTGGGCCTTGCTGTTGGGTGTGTCCGCCAAGAAGGCCGGCGTTGTGCTCGCTGTGGATTCGCTTTCTGGCTTCTTGGTGATGCTGTTTGGGCGAGAGACAAGTGCGGGGTATTGGGAATAATACGATAAGATGGGGGATGGGAGGATTGATGATGGCTATGCTGAGTATAATCATGACTTCCTATGATGATTATGATGCCCGTTATGATGGTGTTTTTTTTCTGTGTGGCTTCGCTTTGCCGTCTTTGATAGTACTAGAATACGCCAAGCAATGCCGAGTTGCCCTAGGTGAAGTAACTCGAGAGCCTTCTGAGGCCTCCATGGCGTACCTTCATGGATCATGGATAGAATATTGGAATTACTGAATAGTATAGTACCGCCAGTACTCCCTTGACTCTATAGATACGAAGCAAATCAGATGCATTATGAGACTGGCGTGCAGCCACTTACAAGTATATCCTTCGCATCACAGTGGGCTACAGCCCTTTTCCTCGCCATCCATTGGCTCCTGTTCTGGTCATGACCTCAGACTAAATCCGATAGTAGATCCCGGATAAAGGAGATGCTTCTGCAATGACAGGATTGTGCGGCGTCTGTGGTGGCCCTTTTGAGACGCTGATGCTGGCTCTGCTTGCCGTCGTCCCGTGGGGTGTGTAGCACGTGTCCCTGAGAGTGTTTAGTTTGATGCGAATGCCAGTGATTTATTGCTATAACGTTGGGGAAAAGATACATAAGTAACTGATGATTTTTATCTTCTTTTGACGAATCCAATACTTCGTATAACTGGGCGTATCTGTATACAGAAAACCCGTAGCAACAAGCACCCCCATGTCTCATGTCTATCACGCAAGGTCCAGCTTGACCCTTCCAAACCTAATGTCAACCACCGTCATCAGATAATAATAGCGTCTCTTGGCATCTTATCCAACCGCTCTCCCCCATATAATAGTACTAGCACCACAAGGGTTGGCTGCAGCTTTGGCTCTAAGTGGAAACAATTCCCCCCGCGTCTCTTCCCCCTCCACACCTGTTTGACACCCCCCAGCTTCGTTCGTTTCTAATCTATCCGCAGCCTCCGTTTGATAGCGATTCTGTTTTTGGTGCATTTTAGCTTTTAGATTATGGCTTTTATTGTTTACGATTTGCTGGGCTGGCTATTGTCGGCTAGTCAACTGGGGTGCCGTGTGTGGCTGGGAAGTAAATACGTATAAAGTTGAGCAGGAAGCTTAGACTTGTTGGGAAGTCTTCTTCTTTCTCGCTTCCTCTTCTTTTAACCAACCTCTTGCCTTTCTAGGCTTCACTTTGCTTTTTTTATTCCTTTTTGAAAGGGAATCAAGGCTGTATTACATAGCTATATAGTTAACCGGAACGAGTTCTGAAAAACATTCTTCTTGTTCTTCTTCCGTTGGGTGCAATCGTTTGTTCGTTTGCCTCTCACTCTCGCATCAGAAAGAAAGAAAAAAAAAGGGAAAAAAGGGAGACTCAGACGCTCGCCTTCCATCAAAAATCAAAACAAAACAAATAAACCTTATTAGGCACCCCTTTGTGTCCCGGCTGGAAACAGCTCCTCGATACCCGTTCGATGGGAGAGACCGTTATTGTCATCACGAATGGTGCAGAACACGCCAATACCTCGTCGGACTCGTCGACCCTCTCCAGCAGCCAGGACGACAAGCCGCCTATAGCGGAACCCCCCGACATATCAGCTATAGAGAAGCCGCAGTGTCCTCACACTCTACCAGCCCGGCGAGTTGCCGAGCTTCTCGAAACCCATGCCGAAGATGGACTAAGTGACCAGGAGGCTGCCGCCCGCCTTGCGCGGGACGGGCCCAATACTATCAAGGGAGCTAAAGGAATCTCCATCTGGGAGATCTTTCTCCAGCAGGTTGCCAATGCCTTGACTGTGGTGCTCATTGCCGTCATGGCATTGTCCTTTGCCATCCACGACTTTGTCGAAGGAGGCGTGGTCTTGGCGGTCATTCTCCTCAATATCATCGTGGGGTATGTTGCAAAAAAACAAAACAAGAAAACTGACGTAGAACGGAAGAGACCAAGCCTGTTCATCAGTTTCCCTTTATGGGATCACCATTTTCTACTTTATCCTCTTTGATGTCTTGCTCACATAAATTATTTGAAAATACAGGTTGATCCAGGACTACCGCGCTGAGCAGACTATCCAATCACTCTACGCACTGTCGACCCCTAAATGCAAAGTCATTCGAAATGGCATCAACGATACCGTCAAGGCAGAAACTCTCGTCAAGGGCGATCTAGTCTGGCTTTCTACAGGAGATGTAGTCCCTGCCGATCTACGACTGGTCCAGGGCATCAATCTCTCCACAGACGAGTCTCATCTTACGGGAGAATCTGTGGCCATCAGCAAGAAGCCCGATGCCATCTTTAACGACGCAGAGCTTCCCATGGGCGATCGCCTGAACCTGGTCTACACTGGAAGTTCTGTGACCCGTGGCCGCGCCACAGGTATCGTCATCTCCACCGGGATGGACACCGAGGTGGGCCAGATTGCCGAGCTGCTGCGACAAAAGAAGAAGCAGAATACCGGCTCTGGCCCCGTCAACCGGTTCTTCATCAATTTGTACCAGAGAATCAGGAATGTTCTTGGCTTGGAGGGGACACCTTTGCAAGTCACGCTGAGTAAGTTTGCGCTCTTGCTCTTCGCCCTGGCTATCCTCTTGGCCGTCATCGTCTTCTCTGTTAGTAAGTGGGATGTCGACGATGATGTTTTACTGTACGGAATCTGCGTTGGCGTCGCCGTCATCCCAGAATCCCTCCTTGCCGTGCTCACCGTCACTATGGCTGTCGCTACCAAGGCAATGGTCAAGGGCCATGTAATCGTGCGCCAGATGCCGTCGCTGGAAGCCGTTGGCGGCGTAACTAATATCTGCTCCGACAAGACTGGCACTCTCACGCAAGGGCGGATGATTGCTCGCAAGGTCTGGATTCGTGGCGGTCTCACGGGGCTCATCGAGGGCACATCAGATCCTTATGATCCCAGCAGCGGCACCGTATCTTGGTCCGGATCGCTGGTAGAAACTTGCTTCAGCACCTTTCTTGACTGTCTGGTTCTGTGCAACAATGCCACCGTTACGGACGGTAGGAAAGAGCTTGAAACAGACTCTAGCAGCGTTACGACGGCTTATGGGTCTGATGAATGGAAGGCTGTTGGAGAGCCTACAGAGATAGCTCTCAAGGTCTTTGCCTTGCGCTTTGGAAGGAATAAGGCTGCTGGCGATGAACTCATCGCAGAGCACCCCTTTGACTCATCGTGCAAACTCATGAGTGTAGTCTATGGTAGCAGCGTCGATGTCGATTCCAAGTGCCAGGTGTATACCAAGGGTGCTGTTGAGGTAGTCTTGCCAAAGTTGAATGAATCCGAGGATCTAAAACAGGCTATTCATGCCAAGGCAGAAGAGCTCGCCGCCGATGGCCTCAGAGTTCTCTGTATTGCCAATAGGTCCCTGGACCGAGAGAAAGAGGATGCCCATGATCGCACCCAGGTTGAGAGCAGGTTACAATTTCTAGGGCTTGCTGGTCTGTATGATCCGCCCCGTCCAGAGACAGCCGGCGCAGTGGCGCAGTGTCGTCAAGCCGGTGTCTCTGTTCACATGGTAACCGGCGACCACATCAAGACAGCCACCGCCATTGCATACGAAGTCGGGATTCTGTCGCGAGGCATCCCCCTAGGCTCAACAACGGTCATGTCGGCGGCCGATTTTGGCAACCTCACCGATGACCAGATTGATGCCATGGAAGCCCTGCCGCTTGTCATTGCCCGATGCAGCCCCCTGACCAAAGTGCGGGTGATCAAGGCTCTGCACCGCCGAAAGGCGTTTTGCATCATGACTGGCGATGGCGTTAATGATTCGCCTGCGCTGAAGCAGGCTGACGTGGGCATAGCCATGGGCGATAGGGGAAGCGATGTGGCTAAAGAAGCGTCAGACATGGTGCTGACGGATGATAACTTTGCGTCGATTGTGACGGGTATCAAAGAAGGACGACGACTGTCAGACAATATCCAAAAGGTGAGCATACTTGACTACTATTTACTACGAAATATTACCATTCGAGGTA